CCGGATTCAGTCGAATCCTCCATCTGTTTGTGCCACCAACAGTGACCTCAACCTTCATGCTGCTTCGCTGCCGGCCATATCTCCAACGGAACACGACAAGAGCTGTAAAGAGTCGCTTGCATGCCTAAAGCATCCCGCTATTGGCCGATATTCGATCAACGTCCCTTTGCTCATACTTTGGGTAGCAATCAGTATCTTGACTCCAAGAGATAGATGAATGATATGAGGGAGATTGGTCAACCAACCGATTTTCCACGCAGCCCACCCGAAATAAGCGCTACAATATGCGGTTGCGATGCAAGGTGATTCAACGGCTGGTGTCATGATTGACCGACAATCCCCATGTCTTAAGCCACGTTTTGGATCCTAGTCGGCTAGACCACATGTTGTATTCACAACATGGCGGTAAGGATGTATATCCGACAAGCCCGACGATGTCGGTGAGGGAAAGACATCCCATCCCGTCCTGGTGCCTCGATAGCGCCCTAAGCAAGCCAAGCCGCCGCCAAATCGGCACGCTTCGCCAGAAATCCAGCCCGTTAATCATGAACGTATAGCTACTCCATATTCCGCCCTAGTATGGAGGACTCCAGCCCGTCTCGTGACTCAAAGAAAGTTCGACGGTCTCTTGGGCGATCTTCAGTCCTTGCATGAGTCATGCATCGCAAGACGTCTCGGAGATATTCGCAAACTCGGCAGTGGTCAGGAGGGTCTTGCTGTCCCATTCTTGCTTTACAGAACAAGTGAACACTGTTAAGCTCTGTTTCCTGAACTATACATCAACAAGAAGATGAAATGGCGCTAGACCAAGAATAAAGAAGAATTTAAATAGAAGATTCTGAAACAGATAAAGGCGAAGAAGGCCTTGATACAAGAAGTGAGGGTAGAAGCGATCCATGATGTGAAACCAAGTACCTCGTACACAGAACTGGCAGTCACTATTCTTGGTAGGCAACTGCCGAATCTAGAAAGACTCTTTCATTACGTACTAATACATGCCATTTTCTACCTTACTAGTCGATGCACACCTGGTTTCTCGAAGGTGTCGTGTGCAGTACCGTCGTACTACTTTCCATCCACGATGTTATTATCATCGGCCATACCCAGGGCACTCGAGAAGACGGGCTGGGCTACTCATCCAGCCGCATCCAAGATGTTGCCAAGCCCTCAAAGCATGTATCGATGTGTCATACTCTCGAAACATCTCAGTTACCTCAGGTAATAGGATGGCGATGGTGATAGAGGTGGGGTGTGAAATGGCGGGGGCAACAGCAACCTTCAATGCTGGCGGTGTTTGCTGCCGCACTTGGCAAAGCGTGCCGAGTAGCGTCAACTTTGTGGCCTTCCAGAAGCCCATCGAACACGTACAAGAGTTTGGAACAGTGGTGTTTTGGGTTGGTCTTCACCCTGAGCCAAGAGATCCCTATACCAATCCCTCTCAACTTTATGTTTCTGGAGGTAACACGGAGGCTCAGCGCTGCAGTTGATTGTGACTAATTTGGAACGGAAGATAAAGGCGACCGGGAATGAGGTTGTAGCGGCTGGCTGAAACCTACCTTCGTCTATTCAACTTGCGCAATACGATTATCGGTGGTGTTGTCTTGTGCGAAGTGTCTTGGATGGATCTCTGCATCATTGCCACGCGCGTGTACTGTACTCACAAAGAGGTAATGTATGCGACTTAGTGACCCAATTGACCGAGGATCATAACATTGGGCGCAGTTGCGGGAGGTTGTTGTTGCTGCTCAAGTCTTCCTTGTGTTTATGGAAACAAGAAATGAAGAAACTCTCGTCGATTAAGACCCCGTATCTACCCATGTTCCTGCGCCCGAGCATGATCACGCTATCCGAAGACGGGCTACGGACAAAGAAACTCGTCAGAGCAAATCTGGTCCCTGGGGAAAGTCTGGGTTCCTGCGCATTTCATTGAGGCATCGCGGTAAGCCATCAAACCTACTTCCAGCCCGCGGTATGGACTAGTCGTCGATCATGCTAAAAGATTGGCGATAGTCATATCTCCTTTGGTGAGATCCAGTACCGTAGAATATCTCCGGCCATGACATGACAAGGACAAGGAGAGTGACATCGAGGTTGGATGCGGGGATTGCCAAGTTTGGACCGGCAATTTGTGGGTTCCTTTCATTGCGACCAATCTAAATTCAGGATACTAGGCTTGATTTTGTCTACAATCGAAGACATGCCTGGTACTGTTGACTTAGTGGCAGCCACCTGCGCGCCCAGCCTGTGCAGCATGAGTACAATGATCTCCAGTTCGGTTGCTGTTTTGGACCGTGGTGTTGGTACTATACAGCAAACCAAAACGATCAAACAGGCTAGATAATTCAAAGTTACTTCAGAGCAGTGTGTGGAAGGAGACACATAACAGGCCTGCCACGGATGTTGATTGTTTCTATGCGGAAAACCCAAAGTCCTGCGAGATGGGCTATAGAAGCAGCGACACGTGATCGAACAGTATCCGACTGGTAGGAAAGGTTCGGGCCAAGAGAAGGCAATACATGAGCTGGCTCAGAGGCCACCGTTGGGCAAAGCATAATTCATGCAGCCTGCGGACTCAATCGTCCTGTCAGAAAATCATCGGCAGACCAATGTTCTGTAGGCAGCTCTTTACCTACTCAGTACGGAGTCTCCGTAGTACTCCGTAACTTACTACCTAGTACCTCACCATCAAGTCAGTTTCCGCAATTGATGTTTCTCATGGAGTAGCTACAGTCCAGGCTTCCCTGCTGCTTAGTCTATGAATTCCCTGGTATACAGCTACGAATACATTTAGGTAGTGAACAAGCTGATTGCACGACATCATGAATGCGTACCACTGCTTATTCCTACTACCGTTTAATCGATTAGGCCTAGGCTATGACACGAAGCCGCACCAGAGGTAAAAAAGGTAGTGATTGCGAGCAGGCGAGTTTGAAGGCTTAATGGGAACTCTATAGGGAGTACGGAGTGTCGAGTAGTACGTTGAGCTGGTACGGTGACCAGTACGGGGGAGGGGGCAGCCGAGACCGAATGCAGCCTCAACACGGATACCATTGCCCGGCCGAGGTGTATTAGACCCTTTCAGTACTAGTACTTTACGTCCGGCTGCTGTACGTGACGCTAGTGCGCTCCAAGTCACCTGTGATCAGCTGAAACCAATGGTCAGTTGCCGGCTAATTCAGCGCCTCCGATAGCTCCGCCAATTGGTATCTCGTGGCGTAAGGCCGTATCCATGGGCCATGAATGTGGCATTTCTGGATGACATTTTGAGGAAACAGGTGGTATCGAACAAGTATTGAGATTGAAGGTGAGAGACATTGTCTGTGTGTGTGTGTGATGTGTGTGTATTTTTGTGTGCATGCACTATGTGTGTGGCTGCTAACATGTGCCCATCATGAAACCCTGTGAGCTGAACCCAGAAATTGCATCCCTGTAATTAGTCTGATTTTCTGAGTAGACGACGTGCCCATGAAATGCCAGGCGTGCTCCATACGGAGTACATGGTTCATAAAAGGGGTAGGGTGACACCCTCATTGCGTTGGTATCATATACCCAGCCTTTCCGTCTGAAGACGGGGGTAATTTTCCTTCTGTTTGGGTTTGGCACTCTCCATGTTCGCACCCGAACCCAACATACACCCCAGCTTTCCCACTGGTCTCGTCCCTATCACTTGACCGGCTGACAGATTTATCGGGTGGCAGACAGGTCGTGAGTTTTCAACGGGCGTCCAGGTCTGATTCCAGCAGCACCGTGTACGGCCCAATTCAAAGTTCACCATAGTTGATGGTGTCCGAGCCTTACACCACGGGCTATGTAAGTGCTTGGCTGATCTCCCGGTACGGCCGAAGTGAGCCAAAAGAAACGAATGATCGACTAGCTGATACCATCATTTGGAGGTCATAATTGAACGATCATGTAATCGCTGATTCGTGTTGAGCGCCCTCCACCGGAAACACGTAGGTATTCTCATGTCTATACGTATAGCTTTTCCAGAGGACGCGAGGCATTAGATTCTTTAGGGGTGGAATCTGCAGTAGGAGCTGTTGGTGATATGCGTGCGCAAACCGAGAGTTGAGCTGAAAGTAGTCGGGTAGCCGGGGATCAGGGGATCCATGGGTGCTGCCTTCTATCATCGGGGTCTAGTATCGGTGGGGTTAGTCATATCCACTTGGTACGATGACGCTGAGGGACGGCCAGTGTCTGGGGTAGTTACCTACGTAGTAGGTTTTCTGACCAGCTCCACATCGGACAATCCGAGCCCGCTTCCATGGTATTTTTGTAGGGTGATTTAACGTAGGCTGATCATCAAGATATTCACAAAATCGAGATAGACAGAGAAAGAGAGCGGACGAGAAAGAGAGGGCGAATGCCAAAAAAAATTCCGAACATTTGACTCCGTAGGAAGACTGTGAACGTACTGCACGGAGTACAACGCGCACCTTTGTAGTGTGTCTATCAGTTTTAGGCCGGGTAATTTGACTTCCTGTTTCCGCCGCTAATCTCCATGGTCGCAACTAGTATGTTACGAGGCGCAGCTATAGGTTTCTTCTAGCTCGACCGGATTATTGATGCCTCATATCGATTCTTTCTTTCTTGCTGATTTATGCAGAGGCATAACTAACTACGAAGACATTATAACATTAATTCTTCAGTGTTCTGAAGAGTGATCCATTATCCACACCGAGCTGGCTAGGCCTAACTGGACCTTTTACCCGATTAGGCCGGTAGCAACGACCACTGCCATTACATACATAGGTGCCATCCCATAGTTCCGGCATGTCGCTTTCTCTGGGGCCGGGCCCCAAGGACAGAAGCTCATACTGTACCTTACTAAGGAGGTACTAGAGATATTAAGTCGATCGTACTAACCGGCGATGGGTGGGCCGAGTGGCCTACTACTGCCCGAACGTTAGACTGTCACCATCGTCATTGCGGTCTCCAGTTTTAATTTTATTTCTGTGGACTTGATCCCGACTTCCCCCAAAAACCCTTCCCATCAACTTGATTATCATTCTTATTCGCTACAGCCCACTTAATAAGTACGGCAATGGAGTTCCACTCTCATGACAGACTCTCTACCTTCTGTCGTACTGTAATCATACATGAATACTTACCAAGGCCAACTTGCTCTCGCTACTTGATTCGACTGCTGTCTTAGACAGCCATCGCCTACCAGTAACAAGCAACAATAGCAAATCCCCAACCGTTCCTGTCAGATGCAGGGCCGCATTTAGTAACCTCCTTGTCCCTCGGGTTCAGAATTCTCAACCCCTCCCTTCCCCTCAGGTCGCCTTCCCCTCCATCCAGATCAAGAGGGGACCTAGTTTTGGCACAAAGAGATGTCTTGAAGAAGCAACACGAGAGAAGACTGAACCGAAGGTGTGAAGAAGATGGGAACAACCTGGGTTTCCATCCCAAGATAATTATCACACCTGGCTTCCTCGCATTTCCCTCCTCCCTTCCCTCAAAGAGAGTTAACAATTCTGTGTCCTTGCCTGTCGAAAGGAGAGGGTCAAAAGCAATGGTGAATACAAAGATGATGCATGGGCGTAAAAATAACATCAAGAAAGGGAATATCAAGCATGCTAATCAATCAGAATTAAATCTGACATTGGAATAATGAAATGGAAAAGGAACCAAAAAAAAGAAAAAAAAAAGTAAAGAAATCATTGCGACTAAGCCAGAATTATTGTAATTGAGTGAGCAGACTGCACACCAAGAACTGTGCAATCGAATTAAAATAAAATAAAAAAAGAAAAAATACATGGGACAAAGTACAGGAAGGGGAAGTAATTCCAAAGAAATGGCATCCATGTCTCTCGCAGTCCCAGCAGACTGGAACAAAGACCCAGAAGCAACCCCCGTGCCAACATGGGTTTGCTCATTCTCGCCGCCAGCAACCAAGCAGTCTAGCAGCCATCTCTCAGGGTTTCAGCCGCTGGGGATCCCATGGGTTGTCTTTCCCATCTAGAACTTCTACCTGCGACATCTACCTCGCTTTAAAACACTTGATATCCACTTCTTCACAACCTTCCTCCCCCATTCCTCTGCCTCATACCGATTGTCTCGGATCTCTACTCTACTCTTGTATCAGATCAATCTACACCGACCATCGCTATACAAGACTTTTCTGTGAACCATTACCTATCTCTTGTGGTGCATCAACAATCATTTGGTTGCGAACTCAGATCATCAGCAATAATCGAAGTTTCACCCGCCTTCCATCTCTTTTTCTTTCTGCATGCTTGTAAAGAAACCACCTTGATTCTATTTTTCTTTCAGATCATTTCGCACGAGAGTCGATTGTTGTCCTTTGAGACACTGCATTCATCTATTTATCTCCGCCCTCCTTGCCCCGTCACTATTCATTCAGCACCAGGCCACTTGCTTTGTTTAATTGATCTCTACTCTTCTCCTCCTCCTCCTCCTCCTCCTCCTCCTCCTCCTCATCCTCCTCATCCTCCTCATCCTCCTCATCCTCGTTCTTCCTTCATCTCCTGTTTCCAATACATTCTCCTGGTATCAAGGCACTTGACTATCTTCATCAAATGCGAATGTGTCCGGGACTTGCTCTCAGATGCAGAATACCTCCGCCCTGTAAACGAAGACGTACCGGTGTCCCTTGCACCTCACTGCAATTTCTCTCCGCTTATTAGGCACAGTTCACCACTGCTGCCCCTCGCGACCCATTCCGCCAAACCAGCATAAACACACCCTTTTCTGGGGTCTGACAAGAAGGTCTCATTCCATACTATTCAGTTTCCCCTGCAAACCTTATCTATCGATCAAGTATCCTGCGTGGGTTCCTGGAGGACTTTGTGCCAGGCTTTTACCCATCTGAGTTAAAACATCATTCTTCCCCACACATTGAGACCCCAAAATCATGGCTAGCGCTACCAGAGTCATCCGTGGTCAGCCACCTTCGCCGCCCGAATCGACAGATCAGAATAAGGTGGCCGATACTAATCAAGACTCCTATGGCATCCTCACCTCACACTACAACCAGCTTGAACCTTGCACAACAGCTGCGGAACTCACTGGAAATCCTTCGTCGGACGAGTTGAATTACGAATCAACCTCATATGTAGGTCCACAACCATTCAACCTGTATGCACTAAGCAGGTATTGATGAAGAACCAGGATTACATCTCCCCACCCCCTCCGCATTTCCTACCCGGTGAATATCCACGAAACCTATCCTTGCAACATACGGTAGGTATTCCCTTCCCCTCATAACACCTACGTTGATCGCTAATTGCCTCCAGATTGACACGCCACCACCCACAGCAGACGACTGCCATATCCCCGGAGGCTTGAATTCGGCACCGCAGTGGCCATCGCCTCCAAGCCAAAGGCAGGCCCGGAGGGCAAGAGTTGCCAGACCTCCTAGGATGCGACGCAAGGGTCAAAAGGTCAAGGACCGAGAGTCGAGGCCTCATGTCGACAAGCCGCTGAGCGAGTTGACCAAGCACTTGACACACATTCCAATCAAGGATATGGAAAGCTGGGTACATCGATCCGCGGAGATCCGTCGCCAGGAAGTCGCAAAGAAAGCCGGCAAGATCGCCCGGCCGATGAACTCCTTCATGCTCTACCGGTCTGCATATGCAGAGCGAGCGAAAGAATGGTTCTCGCAGAACAACCACCAGGTTGTGTCGGAGGCTGCTGGTGACAGCTGGAAATTAGAACCTCCAGCGGTTCGTGGTTTATACGAGCATTTGGCGACTGTCGAGAAGAACAATCACCTCAAAGCACATCCCGGGTACAAGTTCTCCCCAGCTAAGGATAAGAAGAAGCGAGCAGGAGTGGATGATGATGAAACCCTGACAAATACGTTTGACTCAAGCCCAGCCCTGCCCCAAGGCCATGGGTTGAGCTCGTCAGAGTTGGACAGCAGTGGTTGGGACAGCCGTGATTCCAGTCCTTTTGAGTTTCCGGATCACGGCCTGCCTACAGTACCCTATTACACCGGATGGCACCCACCTCGTGGATCTATCTCAGGTTATATGCCTTCTTCTGATTCATCCTCATATATAATGCACGCACCACAATCAGGTTATATGTCTGTCCAGGACGACTTTCGGTTCAAGAGGCCGAGTTTCCAGGATGTCTCTTACAACACGTCTACTTCCTTGGCAGGATTGCCAGGAGCATCTCACCAGGATCTCCTCCAGCCTGCCAGCTTGGCTTCCACCCCGGGAAGCGGTCAGCTAGACCCTCAACTATTAACACTCCCGTCTGAACTTCCCAGTTCTAATCAAATGTACGGCGTTCATCAGCCAGTATGGCATGAGACGCCGACAGTCAACGGTTATGTCCCCATGACATCCTCAATGCCGCCAAGCTCAGTCGCCTTTGCTGCGGGTTCGACTTACCAGTCGGATTTGCAGCATCTCGAATGCCGTGACACTTGGGACTCAGCCAATGATGGCAAGCTGGAGGGCTCTGCTGGTGACATCAACTGGAGCCTGTACTGAAATTGTCATCAGAGCCACCGTTGCCGCTGTCACAATTTCCCAAGCGTGAGGTGTTGTCTTCCTCTGTTTCTGGGGGGTGGATATCTGTTTTGAACGAGGCATTGTTTGGAGTTTTGGGGCGCTGGCATACATGTGGATTCGAGACTACTCCATGTGACTCTTTCGATGTGCTTATTCTTACTGGGTAGATGGCCCTAGGTGGACTTCTGAGTCACATTTGACTGGCGTTTTCAGGTTGGCTTAAGTTCTGGGTGGCCGTCTCATTTGGTCGACATGTTCTGATACCTTGTGACAATATTGGTGCACTGGTTTTTTCCAAAGTAATAGAATAGTGTGAGATTCGGATTCATAGAATCTTTTCAGCATTGTGCAGATAGGTCAAGATTCTCAATCATCTCTTGCTGTCATATAGATAACTAATTGTAGTGATTCGTTGGTTTGGCTGCTCTGGTGAAGCGTGGCAGATACGCGCCCTGTCACGTGGGGATATCCGATCGGCGGGTCAAAGCAACGCGGCGAGAGGCAATCAATCCTGCGTTAAGACTCACGTCTCCGTCCGTCTGCATATTCATCGCAAAGCTTATTTCGAGCTCAATCAGGGTCTATCTCAGTGATTCTGACATATGGGGGCCTCTTTCGGAGATCTGCTTTTTCCTCTCAACCGCCCCTTGTTCTTCAACTCGTACCTCCTAATACCAATCCGCGTAGGAGTATACGTCTGCATCAGTACGACTGATTGTCTACGTTCGACCGCTACCCTTGCTGCCAGTCATGTCGAATATGTACGGTGAATTGGGCAATAAACTAGTTCGTCTTTCTCGTTTGTTTGACACTATGTACAATGTGGCCTAATACAGATTCTCTACAGGTTCAACACGCCAAACGCACCCAAGCTTTAACCCATCTGCCACCCTACCAGACCGAACTCGTCCGCGCCGTTGCCCGCGAAGTCCGCGACCTGGACCGCGATGTCGCACGCCTCCTGACTCCTTTCGAGGGCAGCTTCAATCCGTCCCAGGAACCCGCCATTGCCTGCGCCCTCCTTGTCGACCATCTCTGCACGCGTCGCAACAAGCGATGTCTTCTCGCCTATCATCGGGTGCGCACGGAAAAATTGGAAGAGCTCTGTTGGACGGGTGTGGATGTGCTGGAGCAGCAACTGCCCGTGGCGGAGGATGTCAATACAGGAGCTGCCGCTACGGCGGCGGCACAAAGTCAGGGTGCGGGGTCGGGGTTGAGTCACAGCTCGCTGAGCCCGGAGGAAGAGGAGTACTTTCGACAATACAGTGATCTGCTAGCCGCGTACAAGGGGCAATGGACAGACATCGATCTTACAGGGAGCTTGGAGCCACCTAAGGATTTGTTCATCGATGTGCGGGTATTGAAGGACGCAGGCGAGATCCAGACGGAATATGGGTATGTACAGGCATATATAGCTCCCTTATCTTCCATTCTCTTTCTTTCTCTCTTATATTCATGAACGGTCGGGTGCTGATAACGCGCAGAGTGATCAATTTGACCAAGAACAGTCAGCTCTACGTACGACAAGGGGATGTGGAACGGTTGATCGCACAGGGATTTCTGGAACGGTTGGGATAAATTGCTGTGTCTCCGTGGTCGGCAATTCTGATGTCGATTATCCACCGATGCTGCTGCTACTGCTGCTGCTCTTTTTTGTGTTACATGATGATACCCATTTAGTTTGTTTGGAGCGATTGACAACAGAGCGGTAATGGTGGGCATGGGGGTCACCCCGCGCTAAGATGAAATCAAATGAAATAGCGTAGCAACCGAGATGAAGTTTTGACACATGGAAACTGAGTCGTCGAGAGGGTCTAGCCAGTGTCTGGATCGTATGTTACGTTGGGAGAATCAAAGCAATCCGTCTTCGGCACGATCGCATGGCCGTTGCAACGACCGATTACCTAATAGCGTCGGCCCTATCATCGGCCTGGATGCGGCCATGCAGCTTCGCCGAGGATTGAAGCTCTTGTCTTCCACACCATTACTGCAGCTATTGTCGCACTTGTTAAAACGGCGCTCTTCTAATCCTGCACGACCAATCTAGTCTGCTAGGACGGTCAATGCTCTGTGGCCATCCAGCAGCTGCTCCTGCTATCCAGGTCCCCGTCCATTGCGTCCCCATGTCCGAGAAGTGGATCAGTGATAGTCCGCCCGTGATAAGACTTTTTAGTCACTTTCGCCCACCAAGCTGATAACAACGCCCAGTCATGCCTGGGCTGGATCGGATTGCTGCTCTGATTCCTCCAAGCCCTCTTCTGGACGCCTTCCATATCATACTCGTCAGTCTCTTCTTCTTCCCCTCAATTCTTCCACAATCGTGGAGCAATGTCTATGGTTGTTGATTCGAATTCTTGCGTCATCCGTTATCATTTCTCATCTCTCGGCCAGTGTTCTGAGATCTCGTTCACGCGCCTGGAAGCCCACGGGCTTGAACCAGTACTTACTCGGTCCTTGCGATCTGCGCCGTGACTCTGACGGCTGGGACTTGTGGTAGTCTTACCATCTGCCACACCATCCGCCATGGGAGTCCTGCGATCGTGCAACAGCGGTAGCGACCTCCGTGGCTCGCGGATGTCCTCGCACCATTCAGCCCTCAATGACGTTATAGAGCCGGCCGGGATGGAGATTCCAGTTGAGCATGCTCACAATGGGAGTCCTCCACGGTCCTCGGTGTTAGACCCAACCGTGTCGGGTGGCACCAGCTATCGGGCTCCAAGCAGGTCGTTCTTTCATCGATCATTTCATAACTCTGCAGGTACGCCGCTCATGTAATCGGTTCTCCTTTCCAAGACATGATTCCGCAGTGTCGTCACAATACAATAATTCAATGCTGACTGTCCGGGCCCAGATCCGGCGCATTATTCGTCCCATGGTATGCGAGAACAGACTGCTGAATTGGCATCTTTCGCTCTGTCGCAGGAATCGAACACACTTCCTCCGTCGCTTGACGTCTTCCACCCTCGCGGATCGTCACTTTCTTCGGCTTCGACTCCGATCGCAGCAGCAGCTTCAAGGACTCACCTTGAGGCCGGCCCTTCATCCATTCCGACTACTGGTTCCTCGGTGCTGACACAACTGATCCGACATCCTGACATTCCAGAATCAAGTCAGACTGAGCGGTACAACTCCGAGGAGTGGGAGCGGGCAAGTGACAGTACCGTCTCCCAGGACAACCTCCCCAACGCCGCTGCCGGAGAAACTGTTAGCACAGAGCACACCTCATTGTTATCAAAGCCGTCCCATACAAAGCCGTATCAAGGCTACGGCGCTGCAGGTGATATTGAGAATCAGGGACATGCGAGAACGAAGGGACCGAGCGCTTTTACCAGTGCCTTTTCAAGTGTCACTACGTGTTTTCGGGTCGTAGCAAACCCGAAGTCGTGGGACAAGCAGGCTGTCTGGAGAGAAGGGGTCATTCGTCCCCTCAGTCTATTGCCTTCGGTCTTCCTCGGTCTGTTGCTCAACATACTGGATGCTTTATCTTACGGCATGATCCTCTTCCCATTGGGTGAGCCAATATTTTCTGACCTTGGAGCGGACGGTATCTCTATGTTTTACGTCAGCACGATAATTGCTCAGCTCGTCTTCTCTTGTGGAGGCTCCATCTTCCGTGGCGGTATTGGGAGTGAAATGATTGAGGTCGTGCCTTTCTTCCACCAGATGGCTTTTACGATTCTGGCCCGAGTTGGTGAAAATAACCCGAAGTCTGTCTTGGCTACAACTATTCTGGCGTTTTCTGTCAGCTCGGTCCTGACCGGACTGGTGTTTTTCCTCATGGGGACTTGCAAGCTTGGAGCCTTGATTGGCTTCTTCCCAAGACACATTCTAATCGGATGCATTGGCGGTGTCGGGTTCTTCCTGTTATTGACCGGTCTCGAGGTATCAGCCCGCCTACCTGGATCCTTCGAGTTCACCTTGGCGACTATAGAAAAATTGGGGCAACTGGACACGGTGTTCCTGTGGACAATACCCTTGTTCCTCGCAGTTGGCTTGCTTGTTTTGAAGCGATTTCTACACTCTAATTTCCTGCTTGGGGGCTATTTCATTTGCGTGGCTGTCATCTTTTACATTGTCGTTCTCAGCGCTGGGGTTTCCATGACTACTTTACGCAACAAAGGGTGGGTCTTCGATGCACCATCATCATCAAACCCATGGTATCATTTCTACACACTTTATGGTGAGTTGAGAGACTTTACTACAGCAGTTAGATACTAATCATTCACAGACTTCTCCGCCGTTGACTGGGCTGCCTTTGTCGACACAATCCCGGCGATGTTCGCGCTCACTTTCTTCGGCGTGCTGCATGTACCTATCAATGTGCCTGCATTGGGCATTTCAACGGGCGAGGATAACCTCAATGTGGATCGTGAGCTTATTGCTCATGGTGTTACCAACGCTCTCTCCGGGTTCTCGGGCAGCATACAGGTACTACCCAACGTCACTTGTTCGAAAAGGCATATGCTGACTTCTACAATAGAACTACCTTGTATATACTAACAGTCTGCTGTTTATCGATAGTGGCGGCAACTCTCGTCTGGCAGGTATCATGCTTGCAGCAGCAACTGCGGGAATCCTTGTTGTTGGCCCCGCGATTGTCGGTTTCATTCCAGTCATGGTCGTCGGTGCGCTCATTTTCCTTCTAGGAATTGAGCTGATGCAGGAGGCCCTGGTCGACACATGGGGCAAATTGCATCGACATGAATATGTCACGGTAAGTTCGATTCCTAGTCATCAATGGCAGTGACTAATATTGTAGGTTGTCATTATTGTTGCAACCATGGGTGCCTGGGATTTTGTGGTCGGCATACTGGTTGGTATTATTCTCGCCTGTCTGAGTTTTGTAGTGCAGACTTCTCGTAAATCTGCTATCCGAGCTACGTTCTCCGGCAGGATCACTGGGTCTACAGTGAGGCGTCCTCCCATCCAGCAGCGATTCCTGAAGGAAGCCGGCCAGCAGACCCTAATCATCAAGCTCGGTGGTTATCTTTTCTTCGGTACCATTGTGAGTGTCGAGAACACGATGAGAGGATTGATTGAGGAAGAGGCATTTAATCGACGGCCCATCCGGTTCCTGATTCTCGACTTTTCGCGGGTGTATGGCATCGACTTCTCCGCGGCCGAGGCATTCACCCGCATTAACCGCATCCTTAGCAAGCGGAACGTTCAGATGACCATATCTGGTCTCGACGTGGAAGGAGAGGTGGGCCGAAGTCTCCAGAACGTGGGCTTATTCGAGGCCATGACGGGTGTGGAGATTTTCGAGGACCTGAACTCGGCGCTCGAATTCTGCGAGAACGACTACCTCAAGGTCTTTTACAGTCACAGAGAGGCTTTATTGAGAAGACAACACGGAACGCCAACAACATTCTTAGAGGTTCCCACCTCGCAAGCTCCGTCGCAGCTGGGTGATATGATGGTCAGTTCTCCTCGCCAACGATACCTGCAGCAAGCCGCGAGGACCACCCTTCGCGAAGATGAAGTTGCAGTGGTCGCACCAGCAGCATGGTCCTCTATGCGCCAGCCACTTCCGCTTCTTCTCCAGACTTTCCAGGGGATCACTTCTAGAAACGAAGACTTTTGGTTTCCCGTATGTGCCTACTTCGTGCGAGAAAGCTATGCCGCAGGGAATGTTCTATTCCATGAAGGTGACGTTCCAATGGGCTTCTATCTTCTGGAGTCTGGCATGCTTCGTGCCGAGTACGAACTTCCACAGGGACGATATTTTGAGATCATTGTGGCAGGAAGGCCATGCGGCGAGCTTCCTTTTTTCAGTGAGACACGCCGGACAGCAACCGTCAAGGCCGAACAAGACTGTGTGAGCTGGTGTTTGAGCATGGAGAAGTGGCAGGAGTTGCGTGAGCACGAGCCGGAGATCGCAAGGGAGCTTCTGACGGTCAGTCTGAAGTTGACTACAGAGCGGATGGATAGTATTACTTCGTGAGTCTCACATCCCGTGCACTAGTCTGTGCTTCTTAACTGACATCTTCTAGTTACGTCCTGACAACCGCGGCTTGATGGCTTCCTTCTCAGTGAGTCATGGATATGACTTATTTTCGATAGTGGATTGTGGTGGTATACTGGTCTTGCATAGCATGTTGGTGGTTCTCATTTTCATTCACTGTATAATGACCTTTGAAGCGGGTGCATGTATGTATGTCGGCTGATGCTGGATATTGTTTAATGTGGATTGGCCAGTCATGAAGCCCGTAATGCTCTGGACTTAATGACTGCTAGCTGCGTGACTGACCAGATGGGTTCTGAAGGATTGGACCGCAGACAGTGCAGCATGATTTAGAAAATGTAGACGCCGCCGACCCTATTCGTAGACTTCAACCAGAGAGATGCAATCTTACAAGGATACTCACTCCCCATGGAGACTCCGGTGACAATACTTGGTTACCTTCAGCTCCTGTACAGCATTAATCATTGTCATGGTTTCTGGAATACTCGCCGTATGCACAGTGGACTCAATCACCGGAGACTACTGCCCTCTATCTGCTGGCAGCCCATAATATCGACTAGATCAAACGGAAAAATGGAGGAACTCTCCGCCTTGATATCCTTTGCAAATGATTTCGAGCGAAAACCTTCAGCAACAACCCCAGAAAAACCAACTTGAAATCACAATCTTTAATCCGAAATGTCCCATCTTCCAACCTCAATGCTCTTTATGCTAGAAGATATATAATCCATCAAGAGCTCCATTGAAGATACCACTTACAGTGAATGCTATGGCATTGACCGGAAGCCCTACACACATCCTTCGAAACACCTGCAAACCCAAGCAGAACGCCAAACACCTTTGAATCTCCCCAAACCTGCACTATCGCCAAAAGGACCTTCCCTTCGAACCAACCCAAACGGTCTTTTCCTTCCAAAGAAAGGTAAGCCCCGTATCCAGAATGAGCGCCTCTTACGACCCCGACGACGAGATTACTGTAGCCGACCCGGCCGACTGGCACTGCGGGCCTTTCTGGTATGAGTGCCTTGTTGACCTGTTCCCCGCCGAAGAAGGCTTCACCGTGACCCAGGAACATACCTTGTCCTCGCTGGGCGAATCCTACGACCGTCTCTCGGTCAGCACGCCCCTGCCCCGGACATACCACGGGCCGCAAGACACCTCTGGCTTCGAGTTTGAAGACACGGTGGTCTTCACCCTCATCAAGGGCCGACTGAACCGGCCGTTCGCGTACCCGGACCACCACGACCGCATGTTGCGCGACTTTGTCGCTGCGCGGTATCGCCTGCCGATACTCTTCCCGAGGGACAACAGCAACGGGGCCATCCCAATCATCGGAGCGGTGGTCGTCCCCGTCATGCAGAGTTTGCAGTTCTACACCTGGGAGTTCCAGCTCGCGGGGATTGCGCCAGTGCGGATGGGGTATCTTCTTACTTCGCCGACCCAGCGAGCTATGGCGATGGAAACTCTGAGGGGCGTTGGGGCGCGGGTGAGAGATTTGGTGGTATCCTTGGGGGTGGCGCAATATTCTAATTCAGAGGAGGAGGTCGAGGAAGCCACTACTATCACTACGCGGATTAGAAGGTTGGTCAATGATTGATGCGCACTTGCTAAGTGCATCTTTTCTTATTCACTCCCCGGTATGTCTTCTTGGGTTATCTTGAGGAGAGACCTGGGTATGAGTCCGTGATATTAACTATATGATATCATTTCCTCATGAGTTCTGATGCTTATAAGTAAATTTCTGGGGGTGCGAGTGTATATCACGGAAGAACAATTCTTCGCACCATGCTCGAATGCGTAGTCTGAGTGAGAATGTAGTAGTGTAAGATTTATCGTGCTTGGACGTAGAACAACTGGCAGTCGTCAATTAAGCCGTATGTGTCCTGATCTATAACTACCCAGTATGGAGATGCTTTGTAGTATTTTTGCAGGTGTACGGATTACATGCGTACATATCAGGCTCACGAATTGTTACATCGTTTATCTAGAAAAGTATATATCCCTTCCAGATCCGAAAGCGGCATGAACGCACGGCTTTAGCTTGAAATTAGGCAATTTATTACGAGCGACTTACGGAGTGTATGTAGCGTCTGTCCAACACATGACCATGTTTCCTCTGCGTGCATTATCATCACTGCAGCTTCAGAGGTCACGCAACTCGCTCAGCCATAGATACCTAGAAGTGACTTATTCTAGCGCAACATCAACTAATCTATCAATGACAATGTCCTCTATCATTCATTGACTAACCCTTTCCCCATTGCCAAACATGCATCGCTCACTCACGCGAGCAGAGCATTGCTAATCTTATCAGGCGGTATAGTGATACCATCTTAGAGTTCATTGCGCTAGTTAACAATTCCCATGTTTTCCGTACAGACTCTGTACATCCCTCCCGCCGAAGTGGGGGATCTACAGCGTGGTACCGAAACGGTAGGTATATGGCGTGACAACGCAAGTCATGCGCCGGGCTTAGCCATCCCCTCTTGTCCCGACTCCCCCACTCGCTCAGTGTAGCCTCGGCATTTGTTTGAAGAGCATGGAGGTGTGACTTACTCGACTTGAAGGCTAGTAAGTAGGTATCTGTTGCTTTTCTCTGCTGGTGGAGTGGAGCACGTGCCATAGTGACTATACCTGTTACCTACAGTAGCATTCAGTCTACTGGCTGCATGGCGCAAGAGCTTGGAGTAAAAAAGACCATAAACGTGATCTCCGATGTGAGTCCGCAGGCTGCGTGTACAGGTGTACTGTACTAAGTGTTGCACACCCCATTCGTCTGATCATGGCCTGACGTTTGGCTGCGGCAATCATCTCCTACACAGTACAAATGTGTGGCCAAACATCAAAATACCACTTCCGCATCCCGGAACCTCCCATGCACAACAGAGGGATCACTCGGCAGAGCCCACACTTGAAGATAACTTGTTTATCTAGCCATCTTGGCATTGAACGAGCTCCTTCGTAGATGAGAGGCGGCTAACTGACGGATTATATTTGCTTCGTCCAACGATCTATCTCACAACGTCGTCTATGTGAAACGCTTGTTACTTGCGCAGAGATTAGATCCTTTTGCGCACTTCGCACCGTTTGAAGCGCGCGAATTTGCAGCCCGGGAGGGCTATCAACGGAATTTAAGCCGCTGATTACGGAGTATAATTGATTGTGTAGAGTCACTACCAGTACTCGTTCACGGTCCAATTGAGCAGGCGCATTGTTGAGAGAATCCGAATAGGGAAGTCGCGCGCCGGACTCGCGAGTATAAACCCCCCCTCGCCCGCAGTTCAGAGGCAGATTTCCCTCTCTTTCTTTTTCCACGCTGTGCAAAGCTCATGTCATACGCTGACTACGTACGTACTGTCGCCGAGCAGGAAGAGGGGAGAGGCTTGCAGGTGGCGTATAAGCCGGCGCATGCTCCATCTGGGACGGGATCTATCCTTGATTCCTTGGCCATCAGCATTGATAGTCATTAAACTAGTAGGTTAGTCATTCAAGCTAACTAGTCGGGGTAATGGCCCTTGATGAATTGATAGTCGGGATGATCAGGCGGATAACTGGAAGAGGTAAATTAGCGGGTTGGGGGTGGGTGATGATGACGATAGTCGGGGTATGATGGACAAGATAACTTGCTGAGTCAGTTTGTGGGAAATATTATCGTTGATGCGCACAAGGGATGGCCGTCTGTTGAGGTTGGAGTACATCACACAGTATAGTTGGGGGCGGCAAACTGAAGAGTCTGGCGCGCACCTTGGTGAATTTGTAGCTATACAACATCACCTGGCATGCTAGAAGAGCATACGGACGGGTCAACACGGGCCAAGCCATGATCATCAGATCGACGGTGGTCTGATTGGTGGACGGTCGGGATGAAGCTCATCAGCTCCAGTTAATTGGCCCGCTTCAGGGTTGCTGCTGGTCGAAACGGTCGGAAGGAAAACCCAACGACGAGAAGAAGTCGAGGAACAAAAAGGGGGCAAACTGTGAAAGAAGCCGCCGAGTGGGTACCCCACTATGGATTACAGATGGTCAATTCTTCGCACAGACTTGTTGAGTTGAAACCTTGATTATATATGAGGAGTGAGAATACCCCTTAGCACAGAATATTCGGAAGAGCGCTCTCTACCATGTTTGTGAGAACCTGGGTGCTATTGTTTTTGGTTTGTTGATCGCGTTTCCAAAATATTGTTGTAGCGAGCAGATCCCGGATGTCCCCAAACTTGTATAGATGCGGTGCGGTGCTGAGTGATAGACAACTGTCATGTCGCGATGGCTTCCATGGTACAATGCGAATGCCTCAGTCTTCAAGATTGAGGAAGTATGAGCTCTATCTTGTTAGGGAAATTCTTCCGCTGCCCTGATCCGACAAAAGAACAGCAAGCAAGGAGATAAATCAACTTGTCGAGAGTCAAGCGAGTCGAGGTCGTGAGACAGGGGACACAGAGGTGGGGCAGCCGTGCACTAACCAGGAAACTCCTATCCACTTTAACTCTCCTCAGTAAGAAGTACGAACTCATAGTTAGTCCTAAGGAGTTTACTCCCTAGCAATGTTTCCTTCCGCTCCCCACTTCCTTCTCTTTTCTCCTCCCTTCCCAAATATCTTTCTCGTATCGTTGAGCACGGGGATGGGGGAAGAAAAGGTGTGGCAGAAGTTTGGAATGATTTGCTTGGGTTCGTTTCATCTAAGTTACTGACCGGCTTATCGCCTAGTATCGCCAGATTGAATCGAACGAACTACTAGTAGCATGGAGGGAGAACTGGATGGATAGCCTCAATTTTGGCCAAGAGCGGCGGAATAATCCCCTCCGACATGTTTGGGGCTTTGGGCGAATGAGTTCAGTTGGAACATCAAGTCACGCGAGCCCAGAATAAGAAGACGTCAAGGATTCTTTCTCTCTCCTCACGGGTCAGCCACGCCGATAGGGTAGTTAAAAAAGAAGATATCGGCAGACATGGGGAGGGGGCAAGTTGGAGAGTTGGAGGGGCTTCATTCCCGCTGGTTGGTCCTACAATCTGAACAATGCTGGGCTGTCACGAGGCACTCCGGTCGCATGGACGGCACTGGATGGAGATTCATTTGAGGCCATTTCAACATGGAACATTGTGTGCGTGTGCGTGTGTGGGTGACACAGAATGACGATGATGAAGAAAGGCAGAGATGCAGAGAGCAATTTGCTCGCCAAACCCAGTGGGCGGGTAACCGAGCACTGCAATAACCAAAAACTTCGCTATTCAGACTAGCCCGGCGCTTAACATGATTTCTCATCATCGAGATCTAAAGTGGATCAGTTGAGCAGAAGTCTTGAAGGTCCTGAGTATCTACTCCAGAGTAGGTCGGACCAGATGGTTGTTCCCGACCGCGGCGTTCTGCTATATGTGAAACACCAATAGTCGCGATTCAGTTTTGGCGCTTATAACTAACCGCCAAGCAGCAAAAATCATCATCATCTTCTTCATCATTATCAAGGCAGACAGAAAATGTATCTGGAACACAGGAGTCATTCATCATCGACTACTATAAAGAATAAACAACATGAAGCCACTTTGACTGGAACCCATTTGATTTGACCCATGGTTGTGCGACGGCCCAGCCTTGGAAGCTAAACCCACCAGGATGCAGTGATCTGGAAATTCTGAATAGGAGGTTTCTGGATGGAAACCGAATGGATGGTGGCTGGGTCCCACAAACACGGTGGGCAGGTGACACCAACTACTTCACCCTTTCAAAGTCTTTGCTCTACCATTGACGACAATGGCATCTTTCGGCAGGAAGGGGAGTGGTTCGTAGAATGTGGTGGCAACTTCAACTATCCCTACGGAGGATAACCGATGATCTACTGTAGGTACCATACAGATGGACTGGATGACAAGTGACCCTCCCAAGCGCCGTTGAACCCATCTGCACGACCGGTAAAGACAGAGCCAAGACCATCCCACCACCAAAAGGGCGTCCGCGTCCCACGGCAAGACCTTCCATTCCCAGGGCTGTCACCCAAGGAGGTTTTCCTTCTCCTTCGGATGTTGGTAGGGGGCTAATCGTGTCGGTCAGCTAGTTGGTCAATGGAGATCGTATTTCACCACGGTTTCATCAAACCCTTGACCTCATAGGGGAGGGGGGGGGGGGGGGGTTGAAAGAGGGTTGGTGTAGGAGGGGGCCTCAAGGGCCTGATTTCTGATTCTATTACCTATTATTGGGCCGATAAATTTTCATTCGGCGCGCAAGAGCCTGCGTCGCGTGAAAATCTTTACTTCCATTTTCTTGGTAAGGAAACGGACTATGCTAGGATAGGTTTTATACTTCGGACCTAATTAAGAGGCCATGGTCTAGAGGAGGGGAGGAGAAAAGGGAGCTTGGACTCGTCTAACATCGTGACGATTGGCAGCAAGACCGGGCGTTTTGACTGGATCGTGTTTTGTCCAACAGGACGTGCTGGGTGTGCTATCGGACGCGGTTTCCAGTCTGCAGGATCCGGGCATGGTGCATGGGGAGATTCAGATCGTGATGTATGTGGATGTAGAAAGAGGATGCAGGTGTCAGAGCCGAATACTGGCTGGTAGAAGCGACTGTGCTGTATGTGGTTGTTACTGGTTGGTGTTCTAGTAGTTTTATTTATGGTCTGATGATGATGGGTCGGTCGACGCGATGGGGCAACAACACCACCGCACCCCCTGATTTGAGTATGTAGCTAGGGAATTAAGGAATTAGCTTGAGACTCACGGATAATTAAGTGAGTCAACTGAGTCAGGATCTGTTCAGTAGGAATTCACTTCTTTTACAGCATATTCATAGTACTGTAACTAATCAGCAGCACTGTCATAATAATAGGAGTGGTCAAGATGCTCTGTAGAGTATGGAGTAGGGAGTAAGTATAGATGCTCATGGATTAGCAAGTAAAAGGAAAAAGAGGAAAAAAGGGAAAAAAAAAAAAAAAAAAAAAAAGAAAGGGAAGGCCCACAACTCCTTTCAAGTCTAGCCTCGAGGGCCACCCGCCCTGCAGCTCCCTTCCTGATTAGGAAATGACCAGGCCTCCTGGTGTAGGTGCTGCTCGTTGCTCGTTGCTTGTCGCTATTGCTGCTGTTGCTGTTGCTGCTAAATTACTGACTGCTACAACTTGCGACCGACCTTTCATTTTCCGCCCTCGCCCTCCCTCCGAATCCCTCCTTTTTCGCCCCTGCTCCTTCCTGCCTACAGAGAGACACACTAGGCTGAACTGACCTGGTTGTTGGTTGGTTCATTTCACCCTCCTCGTTTCCAGGCTTGAAAAAAATCCCCTGCCCTCTTTCTTCTTCTTTCTTCTCTTCTTTTCTTCTTCTTCCTCTCTTCTCCCATATACCCATTCTAATCCAGATCTAAGAGTCCTTTCTCTTCTTCACCACCCTTACCCTTTCTCCTTCATTTTGATACCCAAGCTTTCTTTAGCTTTGCGCGGGAAGAGCTTCTTGTTTCCTTTTCTTCGAGATACCCATACCCCCCCCTTTTCTAAACGATAACCCCTCCAGCTCAACGCGCACATAATCAACGAAGCCCTCTCAGCTTCCACAACATCTAACTAATTCATCACTATCGATTATAATTACAACTCTAATCAACCAATCTACCATCACCATGTCTGAAGTCCAGAAGCCTGTTGAGGAGACCCCTGCGCCTGTCGCTGCTCCTGCCACCGAAGCGCCTGCTGTCGCTGAGGTTGCTGCCCCCGAGACTGCTGCTGTGGAGGCTCCCAATGAGATTCCTGCCGAAGCCACTGAGGCCACCCCTGCTACTGCTGAGGAGCCCAAGGCAGATGCCCCTGCTGAGGAGGCCAAAGAGGAGCCCAAGAAGGAGGAGGTGACCCCCGCTTCCGAGGGTGTCCTTGGTTACAAGGCCCCCGGCCTGGTCAAGTAAGGCACCACTGATCCGCAAAGTGATGTTTGGGCGCAGTGACTAATCGTGGGTATCACAACAGGGGTCTGCGTTTCGCCAAGCGCTTCTTCTACTTCCACGATGAGGCCGTCGAAGCCAAGCAGCTGTCCGCCTTCCACCAGAACGAGAAGCCTGTCGTCGCCAACCCGATCGCTGCTTGGGCTAGCCAGACCGGCAAGGGTCTTCTTTTCTTCACCAAGCGCGCTGAGGACAAGGCTTCCCCCGCCGGTATTTTCAATTTGGTTAGTATTTCGGGACATGCGATTTAGGTTGGTCTGGGTGGAGATGCTGACTGAGTATATAGTCTGAGGTTTCCGATGTCGCCAAGGAGGGTGCCAGCGAGTTCCACTTCAAGGTCAACGGCCACAAGCACACTTTCCAGGCTACCAGCAGCACTGAGCGTGACAGCTGGGTGCTTGCCCTTGAGACCAAGGCTGCTGAGGCTAAGGCTGAGAAGGAAACCATCGTCGCCAGCGAGGGCTACAAGGCTGAGCTGGAGAAGCTGAGTAAGTCATGCATTTGGAAAAGAAAGGTAACATTGACTAACCTTGCCTAGACAAGCCTGCCGTTGCTGAGCACGTCAAGAAGGCTGCTGAGCCCAAGGAGGAGGCTGCTCCTGCTGAAGACCAGAAGGACGAAAAGGCTACCGCCAAGAGCCGCTCCCAGTCTCGCAAGCGCGCTAGCATCTTCGGTACTCTCATGGGCAAGAAGGAAGAAGCCGAGGAGAAGAAGGAGGAGCAGAAGGAGGAGAAGGCCGAGGAGGCTGGGGCTACCGAGCCTGCCACTGAGGCCCCTGCCGAGGCTCCTGTCGAGACCCCTGCTGAGGCTCCTGCTGCCGCTGAGGAAGCTGAAGGTATGTTTTATCCAAGCCCCTCTCCATATGCTTCTGGCTAACACTATGCAGTCCCCGCTCCTGCTGAGACCAGCGACAAGAAGGAGGAAGAGAAGGAGGAGAAGAAGGCGGAGGCTCCTGTCGCCCAGAAGTCCAAGCGCACTTCTCTCTTCGGCAACTTCTTCCAGAAGGTCACCAGCCCCTCACACGAGAAGTCGGAGAAGGAGGCTGCTGCCCCCGTCGAGACTCCCGTTGCCAGCACTGCTCCCCAGCTTGACAACCCCGTCGAAGAGGCCAATGTCAAGCCCATTGAGCCTGAGGCTGTGACTGCTGCCGCCGACGCTGAGGCTTCCAAGGATGCCACTCCCGCGGCTTCTCCTGCTGCTGCAGAGACCCCCAAGAACAGCCGCCGCACTTCCTTCTTCGGCAACTTTGGCAAGAAGAAGGGCGACTCTGACAACGAGGGTGTTGACGGCGAGGCCAAGCCCAAGGGTAACAAGCTGGGCGGTATCTTCCGCAAGCCCAGCAAGGCTGTGAAGACTGAGGTCAAGGAGGCTGCCCCTGACGCCACTCCTAAGGAGGCTCCTGTCGAGGAGTCGCCTGCTGAGGAGAGTGCTCAGCCCGTCGAGGCTCCAGCTGCCACCGAGGAGACTGCTCCTGTCAACAATGTCCCTGCCTCCACTCCTGTTCAGGCTGCCGCCTGAACGTGATTTGTCTGCAGTTATGCGACTCCGGCACCTGAAACTCGAAAGTTTAAAATCTGCTACATTCTCTTGACGTGAATACTACTCACTTGGCTTCATCATGGTTCTCACTCGACAATCCATTGCCGACGTGATCTGTGTTGAGCGTCAATGATACCCTGTGCTGCTTTGGCGGTTATTTCCGAGCCTTGATGTCCTTTCTGGCGTCTTGCGCTGCGTTTCATTCGTTTATGATATCCGTTCCACAAGGCACCCCATTGGGCCTTGTGTGATCATGTTGTGCGCCGTCCAAACTAGATTGATACCACCTGCTGCTGTTTTTACTCTGTGCTTCCTCGCGATTTGATTGTGACTGCCATTTGATGCATTTGACTGGATACCCTTGTCGGAGGAAAGGAAGGTCTCTTTTGCTTGTTGAAAGGGTATGGTGCTCATTGTTGACCATCCATCTTGTCCGCTATGGTGACTCGATGGTGGTACAGAATGCCGGTCGCGTCATGTATACTTGGGCACCGCATCATTAGGTAATAGCTAATAGAATCCACGCATTGTTCTGCAATTGGTTCGCGGGGTACGAATTACCCCAGGAGTTTATATGAGGTGTCAAAGTGTCCTCCGTGCGTATGTTCCACATGGGGTCTCTGGTGGGGACTGTTCCGCCCACTTCCGATTTGCCTGGTCGAACGCACCACAGGTAACATGCAGTAGACACCAAGTGGGCTCGCAGAGCCCTGCATATGGAGAAGATGAAGTGACAACGGAAGCCGCGGCCACCGACTGGATTTCATTCTAATCCTCTGGTGTCCCTTCATCGTTGTTGCAACATATCAACAAGCGGGATATCTTCTATAAAGTCCCGAGAGAACATGGACAGTACAACTGTAGAGAAGGGTTTGTCAGAGCAACCCAAGTGGCTTCCAGTATGTTATGTTGTTCCCATATATCGCCTTCGTAGACAATATTTGGCTTGGACCTCTACCATTTGCAATGATTGACCATCGCGGTGATCATCCTCTTCATACGCAGGTCCGACCTGTCCTCGAGCTACGATGCGACGGTTACCATGAGGAGCTGCGACGACCCATGGACGGGTGTTCTTCTGTGGATCGGACTTTGTGGAAGGTTGACAGGGTTTAATCTTGAGGGCGTTCAAGAATGCATATCGGGCTACCAGGGAAGTTTTGAGACGGAACTTGACTGAATTTTGGCTCAAGGAGGGAAACGGTTGTCGCTTGCGGCGATTGATTTATAGACAGAGGGTATGAAGAGGTCGGTTGGATCACTTATAATTTTTTTATTTTCTTTTTTGTAGCTCGAGGGGATGTCAATCTGTGCTTGGATTAGGGTGTAATCCATCTGGGTGACGACCATGTCGCAGATGCCTCCCCTTGCCGGATGGAATTATGATACCTGACAGGCAGTACAGCGCTTCTGAAATGGACAGTACAAGGTCGTTTGGATGATTGCTCGTGCCAAAATGCTTCGGGTTGGAGTGAGGAGGTATGTTCAACCGCCGCGGCCGCGACGAGACGCATTTTGTGGTCCGAATGTGAAAGCTCGCTGATTTCTGGCGACGTACACAGAACCACACTGGACCTGTGGCTATTGTAACATAGGCAGTGACCAGTGACGGATATGGCTACTTCACGAAAATGGAGTGGGCGAGATACCCACCTGGCGAGCCTATGCGGCCTCGGCTGGCGATCCGCAGCGCCAGCTCTGCTCATTTCTCTCGAGATTGGCTGCAGTATGTGTTCGGCCAGCCAGGCGCTGCCCATGTGGTGTACGACAGTCTCCTTTATCACGAGACGCACAACCTTGTCGTTATATCTTCAATCCATGCACACGACGATTGGAGCTATATGGAGCTGAATAGCCTGCATCGCACTGTCGCCTGCGGGGTTTTCTGGAAAAGTCCGCGAAGCTTGGGCGTCTCGAAATCGGGTGTGATGTCGAAGCTACAGGAGAACACTCTGGAGCCTGCTTTGGCTCATGAATGCAAGCTGCAGTCAATTGCATTTGAGGTATCGAGGCAGACGCGCTCGATCCTCGCGGTGGGGGTTGGTTCTCTGTGAATTGTTGTCGGGTTTCAATGCTTCTGTATGTCTAGGTAGGGCCCGGGACATACCTGGAGATGTTATTCATGCTAGGCTATTCAGTTTAGAGAAGAATGGGCGTCTGCAAAGCTCTCACACAAAGTGATATCATACTGAGCTCAACGACTCCCCTGCCTGCCATTGCTGTCTCTCCATTGCAGAATGTACCAGCCTACGCGCTCTGCTCATGATCCGGATTGTCCATGGGAACCTGCCTTCACATTCGACGCGTTTGTGCCCGTCAATCGCGATGTGAGCCCACAACTCCCGGAACTTTCCTCCCGTTAAATGACCTTACCTTGAGATGTTTGAGTGCTCGTCGGACCTGCATCAGGCATTAATATCTGCCTAGTAGGACGATGTCTTCCCATTGGCCGGGAAAACAATTTCCTGGCTGCCTAGTCAGCACGAAATCAAAGCTGGAGTCCCATCTCTGACATCGCTTGCCATGAAGTAGCTGCCTGGCTGGATTCCAATGCGGTATACTATTGTTTTAGTCGGAGTTACTTACCAACGTGAAAGCTAGAAAGTATCATGGTCCAGCTCAGAAGGCCGACGTCAACACGTCGTCCTCCAGCTGGCTGCTCAATACTCCCTGAGACAAGCTAGGAAGACGCGCGAGAACGACTAAGTGCGACACCATTTGTGAAAATAAGTTGCATGGCTTGGCATGTAGGAGGAGCGTTGTCTACGAACGTTGCAGTAAATTTTACAAGTACTACATTCATATTTTTTTTTGGCTCGTTGTGGCATAGGTGCGAAAGTGACAGGCTTTGAAGGTTGAATTTGTGCAGAAAGTTATTTTTAATCCGGGATTTGAGTTTGCGTGAAGTTTTTTGTCAGAACAAGTGGTTGGGAAGTAACGGATTATCTTGCGACATGGTAGAGATAGTTGGGTAGTGGTTGAAGAATCCTTGTCGACATCCAAATTGAATATACTTCGGCCGACATTTAGGTATTCGGGACTGCGATGGCTGGCTTTCGAACGAGAGCTGATGCCCTGTTAAGTAGTATCCAAGGCTGACCTGTTCATTGTGTACAGTAATCACGGAGTTGAGTCTCTCTGGCCACTGCAGTGGCAGATGCAATCACGACGCAAGCCATTGGCCAATCGTAAAATGGTCTGTGCCGTCATTCTGTCCCTGGCTGACCAAGCCAGGTTGAGATGCTGTACTCATTTCCTTTTTCCTTGATTTTTTATTATTCCAGTCCCATGTAGGATCGCCGTTTAGACAGAAATGCTCGCATTAATCATGCTCAATATGACAGATCACAGGTGGTTGCCTCTTCTTCCCCCTCAGCAGCATCAGCAGCATCCGCAGAAAGCCGTTAGAATGTGCATGTGCGCCTCGAATGTGCGCCTGAAGCAGACCCGCGGGCCACGCGGCTGCAGTCCGTATCGCCGGCGTATCCATCCATGCGCAAGGGCTTTTGCATCGCTCGAGCGAGTCTCCACCGTCCCAGACACTGTCTCGACTTCCCCCAACCTCCTTACAGTCCTTTTTCTGGAGTCCTTGTTGCTGTCGTCATCATCGACAACTTCTTGTTCCGCTCAGCATTCAAGTGATGTCGGTCCTCTCGAACTCAACGACCCCTTGCTACTATGGGCTGTCAGAACTGATTTCGCTCATGATTCTCTGGCTTACATTGAGAAAGAATTTTCTTCCTTTCCCCTTTTTTACTTAGTTCACTCTTGAATGAGAGTCCGGTAGAGCCCGTATCTGCTCCATAATCCGTTGGACGATAAAGTATACGGAGGCCCGTTCCTTGGCTGGTCCTGTTACGGAACCTTTCCGTGCATTTTTTACTTGTAATGAAAGAGGATAACAGGGGAGGGAGGGGCATACCGCCGCCGATACCGGTCCCCAATGTGGGGGTTTCGCGCTGCAGACCGTGAAAGGGTTAGAAAAAGAGGATACATTTCCTCGGCGGTTGTCCTGATGATTGCAGAGGGCAAATTCCATCTCGCTCATTTGAGTGATACCGCCATGCTGAAGACAGATTTCAAGGATTCATCCTAAGTACTAAAATCCTGTAGGAAGGCTAAGTGAGTCCAGAGGGCGGGCTGAAAAGGTGGTCTAAACCACGCATTTTCCCTGGCTAGTGAACAGGCCGGAACGTCCCGGTGTCTTGATAGAGTTTGACCGGGTGGAATTTCACGCCCTTCGAGCGATTTTAACGAGGGAGGGGAGGAGGGGCTTTGCACTTTGCATTTCTGCATTTTGCATTGTGCACTTCTGCAGGGCGGGGAGTGAATCGAGCACAGGATCTTCGGAAATCCGACGACAACAGAGGGAGTCACAATTTTACCTACTTACGCGCAAGATGTCTGCCTGGCGCATTCAAATGATGGCTGGACTGGCTACCTAGTGTCAAGTCAATATAGATGCTATTGGTGAGACAATGGCAGTGAGGCTCTTTCTGCTCACTCAGCCCCGGGCGCTCTCCCCAATGCAGACCCCGACATGCGAGGTGGTTGGCCAATGGACCCGCTAGACCATCCCGGGTTTCATCATTGACCTTTCATCCTTTCTTCTCGAGTCCCTCATCACTGCAAATTCTGACACTGACGGGTGGAGTTGTAGAGAGAATACTGGCCAGTGGCATTGCCAACACCAGCGTACCTGGGAAGGTCCTGGCCCGTATTTTGAAAGGTACCGAGGGAGGAGGTTTCCAATAGGCTTCAGGGCACCTCAGTTCACAGGCTGCTTCTTCAAGCAACCGTGGACTCTCGGCAACTGCCTGCTCCAGGCACGGGAATACCTGGGGCTTCGACCGGCCCCACCAGCTAGGAGTCTGTATCCAATAAGAGCCGTTACAGGCCCTATGACTCACACCTGCTGACCGCGTCAAAATCACGCTAAGCCAGACTAGGCTAGACCGGTAGGCGGGGGTCAGGGTCACGCTGATTGGTTTTCATGTAGCGGTACTCGGTTTAAGAAAGCCTGGTTTCCCTTCGATGCCTGGCGCTTCTCTTTTCCCCTTTCTCTTTTTTTTTTCTTCTGACATCCTCTCTTAACTCCACCATTATAGATTCAACTTTTTGTCACCATACAGCCACTATACAACGAGAATTTTCCTGATTCATCTGCTCAAAATGGCTTTGTAAACGCCTCTTCGCAGTCCGCCTCGTCTTTCTCAACAGAGACAGACATCATAGATCCTCACCGGACCTCGTCTTTTTTTTCCCCCTCGTCTTCCACCCCTTCAGAGTTTCCTGTCCCAGGACCTCTGAACTTCAGCAGCGCATCGCGTAGCTCAAGTTCCTTTCGCACGATTACCCCGTTCGACGTCACGTCGTTCACCACGGATAACTTTCAGCAAACATGGCTCCCCACGCCCCCGTCTCAGCAGCCACTGGCTTCAGTTCCGAACAACAACAACAGCAGCAACAACAACAACAACAACAACAACAGTCTTTGCTCCCTACCGGAAGACTTTGTGCTATTTCCAGCGTCGCAGCCTCCACCCAGAGATTTGCATGCTCCAGCACCACTGGATCTTACCCTTAATTCTTCGGCCAATACAAACTTTCTGGTCCCATCTGGGCTACCTACTCGACGACACTCTACAGCGGTATATCAACGGCCCGCAGCCTCGCCTAGTCAGGTCAATTCTACCAGAATAGCGCCTCACAGTTCCGGGTATCATCTGTCTACTACGTCTCCTTGGTCTCATCCTTACGCACGGAAGCAAAATTTGCGCCACTACGCAATACCTGCCGCTTCGCCCTCTAACCACCCCAATCGTCCGCCAGTTCCTCTCTTCAACGACAACTCTACAATTCCCAGACTTCACAACCAGATCCTCAAGAAACAGCACCTTTACTACCTTAGAAGATACCAAAACTACCTGAATAAGCAAAATCACCGTCGCAATATGTCTACTTCCAACATTCCAGGTGAGCAGAAAGCGAGCAGCGGGATTAGTTGCGTCATCATTGCTAACATGCATCGCGCAGATCTACCCGAACTCTTCGATTTCCAGCCTGGCTCCATGGAGTCCACTCTGCTCTCTCCCGAGATGCTCTCTGGCAACTTCTACAGCCAGGGAGTCGAGGCCGCTCCTCTGGGCACAGTCTCGCCTCAAGATCTTTTCCTGGACTCCTCTTCGGCTCTCGCGGCTCCTCCATCGTCCACTTTCACAGATATGAGCACTCCTCCATTGGCTGATCCTGGCAGCTTCAGCCAGAACACATCTCCCTTGTTTACCCCGGAGATGGACTTGATCACTACCGTTGGTGAATGGGAATCCTTGTTTCCCCTCACACAGGAGATGAACCGTCTTGAACAGCCTCTTGACAGTGTGGAGATGATCCCCGCCATGGATTCAATTGAGATGATTCCTGCCCTGCCGCCTACCAAGTCGATGGGTCCTCCACGTTCTCCAGTCATCCGCCAAAGCACCTCGCCCGCTCCTTCGACTCCGGCCGAGGCTTCGACTCCGGCTAAGGCTCGCACTACTACTCGCTCTGTCTCGCCCCGCGCCAAGCTCTCCACTGTCGCTGGAGTCAGTCGTCGCAAGAAGCCACTTCCGGAGATCAAGTACGATCCAAAGGATCCCGCCGCTGCAAAGCGTGCTCGCAACACTGAGGCGGCTCGAAAGTCTCGTGCTCGCAAGTTGGAACGACAGGAAGAATTGGAACTTCGTGTTGCCGAACTCGAGAAAGCCCTCTCTGATGCGCAGGAGAGCGAGCTGTTCTGGAAGACGAAGGCCCTCGCCATGCAGGGCAACTAATCAAAAGTTATTCGGGTTTTTTTTCTGGTATTCGTTGGTCGCTGGTTCGGGTCAATGGTTTTTGGTATTCTATTTTGTGTTGTGCTCATTGTGAAATTGTCGTTTATTTGAGTCCTGTGGACGGGGGCGCCGAGCCTTTTCGTCTTGTCTCCCGTCGGTAGCAGCAACCGCGTCAGTCGATCGCCATCAATCTATGGTCTTCCAGTCTGCTATCGGCGGGATAAAAGTTTTCTACTTGTCACTTGATTATCATCCGGTCACTTTGCTTGTTCCCTCTGCACTGCCAGACCCTGTGTTGTACTTCTCTCGGAGGGGGGCTTCAGTCATCAAGAAGTCTTGCCTTTGGTATTTTTTTTGCTTCTTCCCCAGTTCACTCCACTCTGGGTCTTCTTCATTTTCCGGATTTGTCGTTTCGTCAAACGGCCGGTTCTGATGTCTCCTTTATATATGGATTGACTCGTGGCCATTAATGTCTCTTTATATCTCGTGTCTCAAGCTATCCTGCCCTGTTTCACTAAAGATTGAACTGTTTGTTCTTTGTACCAGATTGTGACCGGTCACTGGCTACCTTTTTTTATTATATCAATCGATTGCTCTCTGCTACATCTTCTTGCATGTCTGCGCGCGCCTCGTTCTGAATCTCGTTAGCTCACTCGCTGCGCTATCTTGATCTTTAGACGGAGATATGCACGCTGCAAATTCCAGGCATGTTTCCTAGATATATTTTACATTAAGGCTTTCTTCGTGCGGTCGTCAATTGCCACACAGATCGCCTTTTTTCAAATCAACTCATCTTCCAGTTCCCGGATCGAGATCCATGTTCCGTAATGTCTAGTAGCCATGTCTAGTGTAGTCCCAAGAACCTGTAACGTGCTTTGCATGACAATCTGCTGAAATAGCTCTTGTATTTACCCGTGCTAGTTTCCTGCTGTTTGAAAAGGTCATCGCCTCTACTACTACATGAATGGTTGTAAATCACCATTAATGCCGTCTATTGTCCTTCTCAATTCTATGAGCTTTATTTCATCTCTATTATAATCCATCCTCTGAATCCCAGCTCGCCTGCCTGTCCTATATTCCCGCCCACCACTCTACTGAATCCGCATACGCCCGCATGAAAGTTTGTCTACTTGAAAAACCCATCCTACAATCGTATGGTGGCGAAAATATAGACACAGCTCAGACTTGCCTTTAAACACACCTCATCAACACAAACCCCCTGATTCCCCACCTCACCTCCCAATCGACTTCCATGTCCCAATCTACACCGATCCACAAGTCACTCAAAACCACACACGCTCACTCACCCACAGTATCCCAAACAGCGTCATAGTTTCTTGACTATAATCAAGAAGCAAAATGCAGGAGTGGATTCCAACGTGTCGCAATCAGGAAGTACCTATCCCTCTGCCGATCCCCCGGGGGGGAAGACAGTGGGCGGTTGCAGTCCTATGCGGTTGGTGAACGAGATGACATATGTTTGTTGGGGTGGATACCGAGTGTTGAGTGGTGGGTTTTCAGGACTCAAGACTAGGCAGGAGGGAAGAAAGAAGCTGGAAAGAGGTGCGGGACCTAGCTAGGGGGGTTTAGTCTCGGAAGTATCTGATTCTTGGGTTTTGTCATCATTTGCTGGTCTTTTGCTTCTGAAGGGATATTTGGGGGGAGGGGGGTCAGGGTATCGTTTTGTTCTATTTTGTCTTGCCGGCCGAGTAAGGAGAGCGAAGGGTGCTATAAGCAAGCTTTTCTTTTTCTTTCTGTTGTTGTCCATTCAGCTGAGCGCATCGGTCCCTTTTACTCTGCCCTTTTCCATCTTGGCGGTGCGAGATCCGAATTGAATAGCGCGTTTCTTCTCGCGGGCGACGTTGATCATGCCGAGGCGCAAAGCGACCAGACGCAGGGCTTTCTTTTCTGAGTCGAGCCCTGCTTCTGATTCGAGTTCACTGGGAGTCGTTCCAAATCCGCATTTCTCCCAGACGGGGAGTTGCACAACCCAAGACACGAAGTCTTCGTCCAGAAAGGGGAAGCGCGCTTCGCGGCCCCAGTGCGCGATCACTCGGTTGTCGCGGCCCAGGTTGCGTTTCCCGAGGCGACTCACGTCGAGGTTGATCTCGTCAATGAGACCGGTGAATCCGTCGCGTGAGAAGGCGGCCCCATGTCTGGAGTAGCCTGCAAAAAGCTCGTCTGCTCCGAGGCCGGAGAGGAGAACGCGTGCGGAAGTTGTGTATGGAGTTAATTCATGGTTGTCTTCTTGCCGTTGACTATCGTACGCTTGACCTTGTCCGCGAGCGGCAAAGTACAGTGCACATGCAATAGACAGATCCATCTCCGTGTTGTGCGGCCTCATCAGTCGCTTCACGGTGTCTCGGTGCGCGAGGGTCTCCACGTATGGAATGTCAATGGCAACAAAGCGCCAATTCCGACCCGGGCAGACCCGCTGGAGCTCCGCGAATGCTGCTCGACCCGTCATTCGATCAGGACAGCTCTCATACACGGAGCCTGTAGCTTCGCCTTGTTTGGCAGCTGCAGCGGCGACACGTGGATTCTCAAATGCGACATTCAGGAGATCGATCGTTTCGTCTCCAGGAAGGATTTCATGGGATAATCTAGCCAGTAGGGAGCAGTCGAGCCCTCCCGAGAACAGCACGGCAACCTTGACTCTGCTTCCAGTTGGTGACACCGGAGGTTCTCGCACATTGTTGATTCGTAGTGCTAAAGATTGGTAGAGCTTTTGCTCCAGGGCTTGAATGATTGGCGTTTCAGTAGTCAGTGGCGGAGCGGTCGGTTTTTCGGGGAGATCTCTGTTCATTGGAGAAATAGGTGTTTTCTATGGTGTTATTAGTTATCCTAACCATTGTAATGAACGTTAGAATAGTGCGTACTGGGCGAAGGGGAGATACGTGCTGATCCCAGAGCAGGGAGCGTATACTGTCAGTTGAGAACACGGCAGTACTGCCGCCAGCTCCAGGCTTCAATGTCATAAAAGTATGCTCGAGATCGATAACATATACGCCATCTGTCTCAACCTCACTAAAGTGAGTGGTAGTTGTGCTATCACACAGACTGCAGATCTTGAAGCTGCCCTCATCGTCCACCCCCTGCAGCAGAGAGCGTCTGCCCAGACAGTCTCTGGTAAAATAGACCTTCGCGTTGATCGCATCGTAGAAAACAAGGGCGAAAGGACCGGATATGCTACTGATCACATCCAAGACTCTTTGGACAACATCCGTAGGATTCTGCTGTTCTGATGAGTCTGTTTTCAGCGTGTTCACAGCTTTCAATAAGAGACGAAAGATCGGCTCAACATCATTGCCCTCAATCTGTCCACCTTTGATCTTCCAGGCGTCACCATTGAAACAGAGCACAGACCCGGTATTCGCATCTACCAATGGTTGAGAAACCAGATGATCGCCTCTCATCGACAAGACAGTCGAAACGAAGCTAAGGAAGATAGTTGCGGATGCCCCGCTGGTTGATTGATTGTCGATCACATTTCGCTGAACTGTGTGGATGTGGAAGTTGTCCGGTCCTCTCTTCCGTAGCAAGCAGCAGGTCTCTTCATTTGGAAGTGTAGCCTTGGAAGCTCCGATTGAGAAAAAAATACCGCACATGGCAGAGCCCAAGCGGGGAGCGATACCGCTGGCGAGGAAGTGGTTGTTTACGGGCGAGAAATAGCGGGAAACGCAACGAGAAAACAGCGGAGGTCGGGGTAACGATGATCCCCCGCCGCTGAGTGCGGGCTGCTGACACCCCCATCGCTGTTGGAGCTTCTCTTCCCCTCATACCGGACCGGCGCTTGCTTTGGACTCGGGGCTGCTTTAATTGAGAGTCTTGAGAGTGGTGAACTGTGACTGGGTTCTCCACTAACTTTCCTTCTGCTTCCGCAGCTGAGGCTGATGTCAGTTGCCGCGCGACAGCTCCGTCCCCGAATGCCCCCACTCTAGGATGATCCGTGTTGCTACCTAACGCACTCTTTCTAAATATCTTGCTTGACGTCGACGTGCATGCCGGTAGCTTATGTCTGCCACAGAACCCTCGGAGTGTCCGGCTTCCCCATCTCATGGGGAACACCAACAGCTTTTTCTCGATGAAGCAAGCAGCAGTGACCCCCAAGTGACTGCTACCGGCCCCGAATCAGCGGCGCAAAGCCAGAATGGCAATTCTCCTAAACCTGAAGAACCCCAACCAATCAACATGAATCAAGAACCTCAACTTGAGGCGCAGAACGCCGCTACACACTCTCCGCATCCGCCCTCAACGCCGGCCGATAACCCGCAGTCACTTCCGGAGAAGATGCAGGGGCTTTCGATCGTGACCACCAAGACTCCTGAATCTGTCGCAACTCCTGGCACTGACATACCTCCTACGCCTCCTGCAAAAGACGATTCCTACTTTACCTCGAAGCCTCAATCTGCCGGACCCGCCCGCTCTTCAACTGCTCCCCTGTCCGAAAAGACCAATAAAGAGTTACCTGAGGTTCCTGGCGGTGGCGCCGGAAGCGTGAAGAAAGATTTAGTAGGGAGAGGTGATGGTGGCCAGGAGAGTGATTCCCAGTCGGAGATTCAGAGTATCATCGACCAGTTTCAGGACACGACACACGCCGACACGGAGGAGACTATCATGTCACCCCGACTAGAGCTGGCGGAGCAATTCTTTGGTGGGCAGAGTCATTTCCCGCCACGCCAGTCGAGTCTAGAGCATAGCAAGGCGAGTCCAGAGGAGATTTCTCTGCCAGGGGGAACAATCACCTCGCCTGAAAAACAGTCCATCAAATCGCTGCGCGAGAGCTCCATCACCGAAGAAGCAAGGTTGAGCCGACGGTCATCGACGTCGACCATTCCTCCTCCCCCGGAGCCCGAATCCGATCAACCGTTTGACTTCCATCGCTTTCTGGAACAATTACGACATCGTACAGCAGATCCGGTTGCCAAATTCCTTCGATCTTTTTTGAATGAGTTCGGCAAGAGACAGTGGATGGCTCATGAGCAAGTCAAGATCATCAGTGACTTCTTGGTCTTCATCACCAACAAGATGGCTCAATGTGAGGTGTGGCGTGGTGTCTCCGACAGTGAATTTGACAACGCCAAAGAGGGTATGGAGAAGCTGGTTATGAATCGACTGTACTCTCAGACATTCTCTCCGGCTATACCGGGCCCACCTACAATCCCCACAAGTGCGAGTAGAAGCAAGCGAAGGGAACTTGAAAGGATGCATGGGCCATGGAGGCGGGGACAACATCAGGAGGATATCGAGCGTGATGAAGTCCTGGCCCAGAAAATGCGCATATATAGTTGGGTGAACGAGACACACCTGGACATTCCACCTGTGAGCGCACATGGTCGGCGCTTCTTGAACTTGGCTCAGCAAGGTTGGCTGTACAGGTCTATCACTCCTCTGGCCAAACGCTGACAAACCATAGAACTTCTGAAAATCAACGGCTACCGGGCGCCCCGCGATAAGGTCATCTGTATTCTCAACTGCTGCAAGGTCATCTTCGGTAGGTGAAAGTATGCTCGAGCTGGGTATAAGAAATACTGACTCGCTGCAGGTCTGTTGAGGAACTCGAAGCGATCCGATACGTCAGCAGACTCTTTCGTGCCACTCTTGATTTATGTGGTGCTGCAGGCTAATCCTGCACATTTGGTATCTAACACCCAGTATATTCTACGCTTCCGCAACCAGGAAAAGCTTGGAGGCGAAGCCGGGTATTACCTATCTTCATTGGTTAGTTGACCTGTTTTTCACTTAGCTGCTCCATAGCCATATGCTGACTCCTTGTATAGTCGGGGGCCATACAGTTTATCGAGACTCTCGACCGCACGAGTCTCACCGTGAGCGACGAGGACTTTGAGCGGAACGTCGAGGCTGCTGTTTCGGCCATCGCTCAACAAAACCGCGAGTCGGAAACTCTAGAGCGCAAGTCCACGGAGCGCAAATCCATGGAGCGGTCCGCTGCAAGCTCGCAAGCAGCATCAGCACCACGTGCCTCGGTGGACACTCAACGCCCACCTGAACGGAGAGACACCCCACAACCTAGTGATGAAGATCAAGCGCCAGTAGCAGGGCTGCTGCGCACCATTCAAAAGCCACTATCTACCATCGGCAGACTCTTTTCTGACGAGCCGGACTCACCTCAAGATCGATCTGCACGGTCAGGATCCCCTGCGCGCCTCACACCGAATGTATATCAACCACCGCGTAACAGCAGTGAGGGCCAGGAATCGGTGGAAAGGCCGCGCACTGCCGTACCGCCGCAGTCGACAAGAGCCCTTGATTCTCAGGATGCTGCCGCTCGGCAAGCTAGCGCTGAGGACGCCGAAGCTCGTCGGATACAACGTGCTGAGCACAACAATGTAGTTGAGACACTGTCGAATATGTTTCCTAATCTTGACCGTGACGTGATCGATGATGTTGTCAAGATGAAGGAGGGGCGGTAAGTTTAAATTTCTATTTTGACGAGTGGTTCTGAAGCTGACACGGTGACCAGGGTTGGATTGGCTGTTGACGCGTGCCTGGCCCTTAGTGCAGAGTAATGGAGGATGACATTCATGGCTGATGGTGGGAATAGGTGTTTACTCAAGGGCTTGAGGCGTAGGTGGATGAGCGTAGCTATGTGTACATGAATGCCTGAGCTACATGCATATAATCGATGATGATGATGGTGGTGGACAGCTTTGGAGATCGTCCGAACGATGTCGAAATTGCTTAAGCCGTAGTGCATAGTAACGAGTAATACCCCGTATAGACATGAATTTTTCAAACCTTCCTACTGGTCCTTGACAATACCCTTTATATCTTCCCCTATCAAAGGCCTCATGAATAGTGTCTGATCACTACCTAGTAAGTACTAAGGAGCTACCTACTCGCCCTTTACCCACCAGCCGCGGCCTACGCTCAAGGAAGCTATCCCTTCCATTCCAGGCATAAGAAGCAAGGCCCAAGCATGGAGTCACATGATGGATGACCGGGCCAATAGGGTGCCGGTGTCTAATCTCGCTTATTCCTAGCGCACGCTCGGCTTTCACCGCCTGGGTATAAAGGCAGCATCCGCCCGCCCACCTTTTGACTGCTTTCTTTCTTTCTTTTCTTCATACTTACCTTGTTTGGGTGACTGCGATCAAGAAGGCGGTTCACCACAGATTGGTCCCTGCATTGCACAGCGCGGCGGAACAGTCTGTTCAACGGCCTTCGGGTCATTGACAGGCGTATTCTTTGGCACTCTTCTCTCTTGAGAGAAATCTTTTCCTTTTCATCAGTTCTTGGGCCAGTGGCTCGAGGGTGGAGAAGAGGTCGTAATGCCGTAGCTGCCTGTAGAGCGCGCGTAACACATCGTCATATCGGCTAGATGATTGCTGTGGCTATGCAGCCTGGTGTTTGCTTGCCCCTGTACCCAGGCTCCGCTCTTTTGTCTCTAGCTCTAGCTAATGTACGAGACGGCAACCGTCCCTATGACGTTGCTCGCCACCGTTGCGGCGTGTACATAACATCAAGCTCTCGCCACAAGCAATTGACTATCAAATCCCATTTGACTCCCAAGTACTCGTCCTTCCTCAATTATTATATCTTTACCTATCATCCAACATCCGAACATAACTGCAACTTGCACCCTCTCGCAACATACCCACCATCAAAATGCCCATCCCAATCCCTCCCTCCGACATTCAAACCACCGAATCCTCCCTCGACCCTCAAGCTACCGAGAACAACACCACTAGCACTACCACCTCTACAAACCCAAGCGTCTCATCAACCTCGTACCCCTCACAACCCAGCGACGTGACACCGCTTAGCAAAGAGGAAGCCGACCGGTTATACGAGGAAAGGATGGAGGAGGAATATGCTAAGCGCGAGGGTGGCGCTTGAGCGACTCCGACGCTGCCAGGTCGATCGCCTTGCCTATTCATGATCGTCGAACGAGTGTGTTGTGTTTTATGTATATCATATGAAAACACCGTGTGCTTTGCGCCATATACCTTGTCAATGAGACCTTTTCTCTGTGCCTGCTTGTTTCTCACTTTGGATGTGTGTAGTCTGGGTAGGATGGAATGTCGTTGAAACTTATTCCAGATACTGTAAAACTAGGTATAATGATACCAGATGCTGTAGCCTAGTAGTAGATGCCGCAGTGGCGTGGACTGCCTCCTTTCCTGATACTGCGAAGAAAAGAAATAAAAATAAAGACTTCCGGCGATTCGAACTCCTTCCCCTCTGTCATCGATATATTGATGCCAAACACTCAACCTCGCAAATGGGGTCTGAGAAAGTTGCAAAAAAAACTGGTAGCTTCTCTTTGATTGAGCGTGTCATCCTTAGTGCAGGGGCCATGCTAATCTTCTCTGTATCGTTTCAAATTGACCAAATGCCCGAAGGCACTAGGAGGACATTACACTGGGATATAACGAAACGGAGCAGTTAATTATGAGACATGATTGGTAGACGGGTGGGGCGGTGCGGGATGTCAGAATTGTTGGGGTAGAGGGCGGTCGAGCACCTGCGGTACTATACTAGCGAGTGGCGGCGTGACTGGGCATAAATCAATTATTGGATACAGGAAAATGTATTGGGTGATAAATGCTTTACTTAGCTTTACTTTCAACCTGATTACAGTGGCTGTCACTCTCAATGGGGGAGACTCTGCTGCCTGTTTAAGGTGTCCTACATATATGCATACTGAAGCAGGCTCCACGATTCAGGAACACGATTATTACAGATAACGTCGGCACTCAGCAAGAGCAGGCCAGTGGTCCAGACAAGCTAGTATTAGTAGGCAGGCCCCAATCGGCGAAGAAGATTGTGACATGGTCTCACGCAGGACAAGCTCCTCAGACGTAACCCCAACATCGGGAACCTGCATACAGACATACCGCTACTCGGAGTTATTGCATCGCTTGCCAGTCGGAAATGACTTATCTACACTACACATCTCGACATTGGATAGAGTATTCCTTGAATCCGCGAGTCCTATGCTATAGGACGCTCGTGCGCGACTGCGCTAGTAATGTACCTCTGACGCAGAAATGCATATCTGCAGCGGCTTTGTCCTTCTCTCTCTCATACTTCGAACCATAGCAACCACAACAGTAGACCAGAGCGATGAATCGCCATCACGGACAGGGCTTCGTGATCCCATATTCACTATGTAGACCCCTCACTATCATGCTTGACTGGTTGAGAAGATACTGACCAAAGTCACAGAGTCGCCGAAACGATCACCATCCCCGAAATCCAGCTCCCAACATCGATTGAATCGGTGCTCAGGACCGCGCTTCCGACCTCTCAACTTTCCCGCTTAGCCGACCCGTCAGCTCGAGCATCCTTCCTGAGAGAGATCCGAGAGGGCCTCCGCCCTGAATGGTACAGTACTCTACCCACAGACGTCAAGCACTTCTTCTCCACGGCGAACGTGGGTGCCGACCTGTGCCATGCGACGGCCCGTGGTGGTGCGCCTGCGCCTGCGCCGGCGGGACTGGGAGCTGGAATCGTGGGCGTTGCTGCGTTTGTGGGTGTGATGAACGCTTTGTAAGATTCTTGTTGGGTCTGCTCGACGACTCAGATTCTGTGAGGAGAGGTAAATGGTTCTGTGAGGTGCTGAGCAGGGATAAGTGGTGGACAGGCCGCGCAAACACTAGGATCTCCATGTCATTGCATAACCTGCCTTACATCCTGGCCTTGCCTGACACGAATAATTGCAGCAGAAGTAACGGCTGGGTCTCATTGGCAACAGAGAATCATCTGGAATATCAGGAGCATGTTCAAGTTTCGGACTTCCAATCAAGCCGTCTTAAGCGCTGCATCTCCACGGGAGAGAATTTGACCGGTGAGAGCAGCAGGAGAGAACGGTGGAAGAGTATTAGTTAGTGAGATATTGATCGTCAAAGGCGCCCACAGTATGCCTTTTGCCAAGCTCGGAGGTCTCGTAACCAGAGCATCCAGATGCTTCCTTAAGAGAATGGCGTATAGCCAAGACCGAAGCTAGAATCTCGAGTACGTATTCAAGGCCCATTTTTGACTCGCTAAACAAGGAAGTTAAAAGCCGAACTAGCATTCCTTGGCAAAGTCAGTGCCCCATGCAGCGGAAAGTTCAAAGCAGTAGAGCAGAAACGCGGTGCTCCAAATCTGTTGGAGATCTGCCACCTTCATTAACTCGGCCGCTGCACCTTCTGGAAGCATCGAAGGAGCTTGCGGCCTGTCTCCGAGACCAGCAACACCCATCTGAGATTCAGAAACGGGGTGAGCTAAACAGGCAGCCTGCGCCGAGTCTTAGGATACAAATTCAGCGCCATTGTAGGTGGACGCAGATGCGGACGATGAATGAGAGACACCTATGCCGTACTACTATAAAGTGTCGTCCGGTGCTGCAGCTGTGCTATGATATCGCAAGCTCAATCATGATGTCAAAAATGACAAAGAAAGCTGTTTGAACAATAGGATAAGGCACTGCATACACTGAAGCTTGAGCTGATCGATTTGGAGACGATCTCAAAGCCCGAGTCGGGCGTGTCCCTTAAATTGTAACACGACCGCGACGCTAGCCGCCAGCATGGAACAGTACTCCGCTCGAGGAAAAAGTCTCGCAGAGTGGTCCGTATCCAAGTGAGGCGGCGAGTCGTGTCGCATATACGATGGGGCCAACCTCGACCACTGCACATGCTCACTGCAATGCATCATTAGCAAAGTCCGAGAGGGCCTGACCACTCAGCAGCGTGGTGAATGTCATCGAACGCGGTGTTTCACCAATCAATCTCTGGGTATTGGCTTAAAGCCGATAGACTTCGAGCGCGGTTCGCGGGTGATCCTCTCTCGCTGACTTTTAGGGACAATCTCATTGGCCCACAGTCAGCCAGGCTGGAAGGGCCTTCCCACGTAAAGCAAAAAGCTGCTTTCCAGGAGGCTCCAAAGGGGGTCCTTATAAATAATACAAATCTCCTCCAGAGGCAATGAGGGGTACTTGGGCAGATCAAGCCAAAAAACACAGAAACCTTTCTCTTTTGCTAATTGAGACGAATCCATCCTCTCTCATCCTTTGCAGCCTTACCGGAATTGCAGCAAAGGTCTAGATTCTCGCCGGCCTTCTTTTCCGCCGGTCATCGAATTGACGTCAGGGCCTCACAAGAACGAACAATCCATCGTTGGATCTGTTAATTCCTCCCTCTGCACCAAGCTAAAATAAACAAACAAGCGATTCGAACAATATCCTCCTTCATCATGGCTTTTCTCTTTATCAAACAAAAACTCTTCCCTGGAAGTCAGCAGAAAGCTGCCAGTCCATTCGGTTCGTGCCCCACACCTGATCCTGAGCATGTTCCTGCAGCCCTAAAGCTAACTTGACATCCTTCCAGGCAAGCCGTTGCTCTCCAACTCCGAAACCGAGGAAATCTACGTGAATCGCGATCTGGAGGCTCAACGCTCCTACGACACCTTCCGTCCATCATCGCCCGTTTCAGACGTCGACAGCACCAGCACTAGCACAAGCTCGCGGTCGCGCATCAACCCTCGCATCGTCTCCGATGCCATCCTGGGCTTGTCGGATGGATTGACGGTGCCATTCGCGCTGAGCGCCGGTCTATCTGCTCTCGGAAACACCAAGGTTGTCGTGCTGGGCGGGCTGGCTGAGCTGACGGCCGGTGCCATCTCCATGGGACTGGGAGGCTACGTCGGCGCCAAGAGTGAAGCGTAAGTTGTTGCCCATACCCCGGAATCAACTCTCATATCACGCGCTAACAGCCTCGCAGCGAGTCTTATGAAGCCACCGTCCGCGAAACTAAGGAGTTGATTGCCTCCTCCCCTGCTGAAACCACCGCCATTGTGCACTCCATCTTCTCCACCTACCGCCTCCCCGCCGAAGTAATCTCCGAGATCAGCAACTCGCTGCATGCCTCGGAAGAGCGTCTTCTGGACTTCCTCATTAGCTTTCACCACAAGGAGTCGCAGCCCGACTGCAACCAGGCCTGGATCTCCGCTATCACGCTTGCGCTGGGTTACTTTGTTGGTGGCTTCATCCCGCTCATCCCCTACTTCTTCGTCAACCAGGTCATCACCGCTTTGTACATGAGCATCGGCGTCATGGCAGTGACGCTTCTGGCCTTTGGGTATATCAAGACATGTGTCGTGCGCGGCTGGACCGGACGCGAAAACATCATGGCGGGACTTAAGGGCGGAGTGCAGATGGTGTTTGTGGGTGGTGTGGCCGCGGGAGCAGCTATTGCGCTGGTGCGGTTGATTGATGCGGGAGATGTATAACCCACCGCTGTCTCTCCTCACCACCCACTTTTCTGCCATTCCTTTTTCACCACCAAAAGTTCACTCATGCCCTTAATGACCATGTACATTATATACAGATACCACGGAAGACATATAGAGCGGGCGTTTCTTCATTTGCTTATTTGCTTCCGATACACCAAACACTTCTAATAATAAAAACCACTCACACATTTCCAAAGAACAGCCCCCTCTTTTCCTCATCTTTAAGAATCCTCCCCCCCCTTAAATTTAAGCCCCCTGCAAAGCCAGCCCAACCAACTCCTTCCCCCTATCCCCCAACTTACACTCATTCAACGCCAACTCCCGTCCCCTACCCGACATCTTCCCCCACGTCTTCCTCAGAATCCCCACCATCTTCTCCTCCTCCACGCCCGCCTCAAACCCCTCCAACTGCTCCTCCAAAAATACAAGACACGCGACGTCCTCCACAGCGCGCACCTCCGCGTCCTCGTCCGCCGCCCGCAGCCCTTCCTTTCGGATCAACGCGCCCACCCGCTGCGCCTCCTCCGGGGCGATCCCGCTGTCCACGCACACCCGCTCCGCGATTTCCGCCTGTCGCCGGCCCAAGCCCGTCCGCCACGCGAAGTACCCCGCCTTGCCCTCCGGGTAGGTCGAGCGCGGCACCTCCCAGCGCTGGAGGTGTTGGGCGCGGATGGCGAGCTGGAGGACGGGCGATGGGGAGGGGGTGTGGCGGTGAAGCCAGGCGGTCATTTTGCGGGCATAGTGTAGTTCGTTGGGCGTGCCGTCTGGGGTTTGGGTTGGGTCGAGGGCGTGTAGGGCGTCGATGGCTTCGAGGGCTGCGGAGAGGGGGTCGTTGCTGGTGGTGGTCATTTTGGTGTAGTGGTACGGTAGTGGGGGTTTGGTAGGTTTTTTTTTCTTTTTTTTTGCTGAGCGTAGATGATCAGCTGTGGAGGAGGGATGACTGGTGATAATGGGTCAATTGATGTTGGAGAGACCCTATTGAACAGAAGTCGGTGCTTGTACCTGTTGGAGTAGACTGGTTGGTCAGTGGGGTGGAACGGAATAAGTAATATATCTCTGATAATCAAACACCGGCAACGGGATTGGGCCGATCTCGGGCCCCGCTGAGTTTGACTGGGTTATCTGCTAAGTACTACCTTATCGATAACAAAATATCCATTGGGCTTTGCGGAGCGGGCGTAGCTGTAGTCTACTGTAACTATGTGCGGAGTACAAGCTTTTATGTAGCCTACAACCACCAAGACTAATTTACTGCCATTTACTCCCCTCCGCTAAAAACTCCTGCCCCCTGGCCAACGATCGTGATGGCTCCTCGCCCAGCCACTCTGGCTCCAGACGAGTGAGGTTGTCCTCAATCTCCCATGCGCGTCCCCCCTCTACGTACATGGCCTTCCCAGTCAGATTCGGATCCGCCACCAGCCCGGCGACGATGACCGCCACGCTCTGCGCGGAGTTGAGAGGCAACCGGGCCTGTTTCCAGCCTTCCGTGATATGCCTCACCATCTCTGTTTCGGTCATCCACGGACAGACGGCATTGACGCGCAGCCGATGTACTGCGGCGGGGAGATACGGCCGCAACGAACGCATCAACCCCAGGATTCCATGCTTGGTTGCTTGGTAGACGAACATGCCGGGGGTTTCCTTGAACCCGGCGACAGAGGAGATGAACGTGAGCGAGCGGTCGGTGTGCGGGGGTCGGTTCTGCCGCAGATACACGGCGGCGATCCGAGCGACGAAGAGGGTCCCGAGGAGGTTGATGTTGAGAACGGTGGTGGGAGGGGCCTGTGCGCATTCCATCAGCCATGTCTCGGTGGGTGGGCAGCGGGGAAAAACGACTCACCTCTCGCACAGTCTCCAGGGTCAAGTGGGGGTCGAACCAGTTTCCAATCTCCAGCATTCCGGCCGCAGTGACGACGTGGTCGATGCGGTTATATGTCTTGTAAGCGGTGTCGAATAGATCTAGGATAGACTGGTAGTCGGACACGTCGGTCTTCTGGAACATCGCTCGCGGTAGTGACGAGGCTGGAGACGTAGCGCAGACGCTTTCTACGAGCCTCGCACCCGCCGCAACAGCGACATCACCGATGCAGACATAGGCACCGTGCTGGCAGCTGTACTCAACTAGACTCGCCCCGATGCCATTTGCACCACCTGAATAGTAGGGGGGGTTGGTCAGTGCATGGAGTGTTACAGAGCGTCAGCGGGAAAGGATTCCGGGGAATCCTTCAAGAGGAAAACGCACCAGTGATGACAATGACTTTGTCCTGCAGGGATTCTGCGGTCAGATCAGCCGGGTAATAGCGGGCCATAGTTTCGCCTACACAGTAGGTGAATGTACGCCATGATAGTCACTGAGTGGAGGGGATATGGACAGCCTCTTTATCTGCATCACGCGCATCGGACTTCGGGATTCTGCCAGTAACCTGGTTGTCGACCCCGGATACGATCTGGCCTTGGATGTTCGTCATTGAAGTGGGGACTCAACCCGAGGGAAGCTGCAATCTGACAGGTGGAACTCCCCGATCTACTATGTCTGCAGCTGGAAATGGCTGAAGAACCCACCTACTTCATTAACATCAGACAATGCCCAGTGATTCCGGCATTCTGGATGTCCAGTGAAGAGGGGGAGGGGCAAGACAGACACTTGAAAATGGAGGAAGCTATTCAAAGGCTGTCAACCTCATAAGGAACACCTTCCTCCTAGACAACTTAGATTCAATCATAGTACTTCACCCAACCTCAAAACACCATACCCATAGACCGAGTAACAGCTACACCAAAGAAAAATGCTCCAAACCCACTACCACACAGCCTCCACCAAAGGTCTCTCCAGCATCACCACCCTAATAACCACCCCAACCACCAACGCCGCCATCCTCATCGACCCGCCCTTCCTGCTCCCCGACGCCCATTCCGTCCTCGCCTGGATCAACAGGATCAATCCCCACACCGACCTGAAAGCCATCTTCGTCACCCACCACCACCCGGACCACTTCTTCTCCGCCAATCCCATCCTGGACGCCTACCCGGCCGCCCAATTCCACGCCGCCCCCTACGTCCTCGCGGGCATCGAGCGCGAGTACGACCAGAAAGTGGCCTACTGGCCCCAGGTTCTGGGGCAGGAGAACGTGCCGACCGCGCCGCGCAAGCCGGACCCCTTTAGTTTTAGTTTTGTGCTGCTGGAGGGCGCGCCGGAGAGCCCGATCGTACTGTTGGGTCCGCTGCAGGGGGACGCGATTGATCATACGGTGTTTTGGTTGCCGAAGGAGCGGACGGTCGTGTGTGGAGATACGGTTTATGGGAGGAGTACGCATGTTTGGTATGTTTTCTCCCACTGTTTTTTGAGTATGGTCTTTTTTTTGTCTGTGGTTTGGGGGTATTATGGCCTGGGCAAGTGCTTTCTGCTGGGCCTGGGGAGGCATGATTTACAATGCGCTGCAGCGCGGCATCAATGCATAAACTCATCCCCCCCCCTCCTCCATCCCCATTCCCCCGTTCAAACAACCCTTCCGCACGATCACCCATACTAACCAACTCCCACAGGGTCGAAGAACTCTCCACCCCCGCCCTCCTCGAATCCTGGCGCAAAACCCTCGATCTAATCGCCCACCTCCGTCCTGAAAAACTAATCCCCGGCCACCTCGAAGCAGGCTGGGAGCTCAACTGTCAGGAAGACCTAGCGCACACGCGTCGGTACCTGGACGTATTTGCCGAGAAGGTGACGTATGCCACCGTTGAGGAGAAGCCCGGCGTGCAGGAGCTGTACGATTACTTCGCGGCCGAGTTCCCGCAGTGTCGAGAGAATCTGCAGTTCTTCTTGGGGCATCTCGCCAACCAATTTGGGGAGGGGGGAACGGTGTGGGAGGAGAATCGGTGTCAGGGAGTTGAGGCGGGGCAGAGGAGTTTGGGGGATGTTTGTGGGTATCTTTTCTAAAGGGGGAGGAAGGGGGGAGGTTGTTCTCTTTCTATGTACCCTTTGTTGTCGCTGTATGATTACAGAGTTTGGCTGGCTGGACCGGTAGTAAGGAGCCCCGGGGAGTTGGGGAAGGAAGATCAGTGAACAGTAAGTCGGAGGGAAGGTGGATTCAGGGCAGAGATTGAAGTCTACATGATCAGCAGTAATATCAACTACCAACACTGTACACATATATCATGGATTCAATTCCATTCACTCATCCTCCTCCCCACCTCAGCATCCCTATTTCCTGTTTCGGGTTCCTATCCTTCTAATAGTAGTAAGTAATGTATCACGGCATTCATAGTTGATGCCCAAACAAACTGCAAGAAAAAGACAAGACAAAAAGGGTTCCTGTTGGACCAGTCATCGCATAATCCCGTTGCCAGAGTACGACCCAACAAGCAACAGAAAGAGTACATGTCCAGCCCTGAGTTTTGTGGTCCACCGATGGCCTTTTAGCTCAAAGGCCGAAAACCCGGTGCGGCAAGACACTTGAAAGCGGAATTGAAATGACCAAGAACCCGATAAATGCAACAACGACCGCAAGTGTAAGCGCAACAGTGTCATTACAGCTTTGGATGAGAAGCCATCGGTCAATCGAAGGAAGAGAAAGACAAATCGCATAAAAGCAACGAACAAAGAAGAAAACAAAGGTAGATAAGCAACCATTTTCACAACTGTTAAATTAATGGCTCCGCCAACGCCGTTCCATTGTTAAAGCCGGGTATATCCAGCACCGTGATGCAAAAATGTACGGAGAAATGATAGATAGTCTCAGGGGACGGTCTTCCACACCGAGTGGGGCATGTCACACCCCTTGAGAAGAATTGCGAACGGACGTATGAGAAGCAGAGGAAAAGAAATGAAAAGCGAACAAGCTGATTGTGCTTTATGTTGGCATTCCCGACAAGCTTGCCTTTGTACCGCTTGCTGCTGCTGCTGCTGCTGCTCGTTTTTATCTGGCCCCAATCCCAAACATACCTACCCCGTAAGTTCCACTGCGATCAGGCAGAGGGGTAGATATCTTCGAAACGTGGTCCTTTATGCCGTAAAAAAAAGCGATCAGTATGTCAAAAGCCCAAAGCACCATCGTCATCCGAAGGTCCTACCTTCTTCCGTTTTTTCTTTCCCATGCCATCGCTGGTCGAGTAAAATGCGCCGTCATCATCATCATCTGCATAGCCTTCGCCGTAACCCACAAAGCTATTGTCGTCGTAGTGCCGCTTGCGCCCCCGGCTAGGCCGATTCCGTTCCGCGTCTGAGACACCCGGTCCAGGGGTTCCGTTCGCTTGCATTCGAGGTCCATTCGGAGGGGCAACGACCTTCTTCCCCGCATCACCACCGCCGCCAGCATGCTTGGACGGCTTCTCATGACCCAGAACATCTTCCCACTGTTCGCTATTTGGAACTGCACCAGGCTCCATTTTCATAGCCTTCATCTGGAGCGCGTGCAACGCCGAATCCATATCAGCCACTTTTATCTCCTTGCCAAACACCTTCTGGTTCTGCCACTCCTCTTCGGGCCACATCGTCATCTGAAGGAGCCCACCAGGCGCACCAGGCTCGTGCTTCACAGGCTTATTTCGTCCCGCAAGTCCTAGCCCTTTCAGCTTGCCCTCATAAGACTTTCGGAGCCGATTGATCTTCTCTCCTGTCACCGGATCCATTCTGGCGACTGACTTTGCGACGGGACCTAGCCCGTACAAGGTAATCAAGTCCAAAGACGGGTCCGGACCAGTCGCAGCGTAGGCTGTGGGATATCATGAAAGCCACTTGTGTTAACACATCTCAATTCTCAGCAAGGAGGGATTGCAGGGACAAATGGCATTATAAACTGCGACGGCAACAGCCATACTAAGGACTGGACTGGGGGAGGCTCTTACAGCTTTTGCAGAGATGAAACGCCGAGGAAAAGTTATTTTGCAGCGACTCAAGACTCATACCACCTTCGTTCAGAGAGTTTGGCTCCTCTTTGTCAATGTCCATTGCATCACCCGAGGCGGTGGAATCACGGAGCGCGGATTCCGCATCTCCTGCTGGCTGCCGGTCGTGATCGGTTCGTCTGTGCTCTGCTCTTTGCATGATTGCGGGCTCTGCACCAACAGGGGTGGCGCCTGGTTCTGAAGGTCTCGAGCCCATTGACTTGGCTGGGACATCGGGTTCGTCGAACGAAGTCGAACCCGGAATATGCCCGCTCACGCTACTGGCGGGGGTGGGGAATGAGTTTGCCGAGCCTCCTACCACCGGCTGTTGCGAGGGTTGAGTGGACATCGGAGCAGAGGATGGAGGGGATGAAAGGCTGGTGTTTTGTGAAGTCGCCTGACTAGGTGAGGTTTGCGAGGGTGCGAAGTGGGAGGCATAGTTATGAGCGCTTACCGACATCAACGGAGGTGATGTCGGAGTCTGAGGGATCTGATCGGAGGAGATCGTTGAGGTTTGTTGAGTCTCCTTGAGAGACTCGGCGGCGGGAGATGATGGCGAAGGAGGTCCGACTCGAAATGATGCCGAGGAGGTGCGATCCGACATGAGAGTGCGGGAAGAGAAGGGTGAGAAGAGGTCGGCCAAAGCCCGAGCAGGCCGCGGCTCGTGAACAACTGAGGCGAGTGTAAATCGATCCTCTCTGACTCAAAGGTCCGACTCAACTAGATCAAAGGTCGACTGTCAAGCTTGGAGGACGGACGGAGGAGAGGGGTTGGCGTAGTTTGGCCGGTCGAGGTGCGCTCAAGCGGGCCGAGCAAGACGTTCCACGACCGTCTAGTAGTCACGCATTCCAATAAGTTCGAGGCGTGAACCGTCGTTATGGTGAGCAATAAGCGAAAGACACTGATAATGGCAGTGACCAGACGTATTAGGGGAGGGTAGTGGTGCGTGGATATGCGGCGGTAAAAACAGTCTGGGGGTGGTGAAATGAAGAAAGGCGATGGGGAAGGGAAGAGGCCCTTTGATCCGCAACTGGAGGAGAAACGGGACGGCGAGATGTTGGATGACGGAAATCACGTGACATGCGCCCTCATTTTCTTGACTGCTGCTGGAACAACCTAGTTAAACAGTACGTACCCCGTACAGTACTGCATTACTCCGCAATACCCCCGATACCGGTTACTTAGGTGGTACAGGTAAGTTACCGTCTCCAGTGGACCGAAGTGAATTTCCCCCCTCCTTCTCTCTCGGGGCAAAACTACACAGAGAACTGAATCGCCGAACACAACCAAACAACGGCTGCAGATAATTATTATCTTGACACTACCCTACTTCCTCCTATGGTGTACACAGCCTCCCTGCTCAAGACACTTTCATACCATTCATTGTCAGATTTAGATTAACTTCAACAAGGGTGGACCTACTCTCAGTGGCAAATTCAATCAGAAGTCAACCGTTCTTTGATTAACTACTAGAGTCATAGATTACAGACAAGTGCCTCCGCATTCAGTTCGCTAGACACATAAGAACCGCCACCGTGCCTCTCCACAGTGCGGCTGATCTAAAACAGTGCCAATTTCCAACATGAAGAACTCTTTTGTTTCCTGAAGTAGTGTTGGCGAAAATGTTGCTCCAAACACCAGAGACGAAGCCCATTGGCTTCCCATGGGTATATATTAAGATACAGACAAAGGCAAGGGAAAGTGCCACACAAAAAGATAAACGACATCTAAACAATGAATCCCACGACTCAAACTTATTCAAGTCTGTCCGAACTCGCGAGGTAAATGTAGAACCACTCTCCGAGGGCATATCGAATAGCATGGGTTATGACTGGTAGAATGTGGCCGACGCCTGAACTAGGCGTTGAGCAGAAACATCCGGAATGTTATCTTCTAACGTCTCCATGAGTTCCAGCTGCTCCTGGTGGCTGAGCGTACGTTCTCGCCAAGAAGGCACAGGATACGCGCCATTGAAGTACTGAGAGTACTGGTCGCCGATTGTGTCTGCCCAGTTCATCGGATCCACGATGGCATCGACGTATGCCAGATGTCCCGCACTTGTGGACGCCATGCTAAAGTTGGAATCCCACCCGGGCAGACCAGGGACAATAGAAGGCATATGGTTGTAGGGAGTCGATGGATCGAAGGCCATGTCTGCATAAGAGGCAGTCCTGTAAGAAAGCGGGCTAAAGGAGGCCTGGGAAGAGGTAGAGACAAGAGAAGGAGTAAACTGGCTGTCCCAGGACGATATGTGAGTTGCTTTCATTGGCTCCACGATAGGCATGATTGAAGACGATCCGGTCGACGGTACGTGCGGATAAGGGAAGGGTGGGTCTGCCGAAGGACCCCGAGAATATGTGCCGGGAGAAGTACTGGTGTCCGGAATGGAGGAGTTGCCGGCTCGGATATTTTGCGACAGGAACGACGTGGAAGTACTGGCCGGACTCGCAACAGACGGCGGGGTCGCGACTTCTTGTGAAGAAGGGGTTGCATGATTAGATGGCGAGTGTACGACGAAAGACTCTTGGGTAGCATAGGCTCTGAGGCAAGCGGCCACCAAGCTCCTGTACAAGACCAACGCAGATTCGACTCCGGGCCACCGCTTTGCCGCATGCACGATGACCTCCAACGCTACGCTTAGATGGCCTTTCACTTCATCGATGGGGTGTTCTTTCCGAATATCCGGGTAGGAAAGGGACCAAAGAATGGTGTTCAAGGCCATAAAAAGCGACTGGGTGAAGATCCAGGTCAAATCGACAGAGCCAGTAGCGACCTGCTCCTTATGCATGGCGACATTGAACACGGACGCTTCATAGCATTTTCGCGCGGCGTCGACCGAAGGCTCGGGCACCTGAGGTGACGGTCGATAAAGGAATACGATCATTGTGTTCCGACGACCATGGAACCTGTAGACAGTGTCAGCTAGAAGAGATGAAGAAACTGACGAGCCTTGGCTAACCATTTCTCGCCGAGGCCACTCCCTCCATCGTTCTTGGGGCAGGATGCTACCCAGTCGTCGATTTTCTTCATCATCTGTGTGAACCATGGATCTTGGTCGTTGGTCGGTGTGTCGCGCTTGTTGAGATATAGAGTGCGTCGGATCTCTGCTTGAAGGAGTCTCATTTTCAAGAAGTGTATGGCGATACATTTGGGTAGAATAATCCTGGCCCCCGGTCGAATTCCTTCGCGCGTGATGTTGTGATCTTCGACTGGTTCGAAGAATTTGACGTTGATATGATCGTGGCAGACGGAATAGCAATTGGGTCGTCCTAGACTGTGAGAAAGACCGTATTCCATGGATATGACGATCCAGAATAGCCTCCTTCGCATGTCCACCTCCAATGCATCCAGAAGCTTGCCATCCGACGATCTAGTGATGGTTGCTTCATCGGTAAGTCCGAGGTCTTGACAGAGCTTCACGGCCATTCCGACCACCCAGTAAGCGGCGGTTCTCGTAGGTGTCAACATCGAATACTGTGCTATGAGCGCCAAGCATTGTAAGGAACGAAGGTCTCTTCTCCTGAGGGACGCCTCAAGAAACGGCAGGGCGGCAAGGTAGTAGCTGTCCGCTAACCCTGCAAAATCCGGACTCATCTTCTGCATGCTAATGGCTATCACCATCCGTAGCTGGAAATTTTGACACGGATCGTCAGATCCATCGAAAACCTCTTCAACTTCTTGACGAAATGTGGGTTCATGTAACGTGGGTAGCATAGCTTGTGCTAAAGAGCAGGTCAATCCAAGTCCAACAGGAGTAATACGGTTGGGCCATACCCTTCACAGAGAAGACGTCGATCAAGCGGTATGTTCTGTGCTTGAGGGGTAGCTGGTTGTGGGGTGTTGAGCTGATGATGGGCCATACTTTCGAGGTTGGCTTGGAGCTCTCCGCTGCGAAAGCATGCTTAATCTCCTGTGCGGTCAACTCGGGAACTACATCCTTGATGCTTTTCGAGTCCGTATTTTGTTTGGCCATTTCCATAACCAATCGCGTCATTGCGATGCCACTCGACGGCCCAAGGTATCTCGATTCATCATTTTCCTTGAACCGAATGCGACCGGCTCCCCGCACCATGAGTTCTGCATCTGCTGCATGTCGAAACTCCTTCTCGAGTTCGGACAGCTCTTTTTCGAGCCTGCGAGCCTTTTCGCGGAGCGAGACAATGTATGTCCGTGATATGGTATGTTTACGGGCGGAATCGTAATATACACACTTCGCATTGCTACGTTCGCACGGCGCGCATCTTGGTATACCTGGGTCACACCTGGATTTCCGCTATCGAGGAGATTAGTGATACCGTGAAGCTGCAACTTCCAAAGGGCATGTTGATCGCGCGGGGGATAGGTGGCGGTTAAGCGAGGGGGAAACACGCACCTGTCTGCAACGGGTGCAAGCAGTCAATGTATGCGCGATGCGACCATCGGGAGTGTGGTTTGGGGACTCCACCGCCGTGGATGGTGCTTCTCGCCATGGGTTAGTGAATTGGAGGCGAGAATTCGAGGATGATTGCACCGCCATGGTGGTGACTCTGGTGATGCCCCTAAGATTAGGTTGGATCCGAAGATCACAGTGCTAGCCAAGATGTATTGTCAAAGGGACATGCCATGAAAGTCTCATGTAGCCCTACAATCGGTCTTCACAATAAGAAGGAGAAGAAGGAAATAAGGCCAGGAGGTCAGGCACAGGCGATCTGGGAATACTGATAGGACACCTGATGAGACAGCACGTTCGACATGTTCAGGGCTCGTTCCGACGTGGACCCAACGGCGGCGTAAGTACTTGGCGGGCAGAGTGTATGGGAAAGAGTAGGGAAGCAAGGGGGAACTTGGGTACTGAAAGTGGAATGTTAGGTAAGCTACTATCACGACAGGGCGGTGATGGAATTCATTTTGGCAATGATCAGAACTAGTAGTTTTTCGGGGGTGAACAGGTGGGATGAAGAGGAGGGGGACGAGCACAAGAAGGAGCGCAGCAGAGGAGAGAGAGAGAGAGTTGAAGAGGGGAAAGATGGGGAGGGGGACTGAGGGGAGGTGGGAAAGTGGAATAGATGGCGGAAGTGAAGTCAATGAAGGGCCTCGGTCGGTCCACCTCCCGCTTGGATCGACAGCACGCTAAGTGAAGAGCCCCCCCATCATCTCCTTCCCCCCTCCCAAAATTATTGTCGTAATTTACCCTTCCTTCAGAGTTCAGAGGCTCCAAAGGGTGTTTTACGGCGAACCACAATTGCCTCTCATGCAGATGATCCTTGGGGGCCTGACGCTTCCAAGCATTCACAATGCAAGGATGTCTGTCTGTACTTCTTGCAGTGACGAATGACGATGAACCATGACCTTACTCACTTTTCTTTCCGAGCTACAGCCTGACTACTAACTTTCTCTGGAGTAGTCTTTAGCCAGGACCGAGCGTGCATCAACAGCATGAAATGGTAGGTACCGGCAGTCCGCAAGTGGATTTTAAGCCCTATCCGCAAAATCTTGAACTGCCTTGTGGTCAACTTAGGACCCAGTATGTCACAGTTTGGGAGTCTTTACACGACATCCGAATTCGCACCCACTATTCTATCGGCAATCTACCCTTGATCCTCGCGGAGAATATTATGTTATCGATCAGTATTGTCTGTACCTGAGCCAGCCGGTCCATTCATCAGCTAGGCCTCAGCTTATCTGCTCAAGCCCGGTTGCAAATTTGTCCGATGCCCAAGATGTTGATCGTTCAGTCCAATCCAGCCCAGCGTTGCGAGATATGCAGCAAGCCGTATCGTCCCTCATTCACATTCTGTGGCCACGTCTTTCACTCCCATTGACCAAGATGCAGAGAATAACAGACAGACAGCACAATTGAAAAAAGAAAAGGGGTCTCTCCTTCCTGCTTGAGACTGTACCTCGTCGTTCTTCTTCGGCGTTTACGCGGAAAAAACGAGGGTAGAATCGAAGAATGGGCCCCACAATCTGCAACAAGACTGGAACATTGAGGCACTAGAAAGGTCAATGACCACAACGATCCGTTTTTAGCTTGTCCGATGGGACCACATTTCCACCACGTCCACCAAAGCCCCTTCCCAACCGTAATCGGAGGGCTTCCCTTGGTAGAGCTCGCCATGGAGGTGAAGCCATCGTGATGTGGCTAAGCTCCGCGCACCAATGGCATCCTCTGCACTCACCCTTTTCCTTCTCGGGTCCGGACATTTACACTCCTGTGGGATCTCATCGAGAAAAATTTTCGACTTCGCTTTCTTTCAGATTCGGTTGGCCCTCGTGGTTCGGATAAAGAGCCACAGAAGCAGGGATCAGTGAGGATTGTCCTTCCCTCAAGTGGTCAAAGTGCCGAGGCGTGTCGCACCGCGAAGATCATTAGTTCGGACCTAGCAAGAACCGATGGCTCCTAACTGGTAAGGAGACCGAAGCTTTTCTTGATTCAAGGTCATGCATGACCCACGACTCGGGGGACCATTTAGTGGTGATATGCAACCTATGCAATCGGGCGGACAAGGCTGTTGTGAACTTGTGGCGGCTTTTGAATCAGCTGAAAAGGAATCATCCAAGTAGCCGAACGGTTTTCTAGTTAGTCCACCTGGGGATAGTGCTAAACGTCCGGCCGTATGAAAGGGTGAAGGCGTTTGGATGCGTGGGGAAGACAGTGGGGTTTGCGACTGAACCAAGAGGGGCGAAAGCAGGAGCCAATTTCGCCCAGAGATGAGTTACTGGCCAATCAAACCACAATTCATCTTTCAGCGCCCCTATCACGACATTCCTCCAGGGCTACTGCTGAGTAAGGTTAGGTAGCCCTGAACTTGGAGAAGTGAGTCCCTACTACCATCTCCCTATTTAGACAATAAGCTTTCTATCCGTCTAGGGTAGAGGTGTCAACAACAAGACTCTAACCTAGGAGCTTTTGTTCCCAACCTGATAGACAGGTACCTAGTTATTACCATCGTGGGTTGATTCTACCCGGCAAATAAGCTCCCCCTACCCCTTGCACAGACTGAATAACTATCTTAAAGATAGAACCCTTAGTTATCCTATTAGGGGTTTATAATCAATAAGCAATGAATCTCGGCCGGCCCAGATTGCAATTAATACAATAGCCGCTAGTCCTCGCTTCGAGGAGCTGTCCGTCTTAATAAGTTCATAGCACAACAAGCCAGACATTCGGCTACACTTCACGCAAGAACCCGACCGCTATTATGGTCGAGAGAACTGGTTGGTGGGAGAGCTTCCATTTTAGAAGTACATGTGGAATATGCTGGTGCCTAGGACTACTGGGGTTGTGAAGATGGCTACTTCTGCGTATTGTGTATTTTATCTATACTCTGTAGAGTCCAGACTCGAAGAAAGACTGCGGTGGGTGACGTCAAGGTGATGCGGACCGTCGAACTCGGGTGGAGACATCTGATAAACTGGAATCCCGACCTTACACCACAACTACTACTACCTTACACAGTACTTCCGTACACACACTCTCCCTCCCTCCCCTCTCCCTCACTAACGATCTGCAATATACAGCTTGTCGAGCTTCTTCAGCCTTATGGCGCTCCCCACTCTTGAACTAGGTCTTCCACCATCACCAGGATCCATAACCTTCCTCTGACTCAATGCCTGGTCTATGTGTCGCTCTTGGCATTTTCTTCACCGATCCAAGAGGTCTGTCCTAGAACCGGGAAGTGTGATGTATGTGTAGACAAAACAAGAACTGCGAGCAAGGTTGGATCCTTGTGGGCTTTAGAGCTTCAATTAGTGGAGAGCGATTGAGTAGTGGAAGTAAGTGAATCGCGGGCGGAGCATGTGATAGAAGAAATCCATGCCAAGCTTCTCCGGGCTCCTCAATAGTAGTGGGAAAGAAAAGGGAATTATCTACACATGGATGGAAGGGATGAAACTCAAACGAAGCCAGGCATCATGTTGGCTTCTACAACCCACGTATCAATGGTCTGCTGGCGTCGATCGCAGTTGTGGATAGGTTGAAGCTTTCCCGTCTGCCGGTTCTCTTCCCCGTCCCTGCTCCAGAGTTTGTCCTCCCAGTTGACCAGCCAGCACCTACTGATGACCTCATCCACAAAAGGTTGACGACGACTGGCGGCAATAATGATGATGATATGGATGATGATGATGATGATGATGATGTTTGTCCTTGTGCTTGGGTCTTTAGTCACACCACCACCACCACCACCACCACTACCACCACCTCTCTTCACTAAGTACACGCTGACTTTTGATTGCGCTCAGGAACCGGTCCTGCACCTGTCACCAACGACACCGTGACGTCAAGGCACCTTTTGGGTTCTCCCTCCCTCCCAGATGCAGCCACCATTTTGCACCTCTTTCCGTGGGCGGTGATCTGCATCCGGCGAAGGTATATATTCTTCCCTTTCGCAGTCATCTTCTTCCTCTTCTTATTATTCACCCGATATAAATTTCGCCCTTGCTATTCATACATCCTTTCTCACTCCGGAGGATAAAACTAATAATACCTGATACCCATTTCCAGAACAATAATAAGATATCCAATACCCAATCTCGCACCCGTGCAGTCTATACACATTCCAATCTCAATCCTTCATTCCGTTGATACCCCAGCGACGCGACCCTTTCCTCCCTTGGCAACCAGTATTGACGCCTTCGCCTTCGACCCCACGGGATTCGCTTATCATCCCCGGAGTCTCAATTCAATCGGCTTTGCGATCAATTGTCTGTTTTTTCTATTCGTATCGTTTGAGCTCCTTGGCAAGACGCCAATTGCTAGGCGATCATTGGTCCTTCGGGCTTCCATCCCACTCACAGCGGATCATCGAGCTTGCTAGTGCAGAAAGCTATTAATCATGTCTTCCAAAGCGGCCGTCAACCACCCAATGAACACGAAGCAGAAGGAGCAGGTAAGCAATTGCGAGGTCATTGTTGGAAGCAAAGGCAATGCTGACCAGTCTGTGATGCTAGGACATCAACCAGAAACTGCAGCTCTTCGGTATCTACCAAGCGTTCAAGAATGGCAAGCTACCATCGGTGAGTAACTCCTGAGTACCGGCTTCGAACTAAGCACGCTAATTACCTTATAAATCATAGAACAAACAATGCGACGTCGCCTTGAACACTGCCCTACAGTCCAAGGCTCTTTCTTCGCCATCGAAAGAACTCTCCTCTGAGGGACAAGGTCTTGTTGGAGATCTCCGTGATGTTATCAACAACGCCAAGAAGCTCATGTTGAGCAAGAACGACGGCCAGTTGCTGCAAGAGTTCCTCTGGGAGGCCCAGAATATCTCCGCAGAGAATACAGAGAAGCCTAATGTGCCTGTCTCCAAGGACTCGGCTCAACAGGACGCTCAAGAGTCCCTTGAGGGTCTCAAGACTCTCGGAAGACTCTTGATCACCAATGGGGAATTCAGAAAGCTTCGTATGTGAACCTGTCTTGGGATCATATGATCTATTTCAGACTAACCATCCAACAGTCAATGATGCTATGATCCTGGCACGAGATATGGCCGGCGATGTGTCTCAGAAAGCTGCTGACCGGCTGCGACCATCGCAAGACCAGCTTGCTCAGATTGATGAGCCTGCCGAGGACAACGTGTGGCATGAGCAGCCACCAGATCTGTCCCAGCAGAAAGAGCAGTTCAAGTCCCGCTTCAGGAAGAATAAGGAAGAGGTAAGCCTTAGCGCGCTATCTGTCATAATCTAGAAATACTCATCCGTTTTCAGGGCAAGCAAGACGTAACGGACACGGCAGCCCAGGCTGCGACTGGCGGTCAGCAGCCCCAGAGCGTCCAGGATGTCGATCCTCGTGCTGGTGCATCCGCTGGAGCGCAGAGAGCCCAGGAACTGGTCTCGGACAACATTCCCGAGGAACAAAAGACTCGCGCTCGCGAGTACCGTGAAAGAACAAAGGGATATATGTCGGAGAAGATTCCCCAAGAGCGCCGCGACCAAGCCATCTGGCGTCTGAAGAAGATGGTTATTGAAATCCAAGGACATTCTGATTGTGAGTTACACAGCAATTCTTGGAAATACAATTCGATAGACAACTAATGTTGCCATTGTCTGCAGACCAGCAAGCTATCCGGACTTTGCTTTCAATGGCCGAGAAGTACGGCAGCCACACCCGAAACCTCACTCAGCAGGGATCTGGATCACTTCAGGACTTCCGGGGTGGTGATAAGATCCAGAAAATGGAGAAGAATCTGAGGGTACGTTGTCCTGACCTGGTTCAATATCTACCATCACTAATGCCACCCATAGACTCTGATTGAGCGCTTCGCCAACAGCACTTCTCTTGACAACCTCTTTGACTCTCTCGAGAACATCTATCGTGATGCCGACAGAGACCCTGAGCTGAAGGGATGGTTCCGCAACATGGATACGTTCATTAGGTATGAGTCGAGATACATATTAAGCCAACGAGAAGTCTGCTAACAACAGTTCGCACAGAAAAACTCTGACTGAGCAGGGCTACATTATGGACGATGATTGCACTCGGCAGTGGAACCAATTGAATGAGCACGGACGTTACCTCCTGCGTGACCGCTACAAGGACCACACCGATTGCATCTTGGATGAGATCAAGTTCATTGGTGATCAATTCAACCAGGACCCTCAAAATCTGGCATTCAGAAGCTCTCTAGAGAAGCTCTTTGATGACCTTGGCCGAGATTCAAATGGCAATGTGGCCTTCAAGAAACATCTTCTCAAGGACGTCCGGGATGTTATTCTCCCTGCTGTCTTTGAGAATGTGCGTTACGTTCCTATCCCACGCATCGAAGTCTCTGATCCCTCAGCTGATGTGGTTGTGGAAAACCTCGTCATCGAGAGTGACAATTTGATGCCGAATGTGGTTGAATTTGGCAGCGATAACTACTTCCGCTGGGGACGCAAGAAGATTTCCAGCAAGCGAGACAACAAGATCATGATCTCCGTTTCTGGAATCCAAGCTGATCTCAGAGATGTGAGCTACTATATCAACAGAAAACAGGGCTTCCCAGCCATCACCGACACAGGTATTATGGACATCTTCCTTGGTGGCGAAGGCTTTGGATTCAAGATTGCAGCCTCAACTGCTCAGAAGGAGGACAGTCAGCACTACCTCAAGCTAGAGAAGGTGTCCGTCAAGATTGACTCATTCAACGTGAAGCTGAAGAAGTCGAAGCACAAGGCCCTCTTCACTATCTTCAAGCCTCTGCTCTTCCGTGTTGTTCGTCCGACCCTCCAGAAGGTCATTGAACAGCAAATTCGGGATGCGTTCGCCAAGGGTGATGCCCTGGCATACGAAATCCAGTCTCGGGTTAACGAGGCTAAGGAAGCTAGTGCCCAGGACCCTGCCAATGCTCCGAACATCTACTCGCGGTACCTGGATGCCTTCCGTGCCCGTGGCGAAGAAAAGGCACGCAAGGCCCAGGCCCAGGCCCAGGCTGCTGCTCAGCGTGGCACCAAGGTGCAGACCGCCACAACGCTTCACGACTCCATCTTCCCCGACATCAAGCTTCCTGGTGGTATTTCCAGCAAGGCTACCGAGTACAAGGAGTTGGCCATGAAGGGCGAACGATGGGAGTCCCCGATCTTCAGCATTGGCAGTGCATCCGAGTCTACCGACATCCCCAAGCCGGAGAGGATTTCCCGCAAGCGCAGCTCCCCTCTTGACAAAGGTCCAAGCCTCGGGGCCTCCACCCACGGTGGCGCGGCTCTTGCTGATGGCAAGCCGATGAACGGCGGTGTGGCGGCTCTCGATGGACGGGCGGTCAATGGCTCTCATGCTCTGGGAACCAACGGCTACACGAACGGCCACACCAATGGTCACACTAACGGTCACACTAACGGTCACACTAACGGTCACACTACCGCCTACACTGCCGGCACCAACGGCTATGCTAACGGCCACTCCAAGCCCTATGACCATGTGGCCGCCTCCCGCGGCTTCTCCGATGAAGTCAACCAGGCGTTCGGCAATGGCCACACCAACGTGGCTACCATCAACGGCCGTCCCACTGTCCCCGGTGCGCAGACCGCATTCAACCCCCAGACTGCTTGAGCCAAGGTCTGAAGACTGCGTATGACGACTGAACCCGGAGGTCGAAGAACAATTACCCATACTGGGGCTCCACAAAACAAAAATCAAAGATAACGAATTCCGTTACCACGCTAATCAGCTCTTTCTTATGTCCTGTGCCTTTTCGTTGATACCGATATCGTGTTTTCTCAGTACTGTGTACTGCAGTTTCCCACTCTTGTCTTCTTAACATGTCACACATTCTGGTCCACTCCCAGACCATGTGTATTAATGATCACTTTATTCCGGTTGATTCCCTGCTCTGGTTTTCGCTTGGCCTTGTGGGATATCTCAGTATTTAATGATTAATTCGTTTATTCATGGTGTCATATCATCCTATTCGTTCCTCGATCCTATACGTCCTTCCATCGACAATTCTAAGTTCAATAGAAGCACTAATGATATAACTAGCCTGACTTAGTAGAAAATTCGAGAGCACCAGGCCAAAAAAACAAATCCGTAAAATAGGCCAGAAAACCTCGTGCCCAAATAGTATTGAACACTCACGTCTCCTACCTTATAGCTAACCCACCCCATCTATCATCTATTTATCCATAGTTACCGCATACTGATCATGACAAGAAAATTAAAAACCATAATAGAATTACATCTGCTCAAAGTACTTTTCCCAGCCCAGCTCTTGCAATTTCGTGCCCTTCAACTCCATATTCTCGGCGCGAGCACTCTCGGCGTAAGCCTCGACCTTCTGCTGGATGGCCGGGTCGAAGGCACCCAGGATGCGGGCGGCCAGGAGAGCCGCGTTGATGCTGTTGTTAATGCCGACGGTGGCGACGGGGACGCCTATTTTTTGGTTAGGTTGTTTTCGTTCATACGGGATGGTTGAGACGGAGGAGGAAGGGTGAAGGGAATGAGGGTTGGGAATTGAGGAGCAATATGGGTGATAGGACGTGTAGGGAGAGAGGTAGGTAGTATGGGTCATTTACCTCGAGGCATCTGCACGATGCTGTACAGACTGTCGACACCATCTAGGGAACTACCCTTAACGGGTACACCGATGACGGGGAGCACGGTGTGCGCGGCGGCCATTCCGGGGAGGTGGGCGGCCCCACCCGCAGCGGCGATGATGACCTTGATCCCGCGGGCCGCGGCGCCAGCGGAGTATTCGGCCATGAAAGTCGGGGTGCGGTGGGCAGAGGTGATGTCCACGGCGGGCTCGATGCCGAAGTAATCTCGCAGTAGCTTGAGACCGGGGACAAGAGTCTTGAGGTCACTGTCGGAGCCCATGATGACGGCCACGGAGGGGGCGGGCTTCGAGGGCCCGGAGGAGTGGGGCTTGGTCTTGACGTCGCTGCGCTGGGCGCGGATCTGGTCGACCACCTCGATGAGAGGCTGGATGTGGGTCTCGGCTTCGTGCATGGTGGCCGCAGTCACGGTGATGTGGCCCATCTTGCGGCCGGGTTTGGCGGCGCCCTTGCTGTAGAGGTGGATGCTGGCGTTGGGGACGGAGAGGGCGTGCTCAGCGGCGGTGAGGTGGGTATCAGAGGCGGCGCCGCCGATGATATTCAGCATGATGGAGGGCTGGCGGAGCTCGAGGCTCTTGGGAGGGATGGGGAGGTCGAGGATAGCGCGCAGGTGGGCTTCGAATTGGGACATGGCGCAACCTTCGATGGTGTAGTGGCCCGAGTTGTGGACTCGGCTGGCAATCTCGCACAGGAGAAGGCTATCATCTTCCAAGAGGAACATCTCGACGCCGAAAGCACCCTTGCCATCGAATGCGGCGACCGCCTTGCGGGCCAGCTCTTGCGCCTTCTTGTTGATAGCGTCGGAGACATTGCGGGCGGGGGCGTAGACAAGCTTGCAGACCGAGTCTTCTTGGACGGTTTCGACGGTGGGGTAAGAGAGAACAGTGTCCTTGGTTTTGATGACCATGACGGCGATTTCCTATACCGAATACAGTTGTTAAAACCATATATTTTGTGCTATGTGTATGTGTGTGTGTCGAGGGGTTAGGGATTGGTAGCCGCAGAACGAACCATCTTGAAGTAGGCCCATTTCTCTGCATACAAAGGTCGGCCCTTGAGAGCCTCCAGGGCCTCGGGAATGTCTTCTTTCGTGCGCACATGGAAGTTGCCTAAGTACGCCATCAACTACGGTCAGTGATAATGCATCACAAGCGGATGGCAGAGTAAGTATGACTCACCACGTCCATCATAAGCCATAGTCTTTGACTTGAGCATCATAGGGTATCCCAGCTGCTCGCCGACCTTAGCCAGTTCCTCCGGTGTGTTCTCGGTAAGCTCGCGGTGGTCGGCCATGGGAATGCCGTATTGTCTGAGATGTTCCTTCTGGTCGAACTTGTTCTGGATCGTGCGGATCGCCTGCCAGCTGGGCTCGATCTTGACCTGGGAAGCAATCTCCTCGAGGGCATAGGTATCGACATGTTCGATTTCGGCAGTAACGACGTCGCAAGACTTGGCCAACTCGCGGACGGCTTCGCGCTCCTTGAAGGAGCCGGTGACATGGTCGTCGTGGGCGCTGATCTGCTTGGCCGGGGAGTTCTCCGCATCGAGGACATTGCATTGAATATTGAGTCGGTTGGCGGCGTCGACCATCATACGGCCCAATTGGCCTCCACCAAGAATCCCGACTTTCGGAGAGTTCCACATGTTGTTCGCTGGACTTTTCTGACCGACGAGAAGCACGACGAAAGGAGGAAAAAAAGTTAAGTGACGGAGATCAGAACGAACGCAGGCCGAAAACGGAGAAGATCTGGGGAAGGAGAAAATGAGCCCCTCAGTCACGTGCAATTCCGATAAGCGGCTGTCGGAGCCAATCAGTGGCTGCTGTTGCCGGGGAGCCGCTTGTCCTCCCCGCGCGCGTCACGAGCCAAATGCTGCTCGATTAATTGATTGCTTGATTTGTCGTATCAATCCTCCTACCTTCGTTTCTCATTCTGCCTCTATTCTTCTGCATCTCAAGCAGAACCAGCAGATACTGTCGAAAATATGTCTTTAGGTAAGTCTCCAGCGCTGATTGCCAATTCTTGCTTCCTGCAGTCACCCCTTGACAAGCTATTACAGCTTGAGCTCGAGCCCGCTCGGTTTAACAGCCTGGATTGCGTCCTGCTGACTTGATGCATGAATTAGATGAAGAGAGCCTTGAGATAGCCGCCAATGGCGGCGCAATAGACCTGTATGTCGATACACTTGCCTGTTGCCTCCATCCGCGCGCTGACAATGCCCTTGTAGCTCGAAATGGCCCAACATCGTCGAACCGCTCTTAGAGCGACTGCAACATGTGCGCAACCCTCAAAGATCACGCGCGCTACTTGACCACCAGACAAGTGACTAACATTCGCGATGGGAAGAACGTCTACAATGTATTCCCCATGCCCAGATTGCCTCCTGCAGCAGCGCAACCCCCAACACTCCCCTCCGCCGCCACCATCCTAGCACAAAACACTACTCCGCCCACCAACCCGATGACTACAGACACAACCATCAGCAACACTGGTGCAGACACGACCATCGAGCCCAACCTCCAGACCCCACCGCGACCAGCCGCGACCTCCACAACTACAACCCCACTATCCAACGAACGCATCCCGGACTCCCAGCCCTTTTCCCAGGCCGCCGCTTCATCCTCCTCCCCTTCCGAGAACCCATCCACCCTCCCGGCAGCCCTTGAAAACCTCCTGACCGCCATCTCCGCCAACATCCGCACCCTCTTCGCCTCCAAACCGCCGCACACCGTCCAGCGTCTCGCGGAGCTCATCCTCCGCCCCACGGCGCACTACCGCACCCTCCCTGCGTACCTCCGCGCCGTCGACCGCGTCGTCTCCGTCACCAGCCCCGCGGATATCTTTCCCTTCCAGACGAAGACCGGCACACAACAGCCGCTGACCCAACAGCAACAACCCAACGGCGCCACTCTCAATGGTAGCGGCACCGCCGAACCGAGCTTCATGTTCTCCGTCGACCACGGCTTAGGCAGCGACGAGTCGCTCGGTGGGGCACTTCTCACCCCGATCCCGTGGCTACACAACACGGCGTCATCGCCCGAGGGCGAAGGGGACCAAGAACCGGTCGGTGGCGTTGGCGTTGTCGGTATAGTCGGCGGTGAGGGCGAGACGCGCGGACTTGCTGCGGCGCAGACGTCACTGGGATCTGGGATCAGTGCTGCTGCCGCTGGGGAAGGCGAAGGGCTCTCGACGGCCGCGGCGACGACGGGCCAGATCCACACCGAGAATGCGGTGATGGGCGGAATGGAAGCGTCGGGGGTGCTTAACGAGCCAAGTGTGGAGGACGTCCCGCATGCGCGGGGTCCGCCTGTGGTTGGGGTGGAAGACCTGGGGTTGCAAGATGGGAAAGGGGTGGAGATGAACCTGGATGGCGCAAGTGATGCCGCCGGTAGCGGCCCACAACAGGTGCAGCAGCAGACTCAGGCGCAGAGTCAAGAGTCCTCTGCAGGTTTATCGGGTGCGCAGCAGCAGCAGGAGCCGGTAGCTACTAGTCTGGGAGACGGTCAGACTCAGGAAGGTGGTAGTTTTCCCGAACCTGGGACGGATGGCGATGGTGATATTGCCTTGGAGGATGCAAAGGTAGAGGATGCCTCCGCAACGGCCGAAAAGAGTCAGCCGCAGCAGCAGGGGTAGGGAACTGTAAGGATGATATTATGCCCTAACTTATTAGCGTCAAAATCCAAATCAGGCTTTGCATTGCATGCATGCGTTTTCCAGAACCAACTGCGATGATAAGCGATCATTTGAATGGGATTTGGTAGCAGTGCACCCAGGCGGATACTTTACTTTTCAAACAAGAGCTAATCGAAGGTAGGCTACGCGGCCCCGAAACGGTAGCTAAACCCGGGAAACTACATTGGTGAAGGAATTTCGGGTCCTCGTGGAGAGAGAAACCTGCCAGTATATAAAATCTCTAGCTTGTTGAGAACAAGGGTTGTACCTGAGAAAAATAAGGAAAGCCACACAACGCCAAGAAACCGCTATTCATAGAACCAAGAAAACCCAAACCAGATCATTAAGTGGTCGTGACATGCAAGTATGCATTGTATGGCCAATGCTCATAGACGAACAGTGACAAAACATTCATTATATATCCAAGAAAATGATGCGTCTACATCGACGGAGCTCAAGCCGGCTCAACCGTTTGAAGAGGGACGTAGCGTCCTTCGTCAAAGTCGGAGCCCCTAGATTTCTTGCCCGTGACGAAAAGCCAAATATCAGCGGGGGAGATCCAGTGGAATGGTGATCGGCCATTGGAGGATCCGGTGACAGACAGAGTGGCTTGCCACCAGCTCTTCTGCGAGGACTTGAAGTCAGTCGAATTGGCCTCTGAAATCTCTTTGAGAAGCTTGTCAGCATCCATCCATTTGGGACGGCGCCAGAGCTTGAGGAGCAGACTGCTGAAGACAACAGAGACACTGGATGCGGCCATGGCAGCGCCCGCAGCCATGGGAGGTAGCATGAGCCCGAATGGGAGGAAGATGCCCATAGCAAAGGGGAGTCCAATGATGTTATAGAGACAGGCCCACATCAGGTTCAGCTTGATACGGTTGAAAACCGACCGAGATAGATACAGACTGGCTGGCACTGAAAGCAGATCGTCGGGCCGCATGAGAACAATGTCTGCTGCTTCCATGGCGACATCAGTTCCGGAGGCAAGTGCGATACCAACGGATGCAGTGGCTAGGGCGGGAGAATCGTTAATTCCATCACCAACCATGGCAACTCGATCCCCGGCCTCTTGTAGAGAAGCGACAATAGCCTGTTTGTCCGAAGGGGACACTGACGCATGGACTGCATCAGTTGGGATACCAACAGCTGCAGCGATGGAAATGGCAGTGGTATAGGTGTCGCCAGTGATGAGAGAAGTCATGATGCCCATACGGTGCAGAGCTGCGACTGCGGCTGGAGCGCTGCTTTTCACGGTGTCCCGAAGCGAGATTGTGCCAGCATATTGGTTATCAATGGCGACGTGAATCTGAGTGATGCCAGCAGGAACCTTGGGGCTAAGATTTTCGTATTCTTCAGAAGCCTGCGGCTCGGCAGATTCTGGGATGGTAACATCTCGGGATCGCAGAAACGCAGCATTACCGACCAAAACACGATAACGAATGCGCTCAGCACTCGAGGTAGGCTCGACCAATGCAGAAATACCTTTTCCAACACAAGCTTCAAGATCACCCAAGCTTCCTGGCAGACCGCCGTCTCCAGGATTACCTGACTCGGTTTGCGCGGCGGCAAAGATGGCTCTGCCGATGGGATGTTCGCTGCTCATCTCTGCAAGACCAACAATGAGCCACCACAACCGACGACGCCAGTCGTTCACGTTCCATTGAGGTTCAATTCTGGCTTCGGCCACACTCATCTTTCCAGTGGTCAAAGTGCCAGTCTTATCAAAAACGACATGGTTGATCTTCGTGGCGGCTTCAAGCACAGCGCCACCCTTGACGAGAATACCCTGCTGTGCTCCTACGCCGGTTCCAACCATGACGGCGGTCGGTGTGCTCAGACCCAAGGCACAAGGACAGGCAAAAACGATCACGGAAATGCATAGCTTTAGACAGACCATGACTTTGCCTCCATTGCTTTCTGCCAAGAAGACCTTGGGCGGATGAGGCAAGATGTGGCTCATAAACATCCAACCAAAGAAGGTGACCAAGCCAAGACTGATAATTGCTGGAACAAAGTATCCGGCTACCATATCAGCCATACGCTGAATGGGAGCTCGACTCGTCTGAGCGTCCTGAACCAGCTTGACAATCTGACTGAGCTGGGTGTATTTGCCCGCTCGGGTGACCTTGAAGTCCATAGAGCTTGTTCCGTTGACCGTTCCGGCAATGACAACACTGCCCTTAGATTTGTGTATAGGAAGAGCCTCACCCGTAATCATACTTTCGTCGACATAGCTTTCTCCGCGGATGACAATGCCATCCGCCGAGACTTTATCTCCGGGATGGAGCATCACAATGTCTCCTACTTCAATGAGCTCGGTGGGGATCAATTTTTGTCCAGGTCCTGAGATTTCATGTGTTGCCGATGTGAATTGGTCGTTGTCCGGGTTTTTGGCCGTGGTGTCCCAATACTCGGCCATCTTTTCTGCCGCTATAGGATCATCATATATAGTGGTCATTGATGGCGCCAAGGACATCAGACGCGAAAGTGCCGCCGAAGTCTGACCCTTAGCTCTGTTTTCCAGCCATCTTCCCAGCGTAATAAACGTGATTAGCATCGTACTCGTGTCAAAAACCGTGCTCGGCCGCGCGTGAGTTTTCGAAAACATCGCGACAATCATGGTGAAGATACTGTAAAAAAATGCTGCAGATGTACCCAACATGACAAGGACATCCATGGTCGGCGAACGATGTTTCAAAGACTTGTAACTAGCGATATAAAACCGTTTTCCAATTCCAAATTGAACAGGCATAGTGAGGAACAGGCAAGCAACGTCACCCAAGTAGAGACCGCAGAAGAGCGGGACACGACCAAAGTCGATAGCCGGAAAGTACATGGGAAGAACCATGTTGATCAGGAAAACGGGAATGGCGAATGATACGGAGAAGAGGAACGCACGTTTCCACTCCTGAACCTCCTTGGTTTTGGCGAGCGAATCAAGCTGAGCATTTGTCTCATCCAACTGCGACACTAACGCATTGTATCCGGCTGCCTCGATCGCCTCGACAATCGATCTGACTCCGACCATGGAGGAGTCGAATGTTACATTGAGGCGGGAGGTGGCCATGTCCACCGACGCCGAGGACACACCGGGTTTTCGAAGAAGGTCGTCCTCCAGGCACGTTGCTGATGCAGCATCCCGCACGCCGTGAAGACTGAGAGTGACACGACCGACGCCTCTACCCGAGATAGTTTGTGCTTCAGAAGAAACCAGAGTTGTATCGAAACCCGCATCATCGATAGTGCTGAGAATTTTCTGAACAGGGAGCGTAGATGGATCGTGAACGAGGATCGCTCGTTCAGCGAGTAGACTGATATTAAACTGCACCAATCCATCTACCCCGTTGAAAGCATTTTGTATGCTTGCTGTGCATGCGCCGCATGTCATGCCGTCTATAGACACCGTTGTGACCATCATTGGGGGTTTGGACCCTGCCAAGTCCTGTGAAGAGTGGCTGTCCTGAGCCGATGAGGTTTCCAGCACCTTCGCATCGAAGCCACGATCCTCAATTATTTCTGCGATGCGATCCGGGGTGATAACGGAGGCATCGTGTTCGACAACGGCACGTTCCGAAAGTAGAGAGACGCTGACTGACCGGACACCTGCTGCCTCTTTTAGTCCGCCTTCGACCGCGGAGGTGCAAGCGCCACAAGTCATGCCTTCCACCGCTAATGTCGTGGTCGATAAGGAGGGTTTCCCCGCGCTTTCGGTAGAAAGAGGTACGCTATCCGTGGAGACGACCTTGGCGTCAAATCCGCTGTCTTCGATGATCTCGGCGACCTTTTCCGGAGGGAGCACGTTGGGATCGTGGTGTACAACCGCACGGCCCATCATCAAGCTCACGGTCACCTCTCCCGCGCCGTCCACTCCCTTGAAAGCGCCCTCGACAGCTGAGGTGCAGGCGCCACACGTCATGCCTTCCACACTAACCGTGGTAGAAGCCATGTGTGCGGGTGATCGGTCGTTGAGAGAGCTAGTCTCTCCGGGGCGGAGCAGAGCGGTGGATGGGGTCGCCATGTCGCACTGGGATTCAGTGGTGACAACCAGGCGAAGAGGATTGTCAACCGGCAACAGTGGTATTCATAAGAGCGTGGTTCGGATGGGAGGGGAAGCTGACGGAAGGAGGGAGGTGGGGGGAGCGTTTGGTAGGGTAATATAGTGGAGTTAGTAGAAGCGGAGGGAGTCATGCAAGGTTCGCTGGAGAACTAATAATCATGTAATGACTTGAACGATTTATATTGGGACTAAAAGTAGTACCAATTATGGAGTCAGTGCAGGCCGGATGGGGACGGAAGAAGAAGATGGAAGTCGGTTGGTGGTGGTTGACGCTGCCGCCCGGATTCATCCCTCAATAATCTCCATTAATCTTCGCAAAGGCACTGCAGGAGAAGCCGTCAAGGCCGGTTAGGGATTGAACAAAGAGTAGACAATTGGACAATGTGGCCCATGGTATGTCGCTTGTTGTCTTTCTTTTCTAGCCTGTTCTGAACAACAAAAATCCACCTGGGGAGATGATCGAGGAAAATTACGTCCGATTCTCTCCACTTTTTGAGGAATGCCTGGACCCGCCGGGCGCATTTACTTGTAGATTAAAGCCCAGGTGTCTCACCAAATATACGAACTGTATGGCCTGGACATGCTACACAGTCTATTACTGTCCACATGAGACTATTATCAATGGGCAACCCATTCTCGTTCTCCTCGTTCTCTTCGTCCCGTCGGGTCTGGGTTTCAAATTGGCCTGAGCAATCGGGAGTGCTGGCTGGACAGACAAGTCTGATCATAACACCGGAATGGTCAGGATCAACCCTGCATGCCAGTCTGCAAGGAGGGCTCCGTTTCTAGGATCGGTCCCCGATGAATGCAGAAGCAAAGTTGACGGTCCAGAGGACATCCGGCACAGCCGATACGTATACTTGTTCAACTGGGGGTTATCGCCCATCGACCGTCGGATTCCGCGGTGAGATGTAAGACACGGAAGCCTATATCGTCGAATGAAAGACAATGCTATGTGCAGACTTGGCTGAGACACCTCGGCTACCTTTGAATGAGATTTTGCTCGACTGGGTTTCTTTAAAACCTCGAGAACGTTAGATCTAGATAACCTGTCATGCTTAGCTGTCAGAGAAAAGGCTTTGGAAGGGTTCTGGGGTTGAAACGTCGGATGGCTCTGCCGTTTCAACTATAGAGCTGTAGCTCCTGGAATGGTTCCAGACTCGAGATTGCGGTGGTTCTCAGTAGATGATGGTGAATCAGAGCCTCACTTCAGCCGAAACGCCCATTGATGCGAACTGCGCTGATGAGGTCCTGACAAGACCAATAATAAATTGAGGGAGCAGACTCAGCATTCGATGTGTAACTGTGTACTGTACAAGTGCAGAGGCTCGGAATCACATGGCTGGATGTTCAATCCCACCATGTTTGCATCCCGGACAAACACCACCACAACATCTCCATCATCGGTTATCACTACAACGATTCATCCCAACTAACTACCACTTTTGATGACAGGCCACCTTGAACTGAATTCGCAATAGTCGCATATCATAACTTACCGCACTACAAGAACAGTTATTTGAGGATTTCTCAGCACCCCCCGGAGTCCATCAGAAACAAACAGCCTTGACAGCCAAAGCCGCGGTTGAGCCATCATCCCATAGGCGAACAGGATGGACCAGAGCCAGACCCGGGCCATCGAAGCCCTCCAACCGTTCATCGCCCTTGCCAATTCCTCCAGTGCTAGCTCTCCCCGCTTTGTCGCCAACATCATCACAAATGCAACCTCGAACCCACACACCTTCGTGTTCGCGGAGCTGCTCGAGACGGCAGCGGTGCAGGCCCTCCGCTCGCCGGAGACCCCAGCCGAATACCAGAGCTATTTGACGTTGCTCGAGATCTTCGCCTGGGGTACATGGCAAGACTATCATGGTGAGCGTTTGCCAATAACCTCATCACGATCAAAATATCCAACATAGACCTGGCAATGAACGCTAACGTATCACCGTTCACAGAAACCCCCAACCTGCCCGAACTCAGCCCGGCCCAGACACTCAAGCTACGCCTCCTCACCCTCCTCACCCTCTCCTCTACCAGTCAACCTCTTACCTACGACGCCCTTATGCGCTCTCTCTCCCTGACCGTACCCTCTGACCTCGAATCCCTCGTCACAACCGCCATCTACTCCTCCCTCATCAGCGCCCGCCTGGCGCCGGCTTCGATCCCTCCCACCGTGAATGTCTCCGCCATTGCCCCGCTCCGGGACGTAAACCCTCAATCGCTGCCTAACATGATCAACATCCTTGCGCAATGGGAGACCCGCTGCGGCGACGTCATCAGCGACATCGAGGCGGAGATCGCCAAGATCAAATCCGAGTCGGCGAAGCGGCGGGCCAAGGAGCATGCGCGTACCATGATGTTCGAGCAGACGCTGGCGGCGTACCGGGCTGAGGCCGCTAGCGCTGCGGGTGGAGGGGAGGGACCCGCGGCGGGCGGAGCGGCGCGGAAACACTGGGGTCAGCAGCACATGTACAGGGGCGGCGGCCTCGGAGGCAACAAGCGCGAATTCATCGCCGAAGAGTTTGACGACGATGATGGGTACTGGGAGCATGGGAGCGAGCTGGATCTCCAGGCTATGGGTGGGTCAAGGATGGACATTGATGAAGGCGCCGGGTCGGGGAGAGCGGGAGCTGCCGGAGCGCGGCATCCCAAGCGGATCTTGGGTAAGAAGTCGTAGGGGGATTTGCAATTGCTGCCAGCTATGGAGATCGGTAATGGCTCTAGAATATGGGAGGATGGAAAGTATTTCGCTGGCCTGTTTATGCTTGATACCATCCTATTGCTATTGCAGAATATGACCACAAGACTCAAAGATACAAAACCGCACTGAACGGCGCTATCACAGATCAACAAACTGATATCTAGCATGAATTATGTCCACTTGCACGAGAAGAACAAGACACCAAGTGCAAAGGAAAGCAAACCGCTCCATATTCTCATAAATTGGGTATTCGTTCATCATACACAAAAGCAAACGCCAACCGGAACGCCTACGCACTAAAGACTGCATAAGTACTTGTTCAGTGATTCTCTGCCAAATGCTAAAAGGACGGTCAGCTCCTGTATGTCCATATTCCATATCGACTCCGGGATAATACTTACCGACCACTCCGGGATGTTACGTATCTGCTGCCACATGAATTTCTCCAGCTTGTTGGCACTCTTGGCATACGGCGTGTTCTCATTGTTGTATCGACGGCAATTGTCGAAAATCAACATGGCGTCCTTGATGAAGTCCTGTGGCGTCGGATACATGTCCTTCTCGTGTTTCTCTTCCATGGTCGACAGATCCATGGGCTCCTTGATGACTTCGTAGTAGTCTGGCACTTCATCTCGGTTGACCGGTTGTGTGAACGGCCACGCGGCACTGTGGTTCTGCATGTCGTTGAGAAGATGTAGAAGTTGGTTGTAATTGGGCCCGTGGCGGGGCTGCCGCGCTAATTCATCCATGTCCGGCGACCATCCCGACTCTTTGATAGCTGGGATCAGTAGGGGGTCAATCTTGTAAGGCCCGTTCTTCCACTCCTTGGGAGGTGGGTGGATGATATGTGACCGACTGAAAGCGCGAATCTTCGCATGGACCGCTTCCTTCTGTTTCAGAAGCATGCGACCGACCTCGAGGTACCGTATCGTGGGTAGCATCGTGCACTGCATGATTGTTCCTCCCTCATAATCCTTGATATAACCCATCCAGACGGATTTATCCAGCGTGATCTCTTTAGTGAAGCCCTGCTTCTTGAAGTAACCGATGGCGTAGTTGTCGGCGTAGGTTAGAAAGTGCATGATATCCGAAGTAGCCTTGACGTAATCCTGTAAAACAGATTAGCATTGTGGTTGCTTCGGCCGAACCATGCACACAAACCTTCAAATGGGACATCAGATGCGCACCATATCCTTTGACTTGTTGGTCGGAAGAGATAGCACAGAAGACAATCTCGGCGAACCTGCGGCTGTTGAACGGGCGGTATGTGATGCCTCTGCATGCCCCATTAGCGCATCCCACCACCCAGTTCGCTCTTTTAGCACATGTATACGCACCCGACAACCTCCAAGGGATGTTTAACGATAGCGATAGAAAGATGCGACCGGTCGTAGACTAAGCGCGCGATGTAGTCTTTGGGCATTTTGGGGAGCTGTTTCTGGAAAATGCACTTGAGGCCGGTCAGGACGACGAAACTATCGCGCGAGCCGTCATTATTAACGACTCGAAATTCGATCTCGCCACGACGCTCTTCGAGTACTGCGGGCTGTGGTCGAAGTGTTAGTCTCGTCCATCCCCGCGTGCGGAGCGGCGAGCTTACCTTCTCCGGGAACGGGACAATCCGCATGGGCGGCTTATCGAAGAGATCATCTTCGGTCTGGAGTCGCGACTGGTCAACGCGATGATACCTTCCAACATTAAATGTCTGAAGTGCCCACCTTGAGATCCTTCTCCGGGGTGTCGGTGCGCGCTTTCTTGCTCCGCTGTTGGGAATCTGGGGAAAGAGCCTCCTCCGAAGCTTTCCGCTTGGTACCTGGACCTCGATCTGAGTCAGTAAAACTAAATCGAGGCTTGATGTTTGCAACATTGAGCTCACTCTCCGAAGTGATTGCCGGCATTATGCGTGCTGCGACTTCAGGTTATTTAAGAACTGAGACTTGACTTCAAGGTTGGTTGGAGCTGAGGCAAGCAACACCGCGCTCTCCCGCTCTCTCTCCACCTCCCGATACGGGGAACGGGGGAGGAATTACTTTGATCCGGCGCAGTTAAGCCAGATAACCATTTCAATCACGACAATGGCTAGGACTATATCAGACTATCTTCTCTTCTGTTTTGCCCTGTGAAGCGTGTTTCCTCGTTACTCACAAGCCCTTTCTATACTGTACTTCTTTGTTCGTCACGCCTCAATGTCTTTGAACCTGGTCTGGGAGGCAGCTTCTGCGAGCCCTTACTCTCCCCTTATCGCGAAAGATAGCCAGTTCTTCGTCGGCTTTAGTCTCCTGCTTGCTGGTGAGCTTCACCTGCCTATTGTCGCGCAGGACAATTACTGACATTAACTCCCCAGCCTTTATACTTACCGGTCTCTTCGGATTGAGTCAGTCGCCCTCTTTCCGAGATTTTGAACTCTGAGAATTGCATCGCCTCATGCTTACCATCCGAGCAGATCGTTCCTTCACCAGCATTGCATTTTTTGGCGTGCCAGCAGCGCTGGCGTTTGGGTAAGATCACGCCTACCTGCGGTTGCGTTGTTCATGACTAACGTTCGCGGAACAGCTTCGGTGCCGTTTATATGATCTGTGCCGTTGGGGTCTACGTTTAAAGTTCCAGTTACCACCTCTGATACCCCATGTACCATATCCTGGACAGTTGAACAAACGAAGCATTATTTCTACACCACCCGTCTCTCTCTCTCTCTTTTTCCACCCCTTCACATAACCTAATCCTCAACCCCGTACCGCCACGCTCAGTCAGAGCAGGGGGAAACATGGCAGACGCAGAACCTATCTTCACAGCTGTCTCCAGCAACGCCCACCACCTCTACACTCTACTTCAATGCATCGGATTCGCACCGAAAGCCACCGTCCAGATCACTCCAGACGGCATTCGCTTTTCTGTGGAAGAAGCGCGAACAGTACAAGGCCTCGCATTTCTTGACAAGGCCCTCTTCACCAGCTACACCTTCAACCCACCCGCCGCTCCCACCACCACGCGTCACGACAATGACGACGAGGAGCACGACCCCGACTCCCCATCCGCTGACACAGACTCCAATACGACACCGACATACTACCCCTGCTTCGAGATCTCCCTCACAGCTCTGCTCGAAACGCTCAAAATCCTGGGCATCAACGACTCCATGTCCGGCAGCAGCAGCGGCTCGCGAGCCGGCAGCGTGCAACCTGGGGGCCACAGCGCCTTCACCACGCCGGCCCTTCTCCTCGACCGCTCGTGCACGCTCCGCTACAGCACCGAGGGCAGCCCGCTGAGCGTCACCCTCACCGAGACCGGCGTGAAGACCACCTGCGAGCTGACCACGTACGAGCCCGAGGGCGGCGAGATCGAGATCCCGCTGCAGCGCGACGCCATCATCATGAAGATCATCATGCGGTCCGCCTGGCTCCACAACGCCATCACCGAGCTGGCCGCCACCGACCCGTCCGCCCTCAAGATCTCCGCCTCCGCCACCCAGGAACCCTTCTTCGCCTTGTCCGGCGCCGGCGGCTCCATCAGCGAGTCCACTGTCGAGTTCTCCGTCGAGAACCAAGCCCCTGAAAGCACTACTGGTCATGGCCCGCGTGAGGGTGCCTCCGCCGACGCGGCCCCGCGCGCCAAACGAGCCCGACTCGCCCCGACCGTCACCGAGACCTTCCTGGTCAGTCCGCCCTCGTCGATGGGCTCGCGCATCCGCCAGGATTACAGGTTCTCGGCGGTCCAGAAGGCCGCCCGCGCCATGGCTGTCGCGAATAAGGTCAGTATCCGTGGCGATCGGCAAGGGGTGCTGAGTCTGCAGTTCATGATCGAGTTCGATGTCAACGGGGGCAGTGGGGCCAGATTACACGCTCGAGGTGGGTTGGCGCCCGTGGTGAGTTTTGTGGACTTTAGGTTTGTGCCGCTGTTGGACGAGGACGCGCTGTTGTAGCAGCTATGGAGGGAGGGAGTGAATATGGGGGTTTCTAGCTGTGCGGGTTTTGAGCGGTCCCTCACATTTATTATTATTGACAAGATAGATATTTTGAATGATCACATTATTTAACGCCGGTCCATGCTAGGCTAATATCTCAATGATGTACAGGAAGAATATCAATGTGTACCACTTTTGATCCTTTGTTGAGTGTAGACGCTATCCACTAGGTCGGATTCACCATTACCATGCATAATGATTCGATGATGGGGAAAAAGGTAACTTTATTACATGACCTACAGTCATTCGTTAGCATAACGATTTTGGCTCGTGGGGAATCAAGATACACATACCTCAGCGATGGACTGTCTCTCGATAATAGACTTCTGCCGCTCATTCCGTGAAACGCGGTAATAGTAATCACTGAAATCGCCGCACTGCATATGCCGCAGGAACTCCTCGTCGTGGGTGATGACAATAAGCTGGAAGTTGGCCTGCTGCTGGCGCGCGCGGATGATATCGTGGAGCGACTCGGCCAGCGAGCGGATGTTGTCGCGGTCCAGGTTGGTGGTCGGCTCGTCGAGGGCGATCAGGCCACAGTTGACGCCAAAGCACTCGGCCAGGGCCAGGCGGATGATGATGCTGGCCAGGACCTTCTGGCCGGCGCTGCAGCGGCCGCGCATGTCCATCTCGGCGCCTTGCTTGACCATGCAGACGCGGTAGTTGTAGGAGCGGTTGCCCTTGGCGTTCTCGTTGTCGGAGCGGATGAGAATGGTGTCGACGTCGGTGCCGCGGTAGGTCTTCTGCCACAGCTCGCCGACGATGGCGTTGATCTCCTCCATCTTCAACCCGTGGTACTTCATGATGGCTTTGTCGAGTGCGCCGCCGTAACGCGCGAGATCGTCGACCGCCGCGCGGGTGGTCTCGACCTTGATGTGAGCCTCCTTGTACTTGCCGGCCGCGTCCTTGTAGTCCGTGTCATAGTCGGCAATCAATTGCATCAGCTGGTCGTCTTTGGACTTCATCTCACCCATCTTGCTGGCCTGCTTCGCGGCGAGGGCATTGTGTTCGCGCGTACGGCGCTCGGATTCCTCCTTGAAACGACTGCGGTCGACCTCGGCGTTCTGAGCGGCGAGTTGCTCAATCTCGGCATTGACCTTGTCCAGGGCTCGGGTCGCCTGCCGATACGTCAGGTTGTCTGCGTACTGACGCTTGGTGTTCTCACTGTCTTTCAGCTGGGCAGATATTCGGTTGATTTCTCTCGTGATCGTCGCCTGTTCCGATTCAAGCTCATTGATTTCGTTCTCAATCGTTTGGAGTTCGCGTTCGCTTCGCTCAAGCTGGGTAGGGCCACCTCGCTCATTATAGGCATCGATTTCTTCGCTTGCCACTTCCAGCTGATGTATGCTGTCGTATAATTGGGAGATTTCCTGCTGCAGTTCTCTTTCGCGTGCCTCGGCGCGCTGACTGATGTCATCATACTGCGCCTGTACCTTGAGCAGTTCGGGGGTAAGAGACTCAATGTCTTTGTCCGCCTTTGCGATTGCCGCACGCTGTTCATTGTTGAGGTTTTTGTACTCTCCAAGGCGAGTCACAAGATCTGCTTTCTTTTCAAGCTGGAACTTGGCGTTGTCCAGACTGCTCTTGGCGTCTCTGAGCTGCAGCTCCAGGTTGTTGATCTCCGCTAACGTCTGCTCCTTTTCATGGGTGAGCTTTGACAACGTCTTCTTGAGAGCACGGGAGCGTTCGCCGATTCCAGCGATTTCCTCCTGAATATCCTCCAGAGTACGAGAACCAGTGTTGTCCTCTTGCTTTGAAGAGAGCTCTTCTATCTGGGAGCGGATAGACTTGATGTCACTGGCATACTTGACGATAGTGTTGACCGTCTTCGAGAGCGCTTCGACATCTTTCTTCTTCTCGGTCCTCTCGCTGACAATCTTGTCATGCTCCTCTAGTTGACTTAGCAATTTGTCCTGCTGGAGAACATACTGCTCCTCTTCCTTTTCCAGGCTCGGAATCTCGGTTTCCTTCAAGCGGGCCCACGTGTTGTAGGCTGTGCTGGCCTCTCGCGCAGCGTTGAGGTCTTCCTCCAAGTGTTTGATGTCCTCATCTTCAAGATTCCTTTGGGCTTTCTTGACTAGGCCCTCCAGCTTGTTGATGAAAGCCTGCAATTGTCTCTCTGCTTCGAAGCCCCGTTGGCACAACCGGCAGACCTTCGACTGTTTCGCAGTGCCAAGACAGTCTTTCATATAGGAGCCTATCCCAGCATACTGCTCCGCATCTTTCCGAGCGAGATCAAGCTGGATCTGCCGCTCTTTGACGATCTCGAGATATTCCTCTGGCTCGTCCCCAATAGCTTCACGGATCTCATGTATACTCTCTTTAAGCTCTTTCTGCCGCTGGTTCAAGGCTTTCTTTGCTTCTTTCATCTTGAACTCAACTTGTTCCAGCTCTCGACTGACGCCGTCGCGTTCACGCTCCGCCTTGGAGACGTGTCCTGACTCTTCCTCCAGGACACGTTGAAAGTCTTGCTCAAGGGAATCGGTGCTCCAATTGGACTTGATATACTTGGAGAGCCGATCGCCATGCGCACTTTTCATGGTTCCCAGGCCGCGTTCCTGTTCCCTGAGCTCCTTTTTCAGGTGGTCAAGCCGGGCAAGGTCACCAGCCTTTTTGGTCGCCTCGATGAGTTCGGCGTTCAAGCGAGAGCTTTCATCTTCAAACTTGCGGATCTCCGAGTTGACGTTCTGGATCTCTTTATCCCAAGAAGCGGTTCGCGAGCGTTCCTTCGCCTGATCCAGGCGAGAAACAGTGTCCTCAATGTTTGTCTCGAGCGCCGCCTGTACGCCCTCATCGACATTGATCTCGTTAAGTTTTGCTTGGTAGGTAGCCGCATCTCTGTCATTGAAAGCTATCTGTCGTTTGGCTGCAATCTTACTTTCCTGCAGCGCAGACTTGCGCTGTCCAATTTGATTGAGAGAGTCTTGGGCTTCGCGCAGCTCGCTTTGCGCCTCCCGCTTGACTCGCTCTAGCACCTGATTCTGCTCTTTGAGGATCTTTCTGACTCGGCGCATGAACTCGTCGACATCCGCCTGATCCACCACATTGTCGAACCCACGAATGCTGTGGCTCCGGGCGATTTCTTTGGTCATGCGCTGTCGCCTCTCGACTTGACGCTCAAAGTTCGCCTTATCGTTCTCGAATTTTCCGTACTCGGCCTGCTTGAGACCCAGCTTGTGCCGCGCGTTTTCAATCTGTTCTTTGATCTCCATGTAGTTCTCTTTCTGAGACTCCTCCTGTTGTTGGTACTGCAGTTGCTTTGTCTCAAACTGCTCCAGGTTCGACTCCAGCCACTCATCCGAGTCGTCCAGCTCCACCAGATGCCGTTTCAGATTGTCGAGCGTCGTCTGGATACTCTTCGCCTCGATGCGCTTTCCCTCCAGCGCGCCCAGGACCTGGGAGTAGCTCTCCGACTCTTTCCACGCCCTGTCCGCCAATTCGGCGACCCGCCGCATCTCCTGAGAGAGCTGATGCGTCTCCGCCCGCAGAGCTTCAATTTCGTCCTGCAGCTTGATCGACCGCTTCTCCACGCGGTCCGCCTTTTCCTTATCCTCCTTGGCATGCTGTTCCATGATCTTGTATTTGCCCAGCTCCTCATTTTGCTTCTTGCGGAGCGCCTTGATGTTATCGATCGCCTTGGTGTACTTCATCGCCTCGAAGATCTCGTCGAATTTCTTCTTCAACACGGACGGCTCGCTCATGGGCCACAGGCTCTCATCCTGGTGGCAGAAGATCACGGAGTCGAGGACCGCCCTCGACACGCCCAGGTACTGCGGCAGGATCTGGTCCAGCTCGGCCACTCGCGAGGAGATGGCCGTCCGCTCGCCATCCTTGACCATCAGAAGCTGGCCCTCCAGCGTCTTCTGCTGCCGCGTGGTTTTCTTGACGGTGAGCTGGAGACTCCGCGTCGCCACCATCTTAGCGCCCGAGGTCGCCTTGAATGACAGTTTGACCTGCGCTAGGACTTCTTTCTCTCCGCATAACTACTTACTCCAAGCACCACCACCGAGGACCGTTAGCGGAATACTGACTCCTCTCCTGCTCCATGCGTTTGTCGTTTGTGGGAAGCTCGTACCTTCGGATCGTGGATGAATGCACCACCCTTGCTGTTCGGCGGGAGATCTCCGGTGGTCGCATACTTGAGACATTCGATAATCGTCTACCCTCATGTCAAGTCAACAGAACTCCTTTCCCCCAAGTCGTCCTCCTGGTGGAAGCAGAAGAGCTCCATACCGTTTTCCCAGATCCGTTATACCCAACAATCAACGTAAGAGGCGTATGGAATTGAATCGTCTCGCTGCGGGTATTGTCGAACGAGCGAACACTGAGAAACAACCGCCCGTTTGATTAGCCCAGGACCCCAGACCACGAAACCAAAAAAAAAATAAAAAGAAATGATGTCAAACGACACAATCTGTAGCATCAACATGAAGGACTAACCCAAGAATCGAAAGCTTATCAATCTTCGCTATCCAAATATATGCAGCGGTCAGTCTCCCCGGCTCGGAAGTTCCGTCCACATCTTAGCTCCGCGCGCGGCCCTGCACTGCACTTACACCTGCAGAACCGGGTTAGCATACACCCGCACATCAACTCTGCGAGGAGAAAATCCAACTCACATCTTAACGGCTGTCTAGAAGACTGTCAATCAGCCGGTCTTCATCAAGTTCAAAATCGCGGGCAGGCACCTGTTGCAGATTGCACCGGCTGCCGTCATGGAGAGAGAAATCGACAGAGCTAATGGGTAAGTCTGGGCCGGTCGGCTCTCTTTGATAAGAGCGCGCGACGCGGGGAAGGGCGGCGCGCGGTCACGTGCCTAGGCTGCTATTAGGCGGCCGTTTGGGAGGCTTAAGTTATGCCATAATTATTTCAAGTTGTAATAATGTTGGTCTTCTTTATTTAGTTGGTCAATGCTGGAAGAACCATAACTACCTTACTACTAACTCATTCTAAGTCTTCCTTGACAAGTATGGGTTATTGGCTATTTTGTCCTCCCGGACTGCGTAGTGCCTACCACATCGTTATCAGTCACATATTTGAAAATCTATGCTACTTGAATGAAGGCGATATGAGATTGACCTGAAACATGATGCATTCAGGGATCATGGCAGTCTCGCTAAAACTAACGTGAAGAGGTATATGGTATTAGTGTATGTGTATTCTCGTGATAGTCCAAGTGTGTCTTCGCTCAACATAAACAAGACAGGCAAATACATCCGACAACCCATGACCTGCACTTGCCGGGTCTCTCCTTTCCTGTGAGTTTGCAAAGCCCGTCCCAAAGTCCGCTCGACGTGCGGCATCAGACGACATTTATCGTCTACACTCCGCTGACCCCCAACCTATCCAGCCGACTCTCCAAATCTCTGACCCATGGCTCCACCGTTTCGATGTTGTTCTTCAATGCCGCCTCTCCCTGCTTCATCTTCTCCTCTACCACTCGGAGACCCTCGCGCCATTGCTCAATTTCCCGCGCCATGTCGGCTTGTCGCTTTTCCAACACATCTAACGATTCAGAAGCTTGTGCGGCCCCCGCATGGATGGCACGCAGTGAGCGGAGTCGTTCAAGAACACTAGGGAGAATTGGATGGAGGGACTGAATAGTGGGGAGGGTGGCATAGAGAGCCTGAATTTTGGTGGCTTGCTCGTCACGCTGGGTGGCAGCGGGATCAATTTCTGTTGCGGACGAAGAGGTTACAGAAGTATCGGACGACTCAAGGGCTGTGGAGGAGATACGCGCATTCTGGGCGGCTTTGGCAGCGTCAACGGCGCGCTTGCGGGCGGTAGCCAGGGCCTCCGTGTCGGCGGTGAGTTTACGCACGCGCGTTGTTAGGGATTCCAGATGGGGCGTGGTTACTGTGGTTGCTGGAGGAGCCGAGCCCATGGTTGGGTAGGCCGAGGCAGGGTTTGGGCCGACAAGAAGATTCATCAGCGTGGTCAGACGAGAGGTGAGGTGGTCGAGTGCGGGTAGTACTGGTTGGAGGGCTGGTTCGGAGATGCCGTCGTTCACGAATGGATTTGAGGAGCTGGAGATTCCCATGGCAGCCTCAATGAGAGCCAATCGACCATCGAACGCAGCCGCATGGGCGAGCACTCCGCCGCCGGCCGCGGAGGGGGAAGGGGGTGTTTGGGGGCGGTTGTTTGCGGGCTTGCGGTCGTCCAGCTGGGCCGGACTACTGACTGGGGAGTCTGGGGTGGACGTGGAGGCGAGTTTCTGGGACAGGACGGCTGCGGCCGAGTGAGAGCCGGAGGGGCCACTGCGCGAGGATGCATAGAGATTGTCCAATGCGCGACTCAATTCCAGAACACCATCTGTTCCTTCCGGTCCAGGTTTGTGCAAGGCAGACGCTTCTGCAGATTCAGTACTAGATTGTTGGGTTGCCAGCTGGTCTTTCAATTCCTCGACTTCGCGGCGCAGACGAGCCAGCTTGCGCTCCCAGCTCTCGTCTTCGCTATCGCTGAAATCGTCGAGTTCGTCGGCGCCAAGGTCGTGTCGCCGTCGCCGGCGGCTCTTGCTTCTGTATGCTTTCCTTTTTGCGGCTATGCTGTCCGAAAAATTGACTTCGCGGGCGTCGACGGTGGCACCGAGGAAGTGAGCACGCGCCTCGTCGGCGTTGATCCCTTGGCGGTCGATGTCAGAGTTAGAACCAGCGTCATCGTCTACGTTGGATGCGGTTCGAAGTGTTGTGGTCTAGTATTGCCGATAATAGTCAGAACTGAAACACGACCCGCGCAGACGATAGGCATGGCAGCGCACCGGTATGGTAGAGCCTCCGTCGGTCAAATCAGGCGTCTCGTAGATATCGGGAGCGAGATCCTGCGAGTCGTTGTTAAACCATGGTCCTGTAGACTAATGATAGTGGAGATTTGCTGACCAGGTCAGGGAGACCGGCATATTTCCGGTTGAAGGACATGACGTCCGATTGTTAAATTGAGCGCGAAAACGGGGAGACTGTAGGGAGGATTTAGCTGGAGATGGGGTAGAGAGGGAAAGACAAGGGAGGAATGTTTGTTCACGTGCCAGGGGCGGGTCTGAATACGATACCAAAACACCATACAGACTGTCAGGTACGACGATACAATCCAACAACTGAATCATGACATCCAACAATGATCCAAGAGATAGATGAAGTCGGCTGAAATTACTCCGCAAAGACATGTTCACAGACCGGAGTTTCTCGTATGTCAACCTCGGCCACGATTGCCCACCTATAATCCAAATAGGAATAGAAATGTCATTGTTGAATCGAGGCAGAAGGAAGGAAGGAAGCGACGATCACATGAAGAGCCGAAAGTCATGGACTTTAAAGCTACCATCTTGTCCGACCTGTCACTTGCTCCCTCAGTCCTGCACTCTCCCTCTCGCGTACTTCCTAGAATTCCTACTGCTGTTGTGGAAAGTCAACTCTTCCCACCTGCTTATCCTTACTCCCAATTTCAACCTATCACTATATCTCCATCTTGCGTGAAACGACCCCGCATCTTCTAAAATGGCTGCCCCCACAGAAGTCACCATCAAGAACCTCAGCGGAGAATGGACAATGGTAACCTGCTTTCGTCTCCTAACCATCACCTAATAGATGTGCCGTGATTAACAATGTCATCAAGAACAAAACACTGTCCAACTCTACAGACCCGATCCTGTCACTGGTAAGCGATTCTATCCACTCCGTCTCTCAGATGCACGTAAACCAGAAATGAAAGAAAGACTAAACAGCCCCCAAAATAGCAAGGGATGAGCTGGCTCACCCGTAAAGCCCTCAACATCGCCACCGTTACTCTACACATCAACGCTTACCCCGACTCCGAAGACGCTTCCGTCATCCACATCCACATCGACCAGACCCTAACAGGTGGCGTCAAGGGAACCAGCGAGCACCGCCTCAGCGACGGCAAGAAGCGCGAGCACACCGATCACCTTTTCGGCCATGTGGAGGGCCAATCGCGGTACATCCGCGGCAGCACCGGCAGTGATGGGAGAGTCCGGCCCAACCAAGCCTTCCTGACCAAGAGCAATGACCCCAAGGTGGTTCAGTTCCTGAACGGGGAGATCCTGGCGGACGGAAAGCATTCGGACGGTTTCCTCGTGGAGACCAGTCTGGGTCAGGAGTTTGGCGAGGGCGAGGGTCTGTGGTTCCAGAGTTTTGTGGAGAGCCTTGACAACGGATGGACGGCGGAACAGGTTCGTATCTCCCCATCTCCAATTCCGATATACAGGCATACGCTGACTTGAATGGTGGTAGATCTGGGGCTTTGAGGTGATTGATGGTGAACGCTACTATACCCGTCGCGTAGTTGTTGCTAAAGGTAAGCAAGTCGAACTGGCTAGATTCGTGTATAGCTACGTCGGTCCGAGAAAGGAGTAAACCGGGCGTGTATTGAGGAATTAGCAACGGTGGCTGGACGAATGAGTCTTTGGAGAGGACCGTGCGTCTTTGTCATCTTTATGTGGCAGGTCTGCTGTAGAGTATCTTTACATCCCGCTTGTTTGGTTCTCGAGGCTGGGTACGCGCTTGTTTTCCTACTCAGTTCAGCATAGACCTAATTGAATCCTGTTCATACACAATTCACACCATCAATGCGCTTACTCAGAGGGCAGTCGACGGTTATGACTGACATAGACAAGGTTCAAATGACAAAATCCAGCCGTTCCCAGCATAAACAATCTGATCAACAGCCACTGTAAAACCAAAAGATGACAATGTGACTCAAGCATCCCAGCTTTGAGAAAAATGATATTTGCAAGGCTAAGTCTGCAACGCAGCGCAAAAGTGACACCACACGAAGACATTATGCAACGTGGAAAATATTTTTTGAATCTATTCAATTTTTTTCCTTCTCATTTCCATCGACCTTACGAGTGTGTGGGCATCACAACATGAGCCTTGGTGCTAATTGCATCCTCGCTGCGCCACAAGCTCGTCACAGTCTTCTGCTGGGTGTAGAATTGCAGACCGGGCTTGCCGTAGAAGGTGTTGGCACCACCGCCCGCAATACTCTTCTTGTTACCAGTAAAGGAGAACATGGGCAATGGCACAGGAATCGGCACGTTGATGCCGAGCTGACCGGCTTCGATGTCCTTCTGAAAGCGCGAGGCAGTGGGGCCGGAGCGGGTGAAGACAGAGGCGCCGTTACCGTACGGATTGTTGTTGATGAGCTCGATAGCGTCATCAAGCGTGGGCACTGACAAACAGACCAAGACGGGACCGAAAATCTCCTCGGTGTAGCACTTCATGTTCGGGGTCACATTGGTGATGATGGTGGGTCCAATCTGTGCACAGTCCATTAGCGTAAGCCCCCTCACAAAAGACAAAAGCAATAACTATAGGTAGGTCACTTACAAAGTTGCCGTTGGGATACTTCTCGGGCTTGTAGCCCCGACCATCCAGAAGAATAGTGGCTCCCTCTTCTTCGGCGCTGGCAATCAAGTCCTCGATCCGCTTCTTGCTCTGAGGACTAATGACCGGGCCTAGATCCGCACCCTCTTCAAATCCACCATTGACATTCAATGCCTTGGCCCGTTCGGCAATCTCGGGCAGCCATTCCTGAGTTTCGCCAACCATAACCACTGTACTCAGAGCCATACAGCGCTGACCCGCGGCGCCAAAGGCAGCGCCAACAATAGCATTGAGGGTCTGGTTCTTGTTGCAGTCCGGCAAGACAGCGGCGTGATTTTTCGCCCCAAGGTTCGCCTGAACACGCTTGCCGTTTGCAGAACCCCGAGTATAGATGTATTCACCCGCGCGGTTGCCGCCAACGAAGCTGATCGCCTTGATGGAAGGTTCATCAAGAATGAAATCAACGGTCTTGGCAGAACCGTGAACGACGTTGATGACACCGGGCGGGAAGCCAGCTTCCCGAGCCAGCTCCGCCAGAATCATGGCGGCGCCAGGGTCACGCTCAGAGGGCTTGAGAATCAAGCAGTTTCCGGTGATTGTGGCGATGGGGATCGACCAGAGGGGGATCATTGCGGGGAAATCTGGCCAACCGCGGTTAGCCTCGGCAAATAAGCCGGTCGGGGAATGTCACTCACTGAAGGGGCAAATGGCGGCCACAACTCCCAAAGGCTCGCGGTAGCTTCGTGTCTCCATATCCTTGGCCACTTCAAGTACCTCACCAGTCAATTGAGTAGTGATACCACAGGCGGTCTCGGCTACTTGAAGACCACGGAGAACATCGCCCTTGGCATCGGCAAAGGTCTTGCCTTGCTCGAGGGTGATAGAGGCTGCTAGACGGTCCCAGTGGGCCCGGATCAGGCTGACAAACTTGAACATGATCTGCTGCTTGGCCATGATGCTGGTCGCGCGCCAGGCTGGGAAGGCCTTCTGGGCGGATGCAACGGCTGCCTTCAGCTCCTCATCGGTACTCTGGGGCACCCGAGTAATGAGGTTGTTGGTGGCTGGATCGTGCAGGTCAATCCAGGTGGTTGCTTTAGATGTTACAAATTCATTGTCAAGAAAGTTGGTGGTATCGATGGGATTCGCAACAGGGCTATGGTCGGTAGGATACTCGGTGGCGGTGGAGGCTGCGGAGGTTGTCGCGGGAGTCTGTTGCCGGGCCGTAGCGTGCAGGCTGCGAGTGGCAGAAGGGGCTGTGGATGCTAGAAGTGAAGAAGGAGCCATGGTGGCAGTAGGACGATGTCTGGAGAGTGAAGCTAGAGTTGCAGGCGATCTAGTGGCGGACAATCTGGGGACGGTGAGGGCCGTGCGGGGAGCAGCAGCGCGGAGAGCGGGGAGGGAACGGGCAAGAGAACGGTGGGCAGCCATCATGAGGGAGAGCTGGAGTTAGATTTATAGGATATTAAATGGGGTAGTTGACAGCACAGAGGTCTGACAGCTCAGCGCATGAGGAGAAATGAGAGAGGGGGGAAGGGGGGGAAAGCTGCAGGAAGAATTTCGGAGGCGAAGGGGATAACTAAATAACAAGTTGGAGTAATGTTTCCCCAGGTTAGCTCCATCCATACCTACCCGGCAGTTCAAGCCCTCCGTTCCTGGCCGCCCGAGGTTTCTCGGTCACCGTGGAGGATGGACCGAGAGCAATCGCTGATAATGAACTTAATGCATTTATCGCCCTTCCTCGGCGTTTTGCACCAATCATCACAGCCTCCCGGAACCACCTGCCGCTTCAAGCTGTCTCTGCTTCGGTCCATGGATCCGAGTCTTGGTCGCTTACTTCAAGTTCAGCATGTGTTGTTTTCACTCATCAGGTCCAATTTCCACTAAGCAGCTAATGGGTTATAAGTTACAATATTGCCCAGGCAGGCTTCATAGTGCTTCAGAATTCAAACAGGGTAGGTTGTTCCGAGCGACAGTCTTCGCTTCTGTCTTGCATCGTTGACCACAGGTGCTCAGTACACAGTATGGCCTCTTTTCCGCGGACAAAATATAGGTATTGATCGCAACTTTGAGACCTCTCACTATTCAAACAGAACATCATGGACTCGATTACCTAAGCTAGGACGATCATTAATCGTACCATTGATGTCACTTCATCAGTTACTTTACATGCTTCAAAAAATAAACAATTCGAGGCAGGTTCGTCAAGTGTGGCGATCAGATCCCACTAACAGCCAGAGCGGCAACTGCCCTCTTTTGGCGATGCCAACCAACATAAGTGAAATAAAAGAACAAATCGTGGATTGAACGCTGCAACAGGTAGGTATAATATGGAAATCAAGAGAAAACAAAATACTGGGTCGGAAGCTGTTCCTCCCCGCAGAATGCTCACTTTTGGGCCGCTTCGTTCTCATCTCCCCCAGATCTAGCGAAACTGGCCCATTTACTCAGCAGAGGAGCGGGTCTGACGCTTGGTAGCACCGCCCTTGCCAGTGTTGGTAGCAGAGCTAACAGCCTCAGCAGCCTTCTCCTTGGCAGCGCTGGCAGCCTCCTTACCCTTCTTGACCGGAGCGGCAGCGGGGCTGCTGGCGCCGACAGCACCCACGATGAGAAGAATCATGGTGACAAGCACGGCCGCGAGACCACCAGCGACATCAGGAACCTGCTTCACAGCGCTGATGGGGTCTTGCTTGACCAAGCCGACAAAACGATCAACCTTCTCGCGGACATGAGCCACCGGGTTCTCCTTGAAGCTGACGCTGGGCTCGGTGACCTTCTCCTCGGGCTTGGGCTTGTTAGCCTCCTCCTCAGCCAACTCAATGGGGTGCTTGATGTCGAAGGTCTCCTTGCGAAGTTGCTCAGCATCCTCTTCGGAGTGACCAATGTAGATGTTGTCAAAGAGAATATCGTTCTGCATAGTCCAGATTTCGAAACCAATCTATCATCATGAATTAGTCAGGCTGTTTGCGCTATGGCCAAGTCATGAGGGGGTAATCTTACAGCGCCCATAGGCTCGAAGTTGGAAGGAGTCTTGTCCTCGAAGTAAGCGGGGTTGGCAATCTTGCGAGGGGCCCAGGGACCCTTGTAGGCGGGGTTGTCGATCAAAGGAGCGGTCCACTTGCCCTTGTAGGCGGGGTTCTTGATCAGAGGAGCAGTCCAGGGACCACAGCCAGAAGCCTCCTGGCACTTGGGGTTGGGAACGGTGGGGGGAACCCAGTCGCCATCCTCCTCGTCATCCCAGTCCTCGGGCTTCTCTGCCTCGGGGTCAGGAATGGTGAGGGGCTCCTCCTCCAACCAATCCTCGGGCTTCTCGGCTTCCTCATCAACAATTTCGAAAGGAGCTTCCTCATCCCAGTCCTCAGGCTTAGTGGCCTCAGGGTCAGGGATCTGGGACTCGTCGACCCAGTCGGCGGGCTTCTTGTCCTTGGGGTCGTCAATCTCCTTCTCGGGGTTGACAGCAGGGCTGAAGTCCTCAAGCAAGTTACCGCTCTTGGCCTCCTCACCATCGATCAGGATCGAAAAGGTCTGATCGGGGCGGACAATCAGGGTGTACAAGGAGGTGACCTTGTTAGTACGAGCGGCAGGAGGAGCCTTGAGGTGCTTCTCCTCGTACTCGCCGGTCTTAGGGTTCTTGTGACGGAAGATGAAGTGCACCTGAGAAAGCGTTAGCTACTATTATACATGCCAATGGTCTGGTATACCAGCGTACCTTGTTGGTGGCACCACACTTGTCGGGACCGAACATGATAACGTAAGGAGAAGCGTTGGAGAACTCCTCGGACTGGAGCTTCTTGTTGTCCTGGAGGAGCTTCAGGTAGGCACCACCACAAACCAGAGAATCTACAAGAGAACTGTTAGTGACCCATCAGAAAATACCGCAATGATCCCGACATACTTTGCGGCTTGACCTCATACTGGACAACCAGGGTCTTGTCCTTGTTGTCGATCTTCTTGGGGAACTTGGCGGAAATGGCGTGGTGCGCAGCAACATTCTTGACCACAAGACCCTTGTCGCCCTCGATACCCTTCAGCACAGTCGGCTCCTCAACAGCCCATTCGCCAACATAGGCCCAGTCCTCCTCCGACTTAGAGTCCTCCTTCTTAGCGTGGGAAGGAGTCCACCGGCTGTCCCAGTCATCGGTGAACTGCTCCAAGAAAGGAGCCTTAAGGGTGGTGGGCTATTGGCGCGGAGTCAGCATCATGCAGCTGGGGTCAGGAGGGGCGGGCGAGATCAACATACGGTGAAAGTGGGCTTCTCCGCAATCGAAGTGGTCTCAGGCTTCTTCTCGGTCTCATCCGCATGGGCCATGCCCATGATAGAGGCCGAGGAGACCAAGGCGGAAGTCAAGGCAGCGTTAAAGCGCATTGTGGATGGGAAGTGGCGCACTACGGGCTAGAACACCTGGGGGAGGATCAAGTATGACAAGTGGAAAACAAAACACGAGCACACCCGCAGATTAACCTCGATAGGCCGAGCTGGGTGGAAAGACAAACTCAAGAGAGGTCGCGAGACAATGGGCGACAAGTAGGGGTGGGCGAGAGAGTTGAGAGGAGAAATGGGAATGTAAAGACAAAAAGATGGGGGTGGGAGGGAGGAGAATGGAAGGAAAGAGGAGCAGCTGGAAGGTTGGTTATATAAGAAGCTGCGTGAAGCTGGGAAGTTCCAGGTGGCCTCTTCCTTTCTCTTCCGCGGCCGCTGCTTCTTTGGACCTCGCGGGTAGGGTCCCGCTTGCTCGATCTGGTCTAGCCTGTCTGCCACAAAATTACGCCGTCCTAGCGCGTATTTGTGGTGTTCTGATACGGTCTTGGGTGTAATTCTCTTTGCGGAGACTTTAATCGCTTGTGCAACCCTCGGTGTAGTGCATGACCAACTCGATGGAAGTAGTTGTACTCGCGAGCATTGGAAAAGATCAGATATTGACATACCTCGCATCTTGTGCCTAAGGTATCAGAGTGTCTATTGCTTTCATCTCTGAATATGCTTTGGGGGCTTCAATTCCAAGCCGTCATCCATCCTATACTGCCTCTCCACCAATGACAACCAGCCGATGGCGCAAGTGCGTGTTGTCCCCCCGCTACCTTAATTGAAATTAATGGCCGATGCTTCTTCCCCTCCCCGCCCAACGTCTTTTTTTTCGTCCTGCTACTCTTCTTTTCTCTGTCATACCACAACCTTTTTCTCTGTGTGACTGGAAATAATCAGTTATCGCAGGGACATATAACTATCGAGATCTTCAGGCTTTGAAGACAAGAGAGTGACCGGCGCTGCGATCACTTTCCCCCCACTTCATCACGGACCATCGAGGTCTACACTGCCCATTCGCGGAGGCTCAACCCCAACAACAATCGCCATGTGCCAAGAACACGAGAACCAGAACAATGACCACTTGGTCCAATCCTCAGACCCGGAGCACCCGGCTAATCTGATCCCCGATCTTTGTCGTCGGTTCTATAACTGGGGTTGGGTTACCGGTACTGGTGGTGGGGTACGGAGCTGTCGCAATCCTCGAAGATGACTCTCAACTACTTGCTAATTCAATTATCATAGACCTCCATTCGCCAGGGCGACCACATCTTCATCGCACCCTCTGGTGTGCAGAAGGAGATGATGAAGTCCGAGAACATCTTCGTCCTGCAATTTCCCACGCCCAAGTACCCCCCCTCCGAGCGCAAGTATATCCGCAAGCCTCTCAACCTGAACCCCTCCGCCTGCACTCCGCTGTTCTTGGCTGCATTCGAGCGCGGCGCCGGATGCTGCATCCACACTCACTCCCAGTGGGCTGTCCTGGTGACCCTCCTAGTTGAGCGCGAGAAGGGACCTGATGCCTGCTTCGAGATCAGCAACATCGAGCAGATCAAGGGTATTCCCGCTGGAAAGGGCAAGGGCTACCTGGGCTTCTTCGATACCCTGCGCATCCCGATCATCGACAACACCGCCTTCGAGGAGGATCTGACGGGAAGTTTGGAGAAGGCGATGGATGCGTACCCGGACACCTATGCCGTCTTGGTCCGCAGACACGGAATGTAAGTTAGCGTCCTGGCGCATTCCATGTTTACTCGATTGAGTACTGACCTGTGTACTTTAGCTACGTCTGGGGTGATAATGTTGCCAAGGCGAAGACCCAGTGCGAGAGCTTGGACTACCTGTTCCAGCTGGCCGTGGAGATGCACAAGCTCGGTCTTCCCTGGGTCAAATAAGAATTTTGATATTTAGTAGCATAGCCGTGATGATGGTACGGAGTATATATACGAGATGAATGCATGTCAAAGGTCTTAATAGGAAGAAATCCGCGCATACACGATCATACATTAACACCTGTCAAATTCAGCGCATACTCATGCAGTATCATGTAGCGGCAATTCATTCAGCGTGCGTCTCGTCTGATTCAATCCGAGTGACTACTTCGTACATATTCATGTGGGATGGGAAGTCTTGGCGGGGAGGCCTAAACCATCTGGAGTTGGCGCGGGATCCTCAGGCTCGTCAAGGCGGGCCGCCCTGTCGACTGAATTGCTCCCGTCATCGCCAATCACTCCTCTATCCCGCAGTCCCTCCTTGACCTCCTCCTCCTCCTTCTTCCCCCCCATTCATCTTTGTTCCTCCGGATCTCGCTTTTCCGGAACCCATACACCGTTTCACCAATTCTGTTACTCTGAATCTATAATTTCTCTTATATCCTATCTTCACCCAATCCTACCTCCATGGATCTCGACGCAGGGGACTCCCCGTGGGGCGGTAAGCAAGACATCAGGCAGTCGCGGATACAATCGCAATCGTGTCTCCTCTAATGCACAGCGTACAGACGTCCCATCACAGTCGCCCCCCAGCCATACTGCTCCCAAACGTGACGCCGAAGAGCCGAGTACGTCTTTTTCATGATCAATAATTGCTAATTGCATAATCTGACCGGACACTGGCACAGGCCCTGACCAAGCAACCCAGCCAGCTAGCTCCAATGCTTCCCGTTCACCCGTCCGAAGAGGTCCTAGAGGCACCCGCCGGATCAATGCGCAGGCAACCAAGCTAGAAGCAGTGGACGATTCGTTCGATCCCCTGGGTCCCCTGGGTGACAAGGCCACCCAGAGCAACCCGCACGAGCAGGCTCCCACCCCACCACAGAAAGAGGCATTCGGCGCGCGCGGCGTGCGTCCAACTTCGTCGGCCTCGCAGGCGCACAGCAGCGCGTCTCTGGGCGAGTCTGTCAATCTGGAAGAGGACGGTGCGGGATTCCGGGGTCCTCCGCCGGTTCAGCCCCCTAGTGACGCAGAGGGGTCGAAACGACAGTCCGAACCTAGCATCAGCGTGGAGAAGGCCGCGAACCCGACGTTCGATATCACTGTGGGCGACCCGCACAAAGTCGGAGATCTGACCAGTAGTCACATTGTGTACCAGGTCAGGACCAAGGTATGGACAACCCTGTCGAGTTACGAGCTAGCCACTTCGCTTTGAATGGACCCTCTAACACTAAATTTTCAAGACGACCTCGAAAGCCTACAGACAACCGGAATTCTCTGTCAGCCGGCGATACCGCGATTTCCTGTGGCTTTACAACTCCATGCACAACAACAACCCCGGCGTCGTGGTGCCCCCGCCGCCGGAGAAGCAAGCCGTAGGTCGATTCGATACGAACTTTGTCGAGTCGCGGAGAGCAGCCTTGGAGCGAATGTTGAACAAGATTGCGGCGCATCCCATCCTTCAACATGATGGTGACCTGAAGATTTTCCTGGAGAGCGACACTTTCAACATCGATGTGAAGAACAAGGAGAATCGGGAACCGGACCTAGGGCAGAGCAAGGGCATGTTTAGTTCTTTCGGAATTAATGTTGGCGGAGGCGGGAAATTCGTTGAACACGACGACGTAAGTGGCATACTGCAACCACATACAACGCTTACTGACGACTACGCAGTGGTTCCATGACCGGAAGATCTACCTCGATGCCCTGGAAAATCAACTGAAGGCGCTTCTTAAGTCGGTCGACACTGTGGTGGCTCAGCGCAAGGGATTGGCCGAAGCGGCTGGCGATTTTTCTGCTTCGCTCCACGCCTTGGCTGCTGTTGAGCTGTCTCCGGCTCTTTCGGCCCCCTTGGAGGGTCTTTCTGACCTTCAGCTGCGCATCAGGGAGCTGTATGAGCGCCAAGCACAGCAGGATGTCCTCACTCTTGGCATCACCATCGACGAATATCTACGACTAATTGGAAGTGTCAAGACAGCGTTCACCCAACGACAGAAGGCCTTCCACAGCTGGCATGCGGCCGAGGCTGAGTTGCAGAAACGCAAGCACACCCAGGAGAAGCTGCTCAGGCAAGGAAAGACTCAGCAGGATCGCCTCACACAAGTCAATGCCGACGTGGCCGATGCGGAACGGAAGTCTCATCAGGCACGGCTTTTGTTCGAAGATATGGGTCGACTGATGCGGAATGAACTTCAGCGCTTCGAGAAGGAGAAGGTGGAAGACTTTAAGTCTGGCGTTGAGACATTCTTAGAGAGCGCTGTCGAAGCCCAGAAGGAGGTATGTATTATTCCTGGTTCTGTTTTGCACGTCAAGTGCTGACCGATGCAGTTGATCGAACTATGGGAAACGTTCCTGTTCCAACTCGACGCGGGTGAGGATAGCAATCTGCTGTATGGTGCGCCTGGGGTGGGTGCTGCGCCAACCGAGTCGACCGGAGCTGAGGAGTCAGCTCCGGCCGAGGCAGCAGAAGACGCTTAGCGTATAGCGGGCGTTCTCACTCCTGTATAAAACAACCCGCCACGACTCATTGGTGCCTCCGCCCATGACTGTCGGCCATGTTTCTTGTGTCTCTTTTGCTATCCTTGGTGCGGCGTACAATTGTCTATAATCGGCAAATTTCTGACACAGTACGCAAACCAGATGGCTGTTTAGCAGCGCATTAAGCCCTTGTTCTTTTTTTCCCAGGCTGTAGTTTAATCCAATCGCATATCTCGGCTAACGAGAAAAGAAACTGCCATTCAAAAAGGTTGCGTGGTATGATGATGATACTGTACATAAATCCGAAACAATCGAACAACCCCATGAGAAACCCCATCTTTAGTCACATCGTTCCAACCCGGACGGAAGGGCCTCTTCAAAAAAAAAAAGCCGTGAATCAAACAACTAGAACAAGTCGAAGCCAGTCTTTTTTGATAGAAACCCTCCCCCAAGAAAAAGACCTGGCCCCCTCCACAAAGATCCCAAACCCGCAGCCCCCTAGAATCAGTACTTGCTCTTCTTCTGCGGCGGCGGTGCCTCCTGCTGCCCGAATGAACTGATCAAATCCAACAAGTTATCGTCCTCCTCCTCCGCCTCCGCCTGCGCCTGCTTCGCGTCGGCCTCCTTCGTGGCCTTTGCCTCAGCGGCGGCAGGGTCAGCAGACGCGACATTCGCATCGAAGCTGCGACCGAACTTCGCACGGAAGGCGGCCATGCGCCCGGCCTCGTCCTTCTCGACGCTGGCCAGCTTGCTGGAGGAGGGGTTCCACATGAGCGAGTTGCGCGTGTCGCGGGTGGAGCGGTAGACGGGGATTGGGGAGGAGGTGCGGTGGGTGAAGGTGCTGCCGTCGGACATGGTGATCAATTGAGTGAACTGGTAGGGCCGCTTGGGGCGGCGTAGGAGGGAGGCGTGGCGGCATTGCGAGCAGATGAAGGTTGTGCGGGCGGTGGTGGTTGTTGCTGTCGTTGCTGCTGTGGCCGTTGTGCGGCGGAGGGGGGTGATGAAGGACATTTTTTTTTTCTCTTTGGTGGTGGTCCTCGAACCGGGCTATGAGTGGATGGAGAGAAGAAAGGTAGGTGGTGGTGTTGCTCTGTTGTTGGGAGGGGGTGTGGAATTGCGATTGAAGATTGATTGATTTTGAGATTCAAGGCGGGTCGGTCAATTGAGGCCGGCGGAGTTGTTGCTTTTCTCTCACTAATTATTCTTTTTCCCGGAGCTGGGAGTGATTCGGATGGGCTCAATCGGGAAGGCGGTCAGTATGGGGTGCTCACCGCCCGTGGGTCTTCTTTTTTTTCTTTCTCTGAGGAAGCGATCGGGTTTCGGGGAACCAGCGGAGGTGATTCGATCTACGGAGTGGTTTTGTCGGACCAACTACACACAGCACATCACTTATTCAGGATGATATCGGAGGAGATTTGAATATATACAACTCACCAAACCCCCTGCTACACATTTGAGTACAACGCTCAAATCACTCATTACTTTATACTTCAGTGGAGTCAATTCCACTCAATTCACCGAAGATGCCTCCATACTCGCGACACATGTTTGCAGCAAGCCGGACGGCAGCAAGCTCCAGCTTGCGCAGAGGTACGTACACACAACACGCCTCAATTGAGCTGCAAAACCAACCTAATACCTCTACAGCCTTAACGCCAGTACCAACAACCCCTCCAATAATCCCCCCTCGTACCCTTCGATCAACCCCACAACCCACCTACACCAACCTCCGGACCCTCACAACCACCACCACCACCTCCTCCTCCTCCCCCGGGGCACCCCAGCAAAGCCCAACTCATAACCAAGAACACCACCAAGTCCCCCAAAAACCTCCATATCCAGCAGCATCCCAAACCCATACCCAAGCGCAACCCCACGACCTCCCCACGCAAATCCGCCTCCTAATGCGTCAAGTCCCCTACCCCGTCGCCATCATCACCGCCACGGACCCGCAACAACCACAACCACAATCACAATCACAAGCACCAAAAACCACCAGCACCAGCACCAGCACCAGCACCACCCGATTCCGCGGCATGACCGTCTCCTCCTTCAACACGGTCACGCTCCACCCATCCCCCATCATTTCGTTTAATGTGCGCCGCCCCTCCGAGACCCTCTCCGCCCTGCAATCCTCCGGCCGGTTTCTCGTGCACCTCCTCGCCCCGACGGCGCAGACGGCAGCCCTGGCGCGGGAATTCTCGCGGGGAAATCGGCATCTTGCTATCTCCGAGGTCGCTACTGATACTACCTTGCAAGGAGGGGCTGGGGGGAGGCAAACGCAAATGCACAAGCAAGCTGCTGCTGCTGTTGCGGAAGCAGCACCGGTAGGCGCATCCGAGTATGACTTTACGCCTTTACAGCCCTTGGTCCTTGAGAATGAGGGGCACGACGCGGGATGTCTTCCGCTGCCACTATTACGGCGCAGGGACTCGGTAGTTAGTTCGGTAACAAGCACGGGTAGAGAGGGACAAGCTACTACTCCGAACAATGACTTCCCATTTGTGTTGGAGTGTCGGTTGCTGCCGCAGTCGGTGCAGGTGCAGGATCATACGATTGTTGTGGGGAGGGTGGTGCGGGCGATTCTTTCGGGGAAACAGGGGCAGCAGGAAGGGAAAGAGGCGGCGGCGGTGGGCGGGCATGCGACGACGAAGCAAGAACCGAGAGATTTGTGCTTGACGTATGCGGATACGCGGTTTTGGGAGATGGGGCGGGAGCTTTGAGGGGAAGTTTTGGTTTCTAGCAGATGAGGTGGGAGTGTGGACTTGACGGTAGTAGTAGTAGATGTATATTCTTGTATTATGGTTGGCAGGGAGTTTTAGAAAGGTAGGATTTGGATTGGATGTGAAGGGCAGTGGAGTAGACTGACGTGTACAGGATCTATACCCTTGTGGAGTCATTGGAAGTATTGTTAGTATATATATATATATAGACTACAGAGCTGCGGAGATATACTATAGAAGACATGATACGAGACATGCATAGCTTGTTGGCTGTAGATGCATGCATCGACTATTGACCGAGACGCAGCGTGGACACCTCGAATGACATCACAAAATATGCGCAAGCCGGCGCTAGCCACTATGAAATGAATCTACTGTCAATCCAACTACAACAGTTTATATGTAACGAGTTCTCGTCTCGCGATGTCGGAAGTTAAACTCTACTGAATGACACGGTTTTATTTGTTCATAGGCTGCTGATAACTAGATCAACAAAGCAACGTAGCTTCAGGCTCAACCAACCTGTCGGTTCGCTCGGCCCAAAGACATGCGTCACCATGCAACCTGGAGCATCATGTCGGAAGATCAACAAACACGGAATGAGGAAGTCTGCACAACTTGGCTTTGATGAAGAGATTTAGAGCAAGGAGCTCCAGACTCAGTCACGAAAACTAGACGCCCTTGCCAGTCGAACTGGGGCTACCACTGCCGCTGCCGCCGCCGCCACCACTATCACCGCTACCACTTCCGCTACCCCGGCTGCCGGCCCGTTGGAACGGACTAGAAATAGGTCGGACACCCACGCATAGGGCGTTTCCATCAGAGCCGGAGATGCTCCGCTTCTCGACGACCGTGTCGGACAGATCGAACTGATAAGGAGGTCGACGGCCGTGGGAATCGAAGAATTCGGACCCATAGAGACTGCTTCGTGCGGAGCGGTTGGAGAATGAACGGTCCCGCGTGGCGAAATCCACATCGAAGTAGGTACCGCTATGGCCGAGCGGAGATGCCGGAAAGTGTGCAAGATAGGACGCAGGCTGATCCGGGCTGGTCGGATGGGACGAAGAATCACCTACAGGGGACGACGCCTGCTGAAGTGGGCTAGACTTCAGTGCCGGAAAGCTCAGTCCTAGAATCGATCGGGCGCTGGGACCAGTCGTCAGGCCAGCCAGAGACAGGCTGGGTGCCTCAGTAAGAGGGTTGGTGCCCGGCAGGTTTCCCTCCGGAGTGAGGGGAGCGGCCTCCAGGAGCATCTGCTGCTGCTGTTGCTGTTGAATGACTTGTTCAATAGCGGCAGCTTGCTGCCAGAGCTGATTAGTGCGCAGCTGATACTCCTGCACAGACTGTCCGATGCTGGCGAATTGCTCGTTGAAGCTGACCTCCAACTTGGCCTGATCCTGTTCCCTCGCAAACTGTTCGGCAGCACGACGCTCTCTCTCGTTCAGACCCTGAGCATTAGCAGAAACAATGCGCTCGTACTGTTCGTTGACGCGAGTCCGGCGACCTTGAAGACGTTCCTTCCTCTGAACAGTGGAACTTAGCTCGTTCTCCAATGACGACACCTCACGGGAAATAGCAGTGCGGGCAGCAGCAAGTTCCTCCTTGGCCAGATTGAGTTGTTTCAATTCTTGGTCGAATCTGGCCTTCTGGCTTGTCCATTCCTCGAGTTCCTCCTCCGGCACGTTTTGCAAGTTGTCCAGCTGGCTTTCGAGCGCGGCGGTAGCCTCCTCAGTTTGCTTGATATTCCTTTCGAGCTGTAGCGAACGTTGCTTCTGTCGGTTCTCATCCGTACCACTCTGAAGCCGGTTGTTGTAGTTTTCCAGCTCTTTCCTGATTTTCGAGATTGCGAGCTTGTGGTCGTTTTTGGCCTTTTTCAACCGAGAACGTTTCTCATTCAACTTGACTTCGGCGTTGACGATTGAATTCTTCAGGGTGGTAGTCGGGGAGGACGGACGATAGGTGGGCTGCGGAGGAACAGATACCGAGGTGACTAGCAATGGCATTAGTGAGATTGGACTTCCATCACAGAAACGCTCCGTATTACCTTGCTCTGCGTCATTCGCGGCAGGAGTCTTGACGCTCATGACACAGATTTCCTCATCGGTATCGCTTCGCATGAAGGAGCAAGTGTAGGCACAATTCGGCGCGAGACCTGAGATCTCGCCCCGCCAATGCACAGCATTTGACCCCTTGGACGATTCCTGCACTTTGTTGATCACTGCAGTCGCCCACAGCGCACCGTTGACACAGACGTAGAATGGTTCCGTTTCTTCACTTCCAAGACGCCCCACCTCACAAGCTCCCGCCATCGAAGAGTCATCAGGCGAAGCGAGATCGCCCGCGGCAAACTTGATGGTGGAGCTATCAATCTCGGTGATCCAAACAAGCCCGTCATCCAGAGACACTCCTTGTAGATCCTCCTCCGTCATTGCGAGACCCCTGCCAGTTTTCGATAAAGCCCTTGAGTGTTCATATTCCCTCATTACCGTCACCTTTGTGCTTGCCAGTGCAGCCCAGAAAGGCTGACGACTCCGGACCTGATTCGCTTGCCTCCTGCGTTTCTTAGCCGATATTAGCCGATCTCGACCGTCCTTGTGATTGGCGGGCGTGACAATCTGACCATCGGCACCAATGTAAGAAGAGACACTGGCGCCGGATTCGAATGCAGAATCGATTTGTGTTTGCGAGCCGGCGGACGCTTCAGTATCCACACGCTTGCCATTCCGAGGAGGGACTGGAGACCGGTTCTTGGCCATCGACCGTCTTGCCATGGCAGTACCCGCCTGAGCCAAAATATGCACCGCAAGCAGGCTCCGAATCCAGCTCGGAGAGCTTTGCGGTTCGGTGCGTCGGAATTCGGTGGGCAAGAGATAGGAATACTGCGAGAGGAGATCGGGACTGAGGAGTTTGGATGAGACCAGATGACCTATAACAAAATCCTGTATACCTTTACTGCGGATAAGATGTAATACGAGAACGATGCCAACGCAGAGCGCATTGACCCCGCCATTTTTTCCGGATCCTCCTCCGCCAAGGGTGATGGCGACTTGCACGTGAGCCAGATCTAGGGCGAAATTCTGCGCCCAGGTCCACATAAAGAGACCCCAAAATAGCAGGCAGAACCCATCCATTGCGATCATTGTACCCAGCGACGGTGTTCCGGCGGGTCCCTGGAAGATGTCAAAGTTGGAGGACAAGGAGCCGGCAGACGCGCCACCCGGAGGCATGAACGTCAGTGAAGCGAACAAGAATTGAACCAGAGTGAGAACCATGGGCGGAAGCTGGAGAAGAAAGATCAAAATGGCGATGGTATCGTACATCGGGCAAGACTTGAGGATCGTGGACGCCAGTTGGAGCGGGTTAATCGAAGCACTGGAGGCCGACCTCTTGGTACCGGTTACCGACTTATCCGTCCGACGCGACGCCTGGGCTGCGAGTCCGCCATTCTGTGGCGCCGCCCCATTTGTCTGACCATATGACATGTCCGTGTTGCCTTTTGCGTATCCATTCAGTTGAGCTCGTCCGTTGCCCTCCACCTTGGAAGAATCCGCGTTTCCGTTGACCTTGCTTGTCGATGCGACTGTCGAGGTCAGAGCCGAATCGCTAGACGAGCGGGACGGTTGCCAGTCGACCTGAGTGGAAGGGCCAGAAGTCGGATCCGAGGCGTTGGTCGAAATCCCATTCAAATTTCCGTTCGACTTTTGCTTGTTCAATTTCTTCCCAGGACCGACAAGACCATTCTCATGTCGATTGCTATGACTCTTCCTAGCCGTAGCCGATGAACGTGGCATGGACAAGGGAGCCTAACTACCTAGGTCCGAGTCAGCTTGGCAAGAGGGAGCCAAGGACTTGGACCAGGCGAGAATTGGAAACGAAGACAGTGTCGGAAAAGGATACGGGGGGAAGGGAAGGAGATGATCGGTAGAGGGAATTGAAGATTGGAAAAGATGAGTGAGATGACAATTTATTTTTTGAATGGGGGAGATAAAGAGAAAGGGAGAGAAGGGTTTCAATACAAGGAAGCGTGCGGGAGGAAAAAAAGGAATGACAGGGAAAGGATAAGAGACGAAACGGACGGGAATGAGATGGACTCAGGCAGAACTAGGATGAGAAAGGAAAGGAAAGAAGAGATGGGATTGGATCAGAATTGGGTAGAGGGGGGGGGAGGGTAAGAAGTGGGTTTTTGGTTAGGACGAACGAGTAAGAAAGAGAATAGAGAGAGAGAGAGTAGAGGAAAGGTGGCGGGGGGGGAGAGATGCGTGGAGGGGAAGAAGGTAAGAGAAGGGAAGAAGAAAATGAGAGTGAGACTTGGAGAGTGAGAGAGAAAGTAAAGGGAAAAAGTGAAGATTACTGAGATTCTGGATAGACGAGGCGGCGGGAAAATGACCAGGCAAAAGCTTGGAACGGATCGTCAGAGGAAAAAAAAAAGAAGGGTCATCTCAGGCAGAAATCCACTACTAGCCTCAGGCAGTAATTACTGCACGAAACCGTACATTACAGTACATGCTTGGCTCTGCGCCGGATTCCGGTTGGCTGAAGGGAAGGGAATGGGCTGATGCAGCATGAAGGCATTCAATTGTCTAATTTTTGAGTCTTCTACTTCTAGGTACTCCGTCCCTAGTACCAACATCACAACATCAGACTGTGTGGCTTATACTCTTCACTTCTACTTACTTCAGAAAGCTTGACAGCGTGAAGAGGATATCATCATACCTACATACATTCTGACACATAACCGGGACACTTACGGCTCCATGCAGGAGATTTCGCAACTGGCTCTTCAGCCACAGTTTCCCCCC